ATATATTGCAGTAAATTACAGTGCTATCTAGGGCTATTGCGGCTGCAGGATGAGTTTGTTGATACAGGCCATATGGCGGTGTGCAGATTTCATACAACTTGCAAAAAAATAAGGTTTTTACGGAATTTTGCAAAGCACAATAACACCTGAGAGGATTTACCCGTGAAATTCCCGACCACACTTCGTATTCGATATTGTACACCAAGAGTTGCGCAGGTCGTTCATGGTCTTGTCGAACAGATGAGTCACTACGACATGCTCTTCGCAGTGTTTTGTCCTACCATGACTCGACAACTTTGACAGCAAGTCCACAGTATCACGGCCATGCTTGCTGAAGCTTCATCCCTCCCAGGATCGTCATGTTCGGACAGGCCAGCAGAGCGTCGGAGGCGGAAGAGGAGAGCCTGCCAGAGGTGTCGGATTCGCAAGCAAAAATGCGACGGACAAAACCCCGCCTGTCGCAATTGTCTAGCAACAGGACATGGTACGTTGTTGAGCCCCTATCAAAGTGTCGGCGTCGGTTCGAATTGCTGAGTCCCCCACCAGAGTGCGTGCCAGCGACACGAGAGGCCATGGATCTCTACTCTGTCGATTATGTCCGGTCGCTGGAACATCGTCTTGCGGACATGGAAGGGAGACCACATCACCAGATGCCAACACATGGCTTGCAGCCTCTCCCTGTGCCGCCGATGGTCACTCCACAAAACAAACCTGGTGATGTCCAGGTCAACGTAGCTCCGTCAATCGACACCATGCAACCGCAGCAGCAGATTTTTCAGCCACCCATCAACGAACTCGACCCTCAACCTGCGTTCTCACAGGCATTTGCCGAGCCCGACTATATCTCCAGTACCCCCTTGCAAGGCGCAGCCGACTACACAGAGAACGCCGGAAATACTTTGGCATCTGGAGACATTGACTTCACTTTTACGTTGACGCCGCCTCGCACGGTCCCAAGGCAGCCGGATGATGTTCCAGTCTCGACCAGCGATGCTGCAAGCTATTTCTTTGTCTACTTCGAAGTCATTCATTCCCGTTATCCCTTCCTCAGGATCCAGGATTGCTCTAGCGCCTATCTGGACTGGAAGGAGCATCGTCAACTCCCTGGCTCTTTCCAAAGCACCTGGCATTTGTTCCTGGTAACGATGGTGCGTACCCACTGGAACCGTCTCTATCGTATCTATCGACAGCTGCTGATTTCCTCTGCTACAGATATTTGCTATTGGCACGCGAATCGAGCAGTCACACAACTCACGCGCAAGGCGGGCTCAGCGTCTGAGCCTCGTTGCTAGGATCGACAGCGTCCAGGGAATTATTTCTGACTCACAGTCTTCTCCTTTGATGCGGTTGCAAGCCTTATTGCTCTATGTGGTCTTTGCCATGCTTGGCGACAGTACCTTTGGACTTGTTCATGTGACGGGAATAGCTATGCGCTTCGCAACTCTGCATGGCTTTCATCGTTTGAGATCATCATCTGAGGCTGAAAACGAGGAGATGAGTCTCAAATCAAGAGCCTGGTCGTGTATCTATGCGTGAGTCTGACAAAATATGTTCCTGGGCGGCTTCATCCAATGCTTCGATCTCTTACTGACGAGTGAACAGTATAGATCGAATGATCAGTGGAACTCTCCGAATCCCAGTCTGTGTTGCCGACCCCGAAATCAGTTCACCTTTGTATGAAGGGCAGACATTGAGCCTCGAAACGATGCCATGGGTTGCAGATTCTCCCGAAAGTGATACTCAAACAGAGCTTGTTGACCTCACCTATTTCAGCCACATGATTCAATTTCGACATATCCAATCGAAAATAATCCATGGAGCTCCATCACTACAGCCTGGACAAGTTCAGGGATTCATCGAATATATTGACCACGAGATCAAGGAATGGTCGAAAGAGAATGAAGCTTCGACGCGCACGTATGTCTCTCCGCTCTACTCGCTTGAGGCCTACAGTCTGTAAATGCTGACCAGGGCCGACAGTCAACGCGGCGACGAAGGATATTTCAGCCATCTCTGGCTCGACCGCTCTATTTCTATCGTTGAAGTTCAGTTATACAGCACACTTGAAGACCTCACAGATCCGGTGAATGTTCATAGGCTGTTTCAAGCCTGCTGTAATGCTTGCAACGCATTCCGGGCTGCGCAAAAGTCGCGTCAATTGATTCGACAGTGGATCGATGTAAGGACAACGTTGCTATCATCATCTGAGCACGGGAGCCGCTGACAGTGAGCGATAGACAATTTTCGAGTTTCAAGCGGGTGTGACGTTGTTATATCTGATGTGGCGTGGGAATGCGCCGAACTGGCAGGAAGCCGAGCGTGCTGTTCGCAACTGCAGATCTGGCTTAGTTATCTCTGCAGAAGGATCGTCTGCTGTGGAGTGTTTCCTCGACTGTATCGACAATCTGGTCTCGCTGGTGTCTGGAGGTCCGTTGGAGATACTCACGAGGACTGCAACACATCCGGAAACGATACAAGAGCTGAAAACAATCGTCGACAAAGTGATCGACATCGGCATTGCTCCTCATATTAGCAACAAGTTACGAGAAATGTGCCAGCAATCTTTCCAACCTTGAGGCTACCATTCGACGGCATCATTTGCTCTGTCATATTCTCTTCCTTACGACAGACAGTCTAATTCGATCTTTAGAGCCACAGTTGTGATGCCGTGACGACAGCACAGAATGTATCCGCCCCAATGCGAAGCTCGCCGCGACTAATTAGCGTTCAGGAATGTCCAATTCCAAAGGTATTGCCATACTTCATCATTCAGCTTGGAGAACCTTCTGAACCAATTCTTCTGAATAGGTCTGGACCGCCTCGTTCACATCTTGTCGATGCTGCGAAATGTATGTGGGAATACCGTTCACCCTGTTATATACAGCGGGTACCGGCTCGCCTAGAGTCTCAGTGACGGGGACGAATCCAGCCCAGACACGTTGACGCATCTCCCCGTCTTCCAAATCTGCCTTGTCGTCACCGGGAGGATCAGCTTTGACTTTGCCGCTTCCTGTCTTGATTGCTACACGCACGATACCTGTGCTGGTAATATCGGCCTTTGTTGGTGGGAGCCGTGAGTTTTCCCATCGTCCACGTACGACTTTGTCGGTTATGATCCGCATCCCATACAGAATCTCTTCCGGGTCAGTCACAATATTGGCGTATCCGTACAAGACGACGGAGCGGTAGTCGTAAGAGTGATTGAACCCGGAGAGGGCAAGAAGGAGACCGTCGACTTTTGTCGCAGACAGACAAAGCGGTAGGCCTGGTTTGCCAGCTTCACATGCTTTGCGCACGAGGTTGTTCAGTCGCGATGAGACGTAGCCGTGCAAGTAACAGTCAAGGGGCTCGTCGAGGCCAGCGGAGGGGTTCGCAAAGGATCCCATCGCGCCAATCATGGGCAGGATCACAGGAAAATCGTCCAGGTTGGAGTCGAAGCCAGGTGCGAAAGAGACATTCAACACTAGAGAGGTGTTGATCAGGGTGTGAATGGTTTCAAGGTCATATTTACCTCGATGGCCGCGACGGTTGACGGTGTTGAGGGATGTCTTGGGATATTCAAAAGTGCGACCCATATTGAAGACGATGTTTGGAGATGGGCCAGACAACGTGCTGGTTGTACAAGATAGTTTCTACCAGGGCTGTGAGAGATGTGAGGTTGTACGATTTTCGAGTCGATGAATGAATATCTTCCTGGTTGGGAAGCACTGGGTCTGGACCAATATGCTACCGGTTGATCATAATCGACCAAATTTATACCCTCCAATGAGTCACTGCACACTTACTTTGAGGATCCGGGGACAAGAGCGTTCGAGCAAGTGTCCGAAGGGGTTCTAGAAGGTCTAGGTAGTTTAGTATTCGGAATAAGCGGACTTTTGGACACTGTCATTCTGGTATCGAGGCCCAGCGTTTCGTTCTGGGGAATTTTGAGTAGGACATCGGATTCTGCGGAGGTTGAACCAATAAGAAGAGGGCCTCATCGGACTCTTAATCCGAAGCGCCTGAAGGGGGCCTGGGTCGGGACGAGTACGATCAACCTCACCGGTTCCAATCTAGCAGCGTGATAGTCGCTATCATGATAGTGTGAGGATCGATGCAAGGACGGACTTGACATCACAACGGAATGATTCTCAAAACGACCACGGTAGGTACCTAGGTAGTTAACGATGTGCAGTAGAATTTAGTCGATGGTGCAAAACTGTGTCGCTTGAAAAGTATTTCGTTTGGGTTAATACGTAGTGTTGCAGCCAAGTGTAACTAAAAGCGGCGGCGGGAGGACATTCTGTAAAGATCACTGCCAAAAACAAAAGTTGTCCCGACCTAGGTATTGAATAAAGTTGGTTTTTGCGTTTTCGCATTTTCGCATTTTGCTTCTGCTTTTTGCTTTTCGCCGTTTCGGTCCTCAATGTCACCGTCGTCGGTGGCCGTTTCGGCACCGGGAAAAGTATTGTTCGCGGGAGGGTTCTTGGTCCTTGACAGAAAACATACCGGAGTCGTTTTCGGGCTCAACGCTCGGATCCACGCCCGAGTCGAGCCTTGGAACGACAAACCACGTTCGTTGAAGGGGGAGGGGGAAAGGCACATTCTCGTACAGTCGCCTCAGTTTCTCGAGGCGAAATGGTTGTATAGGGTCGGTTCATCAAACACTCCTGATTCATCATCAGAAGAAGAAGACGTCGCCGTCAATGTCGAACAAGTACCGATGACCACCCAGGACGACGATGAAGGAGGGACGGCGAGCAGCACAACCACAAATAAATTTGTCGAGACGACTCTACGATACGTCTTGACCTATGTTTCAAGTCGAGGCCGCCAGCACGTCACGACGAACGACATCAAAATCACCGTTCTCGCTGACGACGACTATTATTCTCAATCCTCAGCCGCCTCCAAGTCTTCAACAACTACACCTTTTACGAGCTTCGGGGTCAAGTTACGTAACGCACACAAGACAGGGTTGGGTTCGTCCGCTGCCCTGGTCACGTCCTTGGTGGCTGCCCTGTTGGCGTTTTACCTCGAAGAGAACGGCGGCGACGATGCCGCGTCATTGCCGCCGCAAAAGGTCATTCACAATCTAGCTCAGGCGGCGCATTGTGCAGCCCAGGGGAAAGTCGGGTCGGGGTTTGACGTTGCGGCGGCGGTGTACGGGTCGTGTCTTTATCGAAGGTTCACACCTGCAATTTTGGAAGCTGTCGGGGAGCCATCCAGCCCCGGATTCAGGGATCGACTTCGCCTGTGCGTGGATGACCTTGAGCTGAACCACAAATGGGACGTCGAGGTGGCCGGCCACGCCATCAAGATCCCGGACGGTCTGATCTTGGTCATGTGCGACGTCGACTGTGGTTCTGAGACGCCCGGGATGGTGCGAAAGGTTCTGCAATGGCGGAAAGAAAAGGCAGAGGAGGCGGGCTTGTTGTGGAATGCCATACAACAGGGCAGTGACGATCTCTGTCAGGAACTACGACGGCTTTCGGAAGTTGATGGAGTTGTTGCTCAGGCGGAAGAGGATGGCCCCTTCAAGGGTCTAGGTGATATCCTCTTGACGGTTCGAAGCCTCGTCCGAGAAATGTCGGCAAAATCAGAGGTGCCTGTTGAGCCTCCGGTCATTACGGAACTGTTGGACTACTGCACGTCGTTGCCGGGCGTGGTTGGGGGCGTGGCCCCTGGAGCCGGTGGTTATGATGCCGTTGCTCTCCTGATAAAAAGTGATGTCGATGTTGTTCGTGGCCTGCGGGAGAAATTGGACGGCTGGAAGGGCCAAGATGATTCGGGTGCTACGATCGGTCATGTCAGACTACTTGGGGTCAAGCAGGCGAAGGAGGGAATGCGACGAGAAGATGTCGGACAGTATGCTGAATGGGTATGAGTTGGTCAATTCTCCTACGAGAGTGACGGAATCTGTACTTCAATGCAGCGATTGAGATAGTACCGTACTCGTACTTTGGAAGCCGATAAACCCGAGTTTGCTGGGCGCACGAGGGAACAAGCATTTGGGGCGGGAGGAGGAGCCTCGGAGGTGTCCACTTCATGCCTAGGGACTGCGAGATGGAGGCTACATCGCCCACCTAAAGTACTGTCCAAGACCGCATTGTATTGGTGCCGGTAGGTGCCCAGGTCCCCCCTATGGAGCACCTATTACGATCGCCCAGCCCAGCCCAGCCCAGCCCACCACTCCCACGCCTGATGAGCCGCAAGCCACGACCCAAAGCTCGTGTGCTGCACGGCGCCTTCTCCCGTACAATTTAATAATTGCCACTGCACCTATTTATTAAAACCTACGCTACATACTCCGTACCTACTCCGTAAAAGGCCTTCGGTACGGCTACGGTTAAAAAACGTACTTGGTCGCTTTGGGCCGTAGATTCCCTGGTTTTCTTGCTTCCTTCCCGTTCTTCTCGCCTCTCAGAATCTTGGTAATTACGGGTTCTCGGTTTCCCCAGTTCAGACTCTCTCGCCCACTCATCCATCCATCTCATCCGTACTCGTACGGAAACACATCCATCTCTTCCCATCTCATCGTCCATTCGCTACGATTCGATCCAGTCGAATCAACTCTCATCTATTTATCTCGCTGCCATCCATCCTCCACGTGAACGCAATTCCATCGTTTAACCAGAGCATGTAAATCATGCATTGACCGTTCAACGGAGTGTACAAGTCTACGACCGGTCTCTGTTGCTCGCTTATTCCTCCAGCGGGCTAGGTCGCATCCGATCATCTGTCACAGTTGCTCCCTGCATCCATTCCCCGTTCAAGCTGGATCTTGCGACACCTTCGATCAAACACTGCCAACTTGCCGCATCTACTGTCGCTCTCTTCACACTCCGACTGCTGCGTGTCCCAGTCCCCGGCCGAGAGAATAGCAACTTCGTTTTCCTCCTTATTCCCAACTGTGGGAACGATTCGTGGCAATGAGTCCATGCAACACCGCCGAACAGCCTGAGGCCCGATCTGCTGCTCAAGACATTCCTCAACCACCACGCTCGCAAGAAGAAGCGACCACATTTACTCCCGTCGAGATGTCTAGTCTACACAAGAACAACGTCCCCACCTCCGAACCGGAACCTTCCTCCTCATCACAACAAGACACAACCTCGGCGGAGGCCTCAATGAGCGGGCCTGTGAGAACAGACACAAACACCGCCATTGAACAATCCATGCAACCTCCTCCGCCGCTTCCTCCCCCAGCAGTTCCCGAGTCGCAGCCTCTTTCGCGGACACATACAACTGCGATTGGTCCATCTTCAGATTCACCAGTCGTGCCGGCAAAGGATGTCGAGGTGACCGGGCCGGTTTTGGTGGTGACATTACTTCTCACATCGGGAGCGAGACACCCGTTCAGACTAGACAACAAATATCTGATCAAGAGGAATGTGGAAGTGGCTGAAAACGACCCATTCAATCTCAGTGTATACAAATTAAAAGAGCTGATACTTCGCGAATGGAGAGAGGAATGGGAGACAAAACCCAGCAGTCCAAATTACATCCGATTAATTAGCATGGGCAAGATGTTGGATGATAAGGCATCCTTGAAAGGTATAGTAGTTTTCCGCTTGCTCGGTGTATCCTCTCGTGGCTAACAGTATCTCCTTGTAGATTACAAGTTTGGCACGGAATCACCAAATGTTCTGCATATGACAATCAAACCCCAAGATTACATTGAAGACGAGGATGCTAAGGGCGGCAAGTCCTCAATGGCCGGGAACCGCGAAGCTGAGACCAGGAGCCCAGGTTGTCGATGCATTATAATGTGATGGACTTGGCTCGATCAGAGTACAAGCTCATTCGAACTCGACGAAATTTGGCACACCAGTCTTGAATGTCCTCACTCATATTCGATGCAACATCAATGCCTTGGAGTCGACTGTGTCGATGCAAACTTTTGCTTTGGTGTTAAACCTGGGGCGAGGCGTTGGGTGGACGGATGCGATTATCTTTCCGTTCTGCTGGAGTCTTTTCCATATGTGGACAAGGAGAGGCAGTCAGTTTTCTTTTTCTCCTTCTATTACCGCCCCGGTCTCGTCTGGTACTCGTGTGGCGGTCGGTGCCCATATTTTTTCCTTTCTTTTTTCTCTTCTAGATCAGCGCTCCTTTTGGCGGTGAAATGGGCGGTGGCAGAAGATAGACGGCGCGTGTGACGACAAATGGAGGACAGAGTGCTGCAGACGTGCGTGGAAGGTCTCGCTCGACAAGACTGTATATAAAGACCAGGACCTGGAAAGGGCCGAGATATGCCACTGAGCTTTGAAAAATTGATTTGGGCCCAGGACAATGTTTGGGGGAAACGGGAGTTGTTGCGCTGCGGCAGTCGTACAGTATTCATCATCAATTTTTTGAGGTCATGGAGCGAATATACTTTTGCTTTGAGAAGAGCACAACACAACCAAGATCACCCAAAACCCTTGATTTTTCCGAGCCGGCTCTCTGCGGATAGCTGAAAGCCCGTTTTACCTTTTCGTCTTTATGAGGGTTTCGAACTGTGGAAAATGAACGGTAATGATTTGTATTAACTACTCGTGTGACACTCAAGATCAGACCAGCGGTGTTAATACATTTTATTTCATTGCTGAGCATTCTACGCGTACCGGCGAGGCTCGACTAAATCCGCCTCTGGTTCACACTCCCTGAACTCCTTGATTGACCGTCCTGGGGCATTCTTGATCAGAGGATGCTGCCATGATCGGTATCTGAGATTGTCGAGAAACAGAAATAAGATGCATGATGCCAGGAACTGGAAGTATGTTCCCTCGCCTGGTCACGCTCTCTGTAACGTGTTACTGGACATGATAGACCGCTGTGCTCTTCGGCTCGTCTGTGCCTGACGCACAGGAAAGCAATGGTACACACCTTTGTACCCAGTGTTCGTCGTTGCCTTGCCTCTCGCGGTCTTCGTTTGGTTTGAAAAGATCGCAGACACGGCAAACGATTCGACACCACGCAACCCCAATCGACTCGACACCACACACCAATCTCTCGATCCCCCCCTTACCACTTCCACATGCCGACCTTGCGCTCGATCTCCTCGGTCCATCCGACGGCCGACCCGTCCCCGCCGGCGTCCAGGCCGAGCTTCACCCCGTCCTGTCCGTCGTAGATGTCCTCCCAGCTGACCTCGTCGTCCCTGCCCGTGAGGATGTCCTCGTGCAACCTGCTCGGCGCACCCAGGACCGTGGGTCGGAAGGCGTCGGCGTCGCGGACCATTTTCAGTTCCATCCCGCGCCGGAGGGGCTCGGCGACGCCAAAGGTTCGGCGCAGGAGCGTCATGCGGGTCGACTCTTGAGTGGCGGTCCAGTTGGCCAGGCGGGATTCGAGGGGGTGCGTGGATGATGTCGTCGTCGTCGAGGAGGTCGAGGGGGACAGGGACGACCGGAGTGTGTCGGGCAGACCCGGGGCCGAAGGGGCGCCGCGGTCGAGATCTTTGGGACCGTTGGACGAGGTGGCGGCGGTCGTGGAGGAGGAAAGTTTGGAGGAGCTGGTGTTGGTGGTGCTCGTCGGGTGGGCGGACGAAGGAGCTATGCGGAGAGACTTTGGGACGGGACAGTGTCAGTAAAAGGGGGTCGTCGTGACGTACGGTGAGGGATGTACGGGGTTTGTACGTACCATGATGAATCTCACGTTGGGATTGAAAATCGGTCAAGGAGGTAAAGGTTGATGTAAACTCAAGTTCGGAGCGGGAAGTGGAAATCGTCGTGTATGATGATATTGGACAAGACAGGCTCTAAGAGGACGACGGGCGACAGTAGCAATTCCACCCGGTATCGAGTAGAAGAGGGGTAGATGGAAGATGGTAAAGTACGGGTAAAAGAAGAGATGGGAACGTTGTCCTGGGATAACGAGTAGGTGAGGTATGCGACCAGCAACAAGTTGCGCAGGCACAAGGTGGATGTCGCGTACTCTGGACTTTGGCTGGGCGGAGTGGATTCTGCGTGATTGGATACGAAGATCCACCGTAGATGTATTCCACGGCGCACCAAACACTCACCTCGCGCGGTATATCTATCTATTCGGCCGGAGGCTGTTCTATCCTTCTCAGAGCCAAAGACGTTTGCACCTTTGGGATGCCCCAAATCTACCCAAGACTGAGCAGCAGCAATGTTGTAGTAATACCATGCCTTACATATACATTATCTGACCCGGTTTTAGAACCATGACTATGACACTCCGTAGTTGGGAGGGTCTCCGGGGTCGCTCTGTCGGACGTCTAACTTGCCTCCGTCGTCAGATTAGTCCCTCGATCATATAGTTGATAATCTCCAAGCTTGCCTGACGTTGCTGCTTCTTCTCAAGCTCAGTGTCGGAAGGAGGCGTTTGTTTCGGCATCCGCATGGCTGTACAACGGACATGCGAGTATGGTTGAGTCGCATACCAGCGACTGACCGGCGGGGAAATCTGTCCGGAAGTCTGCCTTCGAGTCGCATTTCTTTGTATAGTTGGCGGACATGTGTCGCGAATTCTTGAGCAACTTAACATCCAAAATATCTTTCCTCCAACCACCTCTTCTCGCCATCTTCGACCACATTTGCAGCGACCACTTTGATTTTGGGAAACACCGACAGCAGCCTTTTCAGTCCTCTTCTCCCGGCCATAAAGGTCACGAAGACGATCCTCGCCTCGCAGACACCATGATCGACCAAGACCTTGACGGCCATAAGAGCGGCTCCTCCGCTGGACATTTGAGGATCCAACAACATGACTGTTTCGTGCTCGGCGAGATCAGGAAATAGCGTCAGGTAGTGCAGCTGCGGCTCACCGGTCCGATAGTTTGACTGGATGAGCAATCGGCCGGTCAGGCAGTCGGGAATAGTCCGCTTCAGTCCAGCCTCCATGCAGCTTCCACCTCGTAGCACAACGACAGCAGAGACTTTCCCCTTCGGCTTCAGTCCGCTGTAGGTATACCCTTGCGGTGTCGTAACATTGGTGGAAATGTAATTGTGACAATCCAGGGCCTTCTCGATCAGGAGGGCCGTGAGCCTGTCAAAGTAGAAAACAAAGTCGAGATGGGAGGTGATGGGGTTGCGCAATATCGTCGAGACGCCGCTGATCTGTGGTTTACCCTCGAGAATCATGGCATTTTCCGAGAGTGCAAAATCCTCCAATTGCTGACCCAGCCTCTCCAGTTCTGCGTTATGCCTTGACGACTTTTCCTTGAGGATCTGTCGGACTTGATTGACAATCATCTGAATGGCCATCGTGTTCTGCATTCCTCGTGGGACAATGAGATCGGCAACTTCTCTTTGTGGCTCCACGTAGCGTTGAAAGACGGGCTTAACATATCGAAACCACTGTTTGATGGTACCCTCAATGGTCCGCCCTCTTTCCCTCACATCCCGCACGATTCGTCGTGAAAGGCAGACATCCGAGTCGGCTTCGACATAAATCTTCATGTCCAAGAGGTCCAGTACTCTGGGGTCGTTCAAAGCAAGAATTCCTTCCAGGATGATCACGTGCGGAGAATATATCGACACCGTCTTTTCCAAACGTTGGTGCTGTTGAAATGAATAGATAGGAATATCCGTCCTCTTTCCCTGCTTCAAGTCGTTCAGCTTCTCCACCAAGAGGTCAAAGTCGATAGAATCTGGGGAGTCCAGGTCATATTCGTTGAGATGCGCCAGTGCATTTTGCTCGGGCGTCAAGGACTTGTAGAATGAATCGATGGACAAAATGATGACCCAAGGGAGATTGAGTGACTTGATGATCTCTATCGCCAGGCTGGTCTTACCAGACCCTGAGGATCCTGCCACTCCAATAATGCTCATATCTGCCCATGGTGGAGAGTAATGTGCTGTTTGAATCGAGGCCTCAGCTGCCTTTTGTGCCGACGTAACAGTTGACAACTTGAGCAGATCTACTGTTCCAGCCATGACGATTGGGTATCCGAGGTTCGTTTACACGTCGGAATATGGCCCTTCAAGGATGTAGATATGGAGAGTTCACGTGTTGTTTGGTCAGGTTGCAATGCCATGGGGCGTATGCTTCCCTAGGCGAGCTGTTTGGAAAATTTGTGCACAATCCTTGTCGTGTACTGAGGAGCTGATGATGAAGCAAAGGATTTGGCAGCCCTGACTTTGTGCCTTACTAAATTAAAGCCCTCCACCGAGCCATGGACATTTATCTTTGCCATTGTTTGTGACGAAGTACGGATAACGAAGTACCAAATTCTGGCAAAACTTCGGCCACGGCATCGCACCCAATTCTCCCTCATCATCCTGCTACTCAACTTCCTTGTAGTGTACGACGAGTCCAACAAGCACACTGCTCATGCTGCAGATTTGGGGCGAGGTATGGATCTAGCTGATCTATCCTCAAACTGGAAAAAGCTGCAGGCGACTTTCAAGAAATCAGATGTTGCCAAATCATCGTCCAAACTTACGAACCAAAATGGCTTGAAGCGGAAACGCGAGCAATCGAAGGCTACTATCACCAAGCCTTCCTTGCTACCCAGGAAGAAGTTGCGTAGAACCAGGACCATGGCTCAAGGCGGAACGGCAGCGAAGGCGACTGTTCCTATACAGGACCTAGAAAAGTCTGACAATGGCGGACGCCCACGACCTGCGGATCGGGCATCTTCAGACAAAGTAAATGACGGACTGTCTACATCGTCAGTTGCCCAGGCACAAGGCCTCAACACGTGCTGACAGGAAACAGAATAGAGATCGGCAAGTACGTTGCCATTGACTGCGAAATGGTAGGAGTAGGCCCGCATCCGGAGAGAGAATCCGCCCTGGCTCGAGTCAGTATCGTCAACTACAATGGAGATCAAGTTTATGATTCCTACGTATTGCCCCAAGAGACAGTGACAGACTGGAGGACATTCGTTAGTGGAGTGGAACCCAAACATATGAAATATGCTCGATCTTTCCAAGAGGCGCAGGCCGACGTTGCAAAAATCATGCAGGGCAGAGTACTTATTGGTCACCACATTAGCCACGATTTGAATGCCCTAAAGCTCAGCCATCCTCAGCGAGATATTCGCGATACCGCACGGCATACACCGTATAAGAGGATACACGGAGGCAGTGGGTACCCACGCTTGAAGTTGTTGGCATCTGAACTGCTCGGCTTCGAGATACAAGAGGGTGAACATTCCAGTATAGAGGATGCGCGGGCTTGTATGCTCCTTTTTCGCAGAGATAAGGCTGCATTTGAACGAGAGCACGCTAAGAGATGGCCTACAAGACCTGCACGGCCTCCCAACCCGCCTGGTGACACGGAAAACCAAGAACAGGCATCGTCGCCCAAGAAGAAAAAGAAAAAGAAGAAATCAAAAAGATGAATTCGAACTCCGCCTGCGAAGTGATCAGGTTGAGTTGAGAGAGCCATATTATGGCGAAACCCTTATACGGGTATATCTTCCATCATTTCCATCGCTCCTTCTCTTGCGACTGTGATGATTACATCACCCAGTGTCTTGGTGTTGAATCCGGCTTCACAATAAGTGAAATAATACTGGCTACTGGTCAATTCATGGCACTCTACAACAGAAAAATGATGGACTCACCTCCCACTTCTTTCGGAACAACAGAACATCGCTCTCGGTCATACCATCATGTTCGGCCAATAGCGCTGGTTTTATGCGCTTCTGGAAATTTCTCTCGAAGTTCTCCTTCCATATACGAAGGGCCTTTGCATAATGTGGACCTATGTTCTCTATCGAGTCGACCACCAATAGTCCCTGGCTGCCTTTGTTAATGGAATCGACCAGTTGCGAAACTGTGGGTAGATGACCTCCAGGGAAGATGTATTTTCGAATGAAATCTTCACCTTTGGCGTATGCTTCATATCTCGACTCGGGCATGGTGATACACTGGAAGACCGCTATGCCACCATCTGGCTTGAGAAGCTTATGAACACAGTCGAAATACGTCGTGAGGAACTCTCGCCCTACTGCTTCGAGCATCTCGATGCTGACAAGCTTGTCGTACGGACCCTCGCGCGGCATGGGCAGTGCTCTGTAGTCGCAAAGCAGCACTTCAATACTTTCAGTCAATCCTGCGTCTGCGATCCTCTGGTCTGCAAGATCTTTCTGTTCCCGACTCAGAGTCAAAGAAGTCACTCGACAACCTGTTCTCTGGACTGCTCTGATGGCAAAACTTCCCCAGCCTGTTCCAATCTCTAAAATGTGGTCCGTCTCTTTGATCCTTGCATTGTCGATGAATCGATCCAGTTTTCGCATCTGCGCGTCTTCCAAAAGTTCCTCCTTCTTGGGCTCGTCCAATTTTGACAGAGCCGCCCAGATGGGACAGGAGTAAGTCATGTCTCTGGACAGAAATGCTTCGAACATCTCGTTGCTGATATCATAATGTGCGCTTATGTTCAATTGCGCATTGGGAAGCGTATTCGTGCGGCGCATAAACCCACTGATTGTGGAGGAAAGGTACGAGGTTATCGTGGTCGCGTTTGACAATTCGTTGCGGTTTAGAATGAATAACTTGTGTTCTGGTCAGCCTTATCTGCCATTCCAATTGGATGCTGCTTACCTGGAAAAATGCGGTGAGATTTGAGCATTCTACCTCACCAAGCATGAAGGACTCTGCGAAACCCTGCTCCCTAGGTCAACGGACTGCGATTCTAAGAGACGTGGAAAGCTGACCATGTCGGTGAACAAAGCTAAGCGCAACCAGAATGCGTCGCGGACTACTTGCAGTCTAGCCAGAGGTTCAACGTATTCTCCAGCCTGGCCACAGACTGTTTCTGTACCATCACTTTCGACCACGGGTAAGACGGCCGATTTTGATCTCCGACAGAAGCGACAGAAAAGACCTCCGGCATGACTTGATCATGGGGTCCCATGCTACCGTACCCGCGTAGGTACGTAGTCGGTCTACTAAGGATGATATAGAGGGCGCCATGGCTCATGAACGAACAATCAACGGCACTGGCTATGATATACGACAATAAACAAGGAGTGCAAGCAGATCTTTCATGAGTGAGTGTGTGACAACTTTGAAGAAAAACGTAGGTGAATGACGTGAATTTTGAAGGAAAGTTCCAGCAGGCCGGGTTTTGTATGGTGCCACATGTGTCGGCATGGAAAGAACTACTCATTACGAGCAGCTGCCACCAAGGTATCCATGTTTGTCAAGTGAAGAGCTTGCGATGCCATTCGATATTAAATTAGACAGCGGGGTTATAGAAGCGAACATCGGGACCAGGTCTTTCAGGCCACCAAAATGTCCTTTTAGATTAGGTGATGATTTGTTGCCGGTACCTTTCATTTGCATATCCGCTACGCTACGTGTGACATCGTGCCTCTACGAGACGAATCGCTCCAGAGTGATCGGCACCGCTGACAGTCGAGGCAACTACACGTAGACTAGAAAGCCTCGCAACAGTTGCGAGTGTCTGAGCAAGTGAACCACAGAGGGTCAGATTGGCGAAGATAACTCGTAATTGTTTAGAGATGTATGACGTCTACACATGTTGTTTTTGACTTGGTGTATATTTTTGTACCTGACGATCTTTGGCGTGGCGGGGCTCGAGGAAGTCTAAGAGACCATTCGAACCATCCGTAGCGATAACTGTCGGGAGGGATTCGGTTTCATCGAATACCGGTTTGGTAGAAGTACTGTACACATCTGAGACTCGTAGTCAGACAACTGCGTCTCATTCTTGACGGAGAATGTATTTTCAGTGAACATTGCAGTTTTGAATTGAGCCGCATGAGATCCCTGTACGAGTACGAGACGAGACCAGTAAAGGCCCCGGTCTCCCCGCTACCAGGCACTCTATTTTAGATACAGATTAGATAAGGCTGATCCGGAATGAAGTGTTTCTCCGACGCGTCCCAATTAACCAGACGCGTGCCTCTCAGAGTATCAAAATCTTTGCCTTGGTCGTTGTGAAATATACCACAACGATTGTGGCACTCCGTGTTCCGTACAAAGTGACGTCCCTTGTTCATTCTGCCGTGTCAACAATACCGCAAGCACTTCTCAGACAGTTCACAATGCTCGCACTACAACGCAGGTCGAATCCCGCGGGTCCCTGCACCGCCAACATCCTACCGTGTCGCATCCATCATGACGGTCCTACCAAAGTGACCAAGAGATGCTGGAGTCCCCAGGATGAACAAGGTAACACTTCCGCGGTCTCGAAGAAACAGAAAAACCACAGTGAACTGAATGAATAACCCGCTCGCCAGACCGGACCAAGACGGCACACTTTCGCGGTCGAAGATTACGCGGAAGAGTAGTAAAACTACCACCAGGGTATCACGGTACGTTCCCATCACGGCAGATTGCAAACACATGCACACCCGCACACAATGGTATGAGTTTTGGCCGTCGCTGACCACAATAATACCGTACAACACAATACAGGCGTCGTCGCAAAATCAACCGATCGATATCTCCCGCAACCTGTCAAGAATGGCCCCACATACACCGCAGTCGACGAGGACATTGAGATTGAAGATGAAGAAGAAGAGCCCCCGGAGCCGGTCAAGATCCTCGAACAAGTAACCACTTTCGACGAGGTCGTGGTATGGGGACACGATCGAGTCCCTGATCAAGACGACGCTTTTGTCAAGGGGCTGGAGGAATGGATATCCTTCGCCGAAGCCATACATGGAAAGCCTCGAGACTCGGGCAAACCTCAAGAAGCGACCGCCGAGTCGCCTTCTTGAAATGAGCCAACCAGACCATCCGACCAACAACACCAAATTCCTCCCGAACGTCGAGCCCATCAACCACCGTGACCGGAGAGACAATAAGGTCATGGTCATCGTGGCCTCGGAAATCTCAACGACCTCAGCCGGTCCGGAAGTTTTTCGAAAGCCTCACCATGACGCCCCTCCTGACAAAAGCCACAGCATCCTGATCTACGGCACAAAAGATCAAGGCCTTGACCTCTGCGTCTCAAGATACTCCTTCTTGGCCCGAGTCCAATCCCTCTTCAACCGATCATATTCTTCGCACTCTGCGCACCTCCGCCAATACCCCTTGAAGATGTCGCTGGCTTCTTCCTTCTCCTTCCTCTTTCCCCCGACGTCGTCGCCTGTCCATTTCTCCAACTGCTCGCCCGAGTCCTTGTCGTACTTTCGACCACCTTTGTGGTTGGCGTACCTCCTGGCACGGGTCATGCCCATCTGGATGAACTTGCGCGTCATATCGGCACCCACGAGGTCCCTGCGGTCGACGTACGACTCGAATATCGTCCACAGGACCTGCGCGGATCTCTCTGCGATCGGCACGGTGCGAAAGGCCCAGTACGGCAGGATCAAACTCTTGTACGGCTCAAAGGAGAGGACCCCCATTTCGCCACGGGCAATTTCGTACGAGTAGCACAGTCCTAGGTCATTCAGGGCGGGTGTGTCCAGCGGTTGGTCGGGGGCGATAATTTTTTTTTCGGTTGTCTTGTTGGGCATGGCTCTGTCTCTTTGTACAAGTAGATATGCATACTCTAGCAAATGCACGGGTTGTCTTGAGCATCGAATGCCAGACGGTGCTATCGGGTGTGTTTAGGTATGACGCGCTCATCTACTATCAAATGCAGATTATGTCTTGGCGGGCCGTTCCATCTCTCTCGCCCTCCGCTTTGAACGTCATTCAATCCAGCCATGCCCTGCAAGGCTGGGTGCTATCGAACCTCCTTGAAGATCAGGTCAGTGGACTGAAATCTTGTGTATTTGGTGGTGCCCAGGACGATGTCAGATTATGTTTCTCATTAGTGTCACTCTAGTCCTCAAATTGAATTTTGATTACGCATCGTCGATAAAAGGGACTCGACGGAGGTCAGTTTTGTGCAGCAAAAGGCTACTATCAATTGCATTGTGTTTGACACAACTAATATGTTTCCTTCTCATAATACACAAGTCATGCTACTTGATGAAAGTGCCCAACACATACACCCATTGATCTCGTTCTTCTTTTCTGCCATATGAACACGATGGCTACTTGATACTTCCAGGTGGACCATGCAACATGTAGAGATGTCCTGTCATACTCTATGGATCAATGTTGAGTATCTGTCTTGTTGAATCTGTTGATATTCGCGAAGGCTGTGCCGCAGCAATGTTGCACATGTTTCGACGGAAGGATGAGCAAAAAAGAGCAAAATGGAGGTGCCAGCCGACCAAGAACAAGATGCACACCAAAAATAGTGGAAGCAGGATCATGTTCTCAGGAGCACCATGACGATCGGCTCATTTGACGGAGACGGACTGCGGAGTAGTGGTGACATTTTCCTTGCCACTGGCAGGCTCAATCTTGATAGTGACCTTCTTTGGACTGGGTGTCTTTTTGGTGGCATCGTTACTCTCTTGAAGGATTGGAAGGATGGACGCAGTCTTTTGGGGACCCTCGACATAGGTGCTCGGAGCCGTTGTGGCAGGCATGTTGGTACGGACAGTTGTGATATTGGTGATTGATTGAAGTCCGCCTTGCATAGGCCATTGAGAGCTGCGAGTCACACTGACTGACTTGTTGACACCGGGCATCTCACTGGAAACAGCAAAGTTAGCAGTGGAAAGACAATGGATGTGCAGTAAGGCTGAACTTACGCCGGAGAGACTGACGTCGCTGGGGTGAAAGTATTGCTAGCTCCCGCAGGTGATTGGTAGCTTCCGATGGGACTGATATGGTTGCCCATGTCTTGCAAACGAGTCAAGATCGGAGACGGGGTGTGTTCAACAGAGTAGCTGTATTCACGACTGCGCCAGTTGCGACGTTCCTGGCTCTGCTGTTTCAGCTGCTTCTGGGCCTTGGTATCGGCAAATCGAAGGAACAGCTTGACGCCGTCGTGGTCGGTCAGAACAGAATGGAATTCTCTGATGACACGCTCAGCAATTTCACGACTCTCAAATCTGGAAAGGTCAATATGGAACTCTTGTTGACAAGCATGCGGCTAAATACCTGGCAAATCCAACTTCTTTGCTGACCCCAGAAGGTACATCCCGACAGATCTTGGTAGAAACGGCGCGGTAAGGCAGGAAGTGCTTGGCGAGATCCTAGAAAAGTGAGTGGAAAGCCGAGCATGGAGGGAGATATTAACGCACAGATTCATTCCAGTCAATGGGGACTCCGGTGCAGTAGATGTTGGTGGAACTTTTGTCTTCAAGGTCCTTGAGGCGAGAATTACGAGATTTCTGCAGACGATCAGCGATTTACAGGACATGGAGGCCTTGAAATACCTGAGCATAGCTGGCTTGGAAGCCGAGATGGAAGAAGCCTCGAATGCAATTCTCAGCAGCAGCAGGAGAGTAGTACATGACAAAGCCGAAGCTGTAAATGTGTTAGTCGAGCTCATGTTGGTATGGGGCATTAGAGACATACCCTTTGCACTTGCCAGTGTCCTGCTCAATGATGGCCTTGCACGATTCGATCTCTCCAAACCGAGAAGCCCAACGTTCAAGATCCTCGTCCGTGGTATCAGGCATAAAGCCACGGATGTAAACATTGGTGATGCCTTCGGGATTCTGGAGACATTTGGCGAGACTGAGCTCTTCTTGGTTGGTCCAAAGAGCTGGGACAGCACGCGGAATTGGCGTATCACGAGAGACAAGTTCGTCCAGGTTGACCATTTCATACGACTTGTTGTCAGCACACTTCATAGGTTGAATTGGTCCAGAAATGTACTGTGCAGCGGTTGCCGCTGTGGCCGGATAGGGCATACCCGGGTAATACTCCGATTGACCCTGGAGGCCCACAGCTTGATTGGTAGTGGTATTTTCTTCATTGGATGACCAGGATGCTCGACGGGCTGGGTCAAAGCCGTTGACATTCGAAGCTATACCATATGGCCAGCAGTAGCCTGACATAGGACCGGCAGGGATGTTGTTGCCCATGAAGCTAGGAAACATTCCAGTAGGCATGTATGGCAACTGGGAAGTAGTGTCTCCAGTGGATGCCTGATTTTGACCATAGAAGGAGCTCAGAGGAACAGTCTGGCCAGACGGGAGAACCATGAGTGGATTGTTGTAGCCTTGACGTTGGCCAGCTGCAGTGACTTCGCCGTCCATTTGGTTGGATGCTGGGAGGCTTGCCTTGAGGGTTTGCATATTGGCCAGTGGGTTGTTGCTTGCCATGCTTAGTCCTAGATGACAATAAGCATTCTCTCCACATGACAACAGCGTCCTTCTCTTACCTCCAGTGTATGATGGTTGGTAGGTAGATCCCGAGTAGGGTAGTCGAGATGGATGGTAGCTAGCGTAGGCTGTGCCTGCGGTAGCTTGAGTTCCGGTCTTCTCAGACATGACTATCAGGATCTGTCAGTAGAAGTTGCTTGTGCATGGTTGAGCACCACAGGGGTATCAGGAGAAGTATATCACTCACCCACGGTTGCAATCACCAACGGGGTAGCCTTGCCACGCCCAGTGGGGTTCTCCTTGCTGAGGATTTGTTGGAAATGATAGAGCAGCAATGAGATGGGTACAATGAGCAAGCCAAAATGCAGTCGGGATGGATGATAAGGGTGAGGAGGGCTAACAGCGGAGGAGTGTGTGTGAAGCAAAGCTGTAGCTATGTGTTCTGTGTAGAGAAGAAAAGAAAAAGAAGAGAGTAGAGAAGAGAGGGACAGAAGACATCTTTGCTGGGTGTGCAAGCGTCTCAATGGAAGGAGCGGCGACAATAGGGAAGGTAGTTGATGTATGGCCGACAATGGCAAGCGCAAGGCCTATTCATCTCTATGGGCTCAATTGCGCTGAGCCCGAAGAAATGCCATCACCGCCAACAATAGGGAAAGAACCATAATACCTCAATGCTGCTGCGTTTCTCGCTTTCAAGTCTGTTATTCCGAAGCACCCTTTCCATGCCATAAGATCTCTTTCTGAGAGACATTGTGTTGATCACTGGGAAACAAGACTTGTCAGGTTCATTCTAGCTGCCAGCATTCAACCTGCTCCTCAATAGAAATGTCAATGCGCTTGCTCTCATGAGCTTGACGGCCACGTATCCCCGACTCGACTTGAAGGTCATGGAATGCATACGCTCTTCGTCTTTATGGACGAATATGTCGTCAAGCGGACAACCCAGAGGCAGGATGAAGGACATAATATGGTAGATGTTGAGAGAGGTGTTGTCGTGAGGCCATGTCGTGAACGTGTGCCAGTGATTCGCCGTAGAAATGGTCCAGACTCGATAGGCGAAGTATTCATACCCAGACGCAAAGATTGGAGAAATGGAGCCTCGACTCCAACCTCGATGCCAAAGATCTTAAAGATTTTGTCCAAACCTGCAGACACCCGATACAAGTACTTTCCATTGTATAGCTTTTGTCTGAATGACTGTCATGGCCGATACCCCGTCAAAGGAGATTTGGCAGAAAGTAGGGTATCCCAATATTTTCTCCCATATCTGGCTGACGTCTTGGTAGTTTTTCCTCCAACATGACTCTATTGTATCCCTGCTTGACAACCATGCTACCGTCCTCATTGAGTTGAGAGACCATTGCGCCGGCAGCGACGCAGCACTGGAAGCACTCAAGGCGCGGTTGATCAGCACAGAAACCCTAATCGCAGGGTTCAAATCGTCTAGCGAGGCATTGGTACGCACTGTCTGCTCCTTCGCGAGGCCTGCGGAAATGACTGATTGCAACAGAGATCAATCACCAATCAAGATGACTTCGAGTCAACAGATCCTGCCAGCCGTCGAAACATTCCGTTGCGCACTGCCACACCCACGGTTGACTCTAGTGGACTATTTTCTTTCGATGCGAATCCCTCGATTGTCGGTGACTTGCTCAAGGAGAAGTCAACCCCCAAGCGCAAACTGCAGACCGATGGAACGATGGAACCTGAACACGAGCGCAAGAAGTCGAAATCGAATGGTCAACTCCAGCCAGAGTCCTCAGAAGAAGAGGACTCTTTTGTACGAGGGGTTGAGGCTCGAGTCCAAGCAAAAGCAACCCGAAAGAAGGAAAGTACAGAAAAGAAGCGCAAAAGGCAAAGCGACGGATCCGCATCCGGTGAGAACAGAAGCCATCAACACAAGAGGTTGAAGCAGGAAGGCAACGCATCAGGGAAGCCTATGGATATCAGACAGAACAGTAACGGCAAGAGACCACGAGCGTCATCGAAAATCAGTATGCGAAACAAAAAGACTCACAAAAAACGCAAGAGATGAATTTGGGCGTCTCCAAGAACTAAGAATCCGAGCCCCTCGTTTCATGTTCATGAGCACAAAAAACTTGGAATCAGCCATCCGTGACGAGCAATCCTGTTACTGGTGCCTTCTATGTTGCACCAAGCATCACCATAGCAAACTCTCACCGTGTACCACCATGCTATCTGCCGCTTTCCTGTACTAGTCTGAGGTTTGTCACACAGCTGAAAATTTGCCCTGGATGTTTCCTTCAAAATGATACACCTCTTGACTTCGGATTTCAAAGTCGTGTCATTCACTTTCCAAGGAATCGTGGTAAGGTTCCTGATGCTATAAGTCAAGACTACTCAGGTCCCGCTGACAATAATGCCAAGCAGCCGTGTGCAGAGACCGAGAGATATGCTGACGAGCTGGACATCCTCTATTAAGTGAACGAGCTGAAGACAGCCGAGAGAGATGAATAGCAAGCTCAAGTCGAAGATATTGGCCGCCCTTTTTGCAATGCCCGAAGTCGCGACGCCGGGTGATCGCACCTCCGGCCAGACTCTACGCTCAAGCACTACGCTATGTTCAGACGAGGCTCCAGCCATACGTGGAAGCCGTCACGAACAGCAACGCAGACAGCAAACACTAGAGAACGAACAGGCTCGCGAAGAACTCCGAAAGCACGGCATTAAAGTCCGTGACTTCCAAGTCGAAGTTGATGCTCGGAAGCGCCACAGTGCAGCAACTCCAACAACAAAACGTGTTGACAGTACGCACTAACCGTCGTACCTGCGAGCATCTCGTGGAGGAAAGGGGTCAGGCCAGATGTGTTGGAGGCCGATGCAGTTTCGGGTAAGCCCTCGAAGCTGATGCCATCGTATCTTGATTGAAGAGATTGTTGGATCAATCATCAACTGTTCTTTTTGCTCTCCAAAGCTTCTTGGTCTTTCTCTTTCAGCTCTTCACCCTGCTTCTTGCCCCATGTCCAGACCTCCCAGATTTGGTCCATGATCATCGAGCCGTAGCCTTCGCCTTGTTCGATCTTTTCCTGCTCTTCTCGTAACCGTCGTTCTTTCCAGCCCTCAGTCTCGCCGCCCATCCATATCTCTTTGGCCTTTTCTTCCAAGGCTGAACCTTTCCTTGGCTCCACGGGTGTTCCAGATTCTTCGAGAAGACGTCTCTGGCGTTCTCGGTCTTGGGCCTTCGCAGCTTGGATTTCGCGAGCACGTTTTGGCATCGCAAACGGCACGGGCATGTGGCCTAGTAGGCCTGAGCCTGTGCGTTCTTTCAATTGGTAATTTGCTGAAATTGCGAAGGCCCCAGACAGCGAGAAGGTGTAGAAATCGAATTTCCGAGGAGGCAGGATTATTAGAACTGGTGCTAGGAAAAGAGTTGCAAAAGATGCAGTATATAGAAATTTGTGGTAATCATCGGTCATGTTCTTGCGCTGGAGCGGCGAGATTTCTCCGTCAGACGACGCCATGGTAGCTTGACAACCAAATACAAAACCAATCCTCAAAATGTTTGTAACTGCATGGATCTCTACGAGTATGATGCGGAGAATGTTTTACCTCGATCAAGTCGGAGTAATGTTCAAAGCCTGACCGGCGTGGGATCGTCGTTGTACTGCACCGTACGAGTACTGTGCTTGGCGTGAAAATTCGCGTTTCCTGGTACTAACTGCTGTACCGTAATTGCGTGGTCCACCCTAGTAGGTATCTATTTTCACACCTTAGCTGCAAAATGGCTGGCCTCTTCCTCTTCCACTCACGCCTCTCGCTCGATCGAGAAAAATATCATCGGCAGCTCAACACCTGCCCAAGTATCTCCAATGAGGGCGACCTCGGTAGACTTACAGAGGAACCAGACTTCGGGAGGTTGAGGCCTCCCCACTTCCACACGCAAGGATGATGCCCATGGTAAGAGTCTAGGACTCCTTCGTCAAACTTGTGCTCATTCTCGCGCAGACTCATTATGGTTTCGACCACTGGATGAGCACTTCCGATGTCACCAAAGCGTACGAGTTCCACCCTTTCTCGCCCTCTCAGCTTTGCAGGATGTACTTTTGACAAAATGGGAATCTCTCTGAACTTTCTTGAAGAGACGAATATTGTTTTGCTTTCTGAAAATTTCCAGAAAAATGGCACACACTCTTTAAGTCAAGTTTGGAGGTCACCACTGATAATTGGCGCAAACAGTGATATAAACAAACTGATCATGGACTATTTGATCACGGAAGGCTACCCATCAGCTGCTCGGAAGTTCGCCGCCGAAGCCAACATCCAGCAAAAAGCAGACTTGACAGCTATCGAAGAGAGAGTACGGATCAGAGATTCCATTCACCGCGGAGACATGCAGCACGCTATCGAGCTGATCAACGACCTCAACCCAGAAGTAAGTACTCTCACCGTCCAGCTTCACACCAACTACATGATTAGATTTGTTTTCATGCACCACTCATAGCCCTTCTGGGCCGAGATGAGAGCAAAAACACCTTCAGTCCTCAGTATGATTTGTTATCTGTCATGCCAAATTTATTTCACAGTTTTGCTGGTTCTGCAAGCACTGACCATTTCTTAATAGCTCCTAGACACCGACAAGAAGCTTCATTTCTCGCTTCTGCGTCTACAACTAGTCGAGCTTATCCGTCTCAGTTTCAACTCTCCTGATCAAGCACTTGTTGGAAATGCAATCGAATTTGCCATGCACAACCTTTCACCATACGTACCACTCGATCCACAGTTCAAGATTGACTTGGAGCGAGCAATGGCTTTGCTAATAGTCCCGAAAGAGTCATGGGTCAAGGCAGCAGCGGCCCCAACCACGGCCCAAGCCAATAATGATTTTGGCGTTCTTGCCGAGCTAGTCGATCCCTCTTTACGACAGAAGGTCGCCAAGGACGTTAACGAAGCCATCTTACAGTCTCAAGATCAGAAGCGGGAGGCCAACATCCGCTACCTGGTGAAAGTGCGTACTTGGGCTGAACGAGTTGCCCGGGAAAAGAGGCTTCAGATACCAGAAAAGTTGCCTTTCGATGCTGATGCTGAGAAGCCCGCAGAGGACGATCAGAATGAAGACAATGGTGACACTGAGATGACTGAGAATGGTGGCACTGAAGAGCCCAACGGTGGTGGCGATGCCGAGTTGGCTCGCTACACGAACATCCCGTCTTGAGAGACTTTTGAACACAATAAGGCCTCCCATAGACATCTTCACCTATGCACGACGAAGAAACCTGTAAGATTCGAGGGGCAGGCGAAGATGGGTAATTGCAACGGTGTCGTGTTGGGAACTCGTTGCACCTATACTCCGCATGCCATTGCGAGCTCCACGTTTGGACACGATTTTATGATATGATTGTCACATTAGCGAAGGCGTTGGTTGTTACATTCGTTAGCAGAGTACAATGTCTTTACACCTCATTTCATGATGCCAAATCTTATGTGCTATTGTACTCGGTACCGGATGTGCGTTTTTAAACCAGAGTCCCGTAATATCCTGTCATTGCTACTCGTAGTAATAATTAAAGTTGGACCGCCTCCAACGCCATGCTGTTTAAAAATGATATCAATCCTGCTGCTTCCCCCTGGGTGCCATCGTCGACCTCGCATACGTAGGGGGAAAATCTACTACCAGTTCCATGTGCGGCTACTAGCCGTGAAGACGGGCGGCTTCCAGTTCAATCTGCTCGCGTCGATCCCCCTGGCGCCCTTTAGTTTTTCCTTCTCCCGTTTCTTCTCCTGCCACTCCAGCAGTTCGTCCCTGACGACGATGATCCAGGCTCCCTTGTGATACCTCAACAGCTTCAACACCTCGAGTTGCTCGTGGACGTCCTTCTCGCTCATGGCCGTCAGGCTGGCGATCTCGGCGATGCTCGTGCTGAACTGGCTGCTCGGGGCGTTACCGAAGCCCAGGCTGCTGTGCGGGTGCAGGTGGTCGCTGCTGGGCGTGTGGCTCGCGCTCCCCGGGGCCGGCAGCCTCGCCGGGTCACTCAACAACTCGACCAGCGTCTCCTTCCAGTACTGCCGGTAGCTCAGCAGACCCAAATCGCTCAAGGGTTTCTCGGGGGAACCGAGCTTGCCCTCCCGCTTGCTGAGTTCGTAGCTGAAGGCTATGAGCAGTCGGCCCAAACCCTGGCGCTGGTACTGCGGCAGGGTCATGATGCAAGCGAGGTTGTAACCCTCGGCGGACTCTTTTTCTTTGGAAAAGTAACCCACGAGGTGGCAGCCGTGCTCGTCCCGCGTCACCATGCAGTAGAAGAGGAAAGGGTCCACGTCGTAGTAGAGCGTCTTGTGGTCCAGAAACAACTTCGACAACAGACACAGATTTCTACACCAGGTGCGTTGTCGACGTCCGTCGACCTCGAAAAAGGAAACAAAGTCGTCGCGGTAGATCTCGTTGCCGGGAGGGTGGCGGAGTTCGCACTTGGACCGGTGCCGCTCAAAGGCCTTGCGCGAAGAGAAATACGACAGACAAAACTCGTCAATGTAGACCATGTCGACGTCTCCAAACTCCTGGGGGTACGGACTGAAATACCACGGCTCGATGACGTGCTTGCCCATCTGGATCTTGTTGAGGTTGCGCACGAGGTGGAGCTGGGCGTGGTTCTGGACCATCGACCCTCCCGTGCGCAGTTTCTCAATCTCCTCCTCGGGCTCCAGGATCGCGGGCACCTTCTCCTCCGTCTTGGTGGTCACGTCCGTCATTTCGACGTCGGTGCTTCCCGCGGGGAGCTCCGCGCTGTCTTCGTGACTCAGACTGGTCAGCGGAGTGCCGGCCTGGGCCAAAGCCGGGTCGTCCGCGATCAGGGAATCCTCGCGGTTCTCCTTCCCGCCCGCCTTGGATGGGAGAGGGCGTTTGCGGTCATTGCCAGCTTTGGACGTCAGTAGGTCCGGCGTCGCGGACCCAGGTCGCGAATCCGTCCGGGGGCGGCCGGCCTTGGTGGTGGTGATGGATTTCGCCTGTGCGTTTTTGGTCGACGATGCCTTGGTTGTCACCGTGGTCTTCTTCTTCTCGGGTTTTTCGGGAGCAGGCCATTCGACCTCTTGAGAGAGATCGATTCGCTCCGCCGAGATCCATTCTGTTTGATATCGTTAGGCACAGAACATCAATCAACCAAGCAGAGATTCGGGTCAAAAGTCCTCACCATCGAGACGCTTGTTGAATTCAACATAATGCACGCTGTACAAGTTTTGTTAGGTAAAACGCTCCGTTACCTTCATATGTCTGGCCGCCCCTCAATACAGGACTTACTAGAATGTCAAAGAACCATTTCTCTGTTTTATTGATAATATTTCTGCTTTTCTGGGTTCGCCGTTCTATCGATTTGGTGATTAGTCCCATCGTTCTTCAATACCCTCACGATATCTTCATCACGTGATATAGGTTTTGAAGGCTTTGGACAGGAAAAAACCTCACCTTTTCAACAAAGGCCTTTACACCGATCCTGAATTCGAAAGTCAGTGTCGTCCGGGATAAAACGATGGCGTAGAAATTGTGATTCTAGGAAAGTCTGAGAACATACTGCAATTGATTGAGCGTAGCGAAGCCCTTGATGACCGGCTCAGGTGTATCATTTGATTCACCACCATGATCACCGCCCGCCATGATGATCGCGTCGTCTATGCGACAAATTCTATCGAAGGAAAAGAGTTTCGAACTTGTGGTTGAGTAGTTATGATAAAAACTAGATTTGCAGTCGTTGATGACTCTGCTGGGTTGAAGTTGGAGGAGGAAGTTTGGAGGAGCCTGGGCCGCTAGAAAGCCTGTTCCTAGGCGGCCATATTAGGCGCCAATATCGATTTTTTAAGCACAGACTACAACACCTATAGGCAACATCAAACATTGCCTCCAGGGTCCTCTATTGACATGTCTACCAACACACTTCACGCAACAGGGTTTTGAAGAACATGCATATTATGTATTGTTTGCACCATTCGCCAATAACTGCCTGTCTCAATATGATATCTTCAGTAGCAATATAAAACCTCACCACCACAAACCAATAAGTACAAAGCGCTTGCTTACAACGAAAGTCATTCTGGTAGAGGCATACTTTCAAGTTGATCAACTAGACTCCTCCAGTTGCTCGCCTGCAATTCTGCATACTTGACCCGCTCTTGACTCCAGTCTTGATGCAGACGGCTGATGGCATAAATGGAGGTTTGGAAGGTGACAATTTCGTCCCTGACACATTCCTTGATGAAAACTCCCCGAGCATGTTGTTGTACAATGCTCTCCTTGTCCGACATGATGCTGCTCTCGACTTTCTCCATCTCGCCAGGTTTGACTTGGCCCTGGGGTTTCTGTCGCAGTTGCTGTAATTTGTGCTCTGACGCTTCGATGCGTCTTTCGAGTTGCGGGATGTTGTCTCGAGCATATCTATCTCGGCGGTCGAACATGTCGCGCATCGAGACGTAACTGTCGCGAATCGCTTTCATGTCTTCGAGTACTCCCATATCCCATGCTTTGGCCTCATCATCAAGTAGCGTCGAATGTGTCGAAAGGTGTTTCGAAGTCGAACTGATTCCTTCGTTCAAAAGTGGTATGTCGTTGGTATCGATAGCATAAGTAGGTGCTGTAGCTTCTGTAAGATGAGAAAGTGCCGTACTGAACTTGGCATTTTCAGCAGCAAGTCCTTCGTTGCGCTTCACCATCCGTTCCAGTAAAATACATATATTGATGTAGACCTCGGCCGAACGTTTGACGCCCATACGGACCTCTTCGAACAATTGAGGGAGACTGTCTGGCAGGCTGTCTTCAAGCGTCGGAGGAAGAATTTTCCCTGTAAATTCTTCTTGCACTGATATTGTTGCTTGCTTCCGCCAGACCGCAAGTTCCTGCACCTGGTGTCAGTTGTCAGTCCATTCAGTGGACATCCCATGGCGAAGGACTTACTGTAGGAACGGTCAAAAACATGACCACGAGCGTTTCTTGGCTCAAGATAGGGTGCTCGACAAGCGCATTTGTGAATCTAACCAGGCCCCTTCTCCGTTTCTCCAGGAAAACAGCTGCATCAGCTGAAAGATGTGTACCATTCACTGTAAGTTGGATCAGCTTGGGAAACGTGGTCAGGTGGGAAATCTCACCTTGAACTCGTTTTGGTGGCAGCAAAGGTAGTCGTCGAAAAGGATATCGCTTCTGCAGACAATCGAGGAGCCAAACGAAGTCGCTGTAACGCCTGACGACTGTGGCTCCTCTCCGTGTTGTTGTAACCTCGTAGTTGCGATGCTGAAAGAGAAACATTCCCTCCTTCTCTGGCAGCATAGAGATCGTCACGCTCTCTCCTGTACCAGAGGGAAGGACAATGCTCTGGGACGCAGAAGGCCGATGCCGATGGCCAGGTCCATTCGATTGATCATCTCCCTCATCTCCAAAACCGCCACCAAGAACCGGCTGCTCGGAGAAGCCTGCTGAACTGCCATTGTAATTGTTCCAGCCTGCGCCAGCACTGGGGGCTGCAGTATCATTCGGAGACCCACCATTGCTGCCTGACTGTTCACCTTGTGTAGTAAATGCACTTGTAGTCCTTTCAAGGCCATTCGAAGCGCCTTTGACACTCTCCGGCACGCCATTAGCCGCCATCGTTTGAGCAGCAGTAGAAGCAGGGGGTCCTCTGCGATTTGAGGGACTAGCCCAAGGGTCTGCGGTAGGGTCGTTGCCGAAGGATTCTTGTCGAGGCTTCTGCTGTCGTACTGGGGTCGGCTTCGAGGCTGGGAGAGAACTGGGCTGCGGACGACTATCGGCCCGGAGTTGTTCTATGTAGCCCACTTTGGGCTCTGGCAATTCTGCGATATGTTTAGCTTCTACTCCGAACGAAGTCCAAAAAATGACATGTCACTCACTCCGCCTCCGCTCATCGACACCGTCGAGGGTAATATCTTCGCCCTCCTGGCCGAGTCCAATCAGGGCAAGTAGGACGTTGAACTCGCTCCTGCCGACTCCATTTGCGCTTTCCTGCCCACCCGGGATTACAAAGTTGAGAATCTTGTGCTGTTCCTGCTCGCTCAGATTGCTGCTTTGTACGATACTTTTGATTGCGGTCAGGCTTATACCAACGCCGGTGCGTTCACTGGCATGCAATACAGCGTCGTAGGCATCGACGTAGGTGTCGGGGACATCGGTGGCAGGGAGTAGGTGTTTCACAAGATTCTGCCGCGCATTCCTTTTAGGAGTTGGCATCGACCATGGTGATTCACCACCACCACCACCATCATCAGCGAACAACGACGATGTGAGCGTCGGCTGTGCGGGCTCATCGCCGAAGAGAGACTTGGAGTTCAGGGGAGCCGTTTCCGTAGGAGATGAACCGAACAGAGACATATCAAAAAACGCTATACAAGAAGGACTGTGTGTAATAGTTGAAGCCTAGACTGAACGCTGATCACAGTCCCATCAGCTGGCGCATTGAGCTGCGTTGATATGGAGCAAGACACAAGACTAAACTAAACGGCAGCGGCCCTGCAACTCGTAATGCTGTCGCAAGTTGGAGACGGGGATTGGCAAGCTCGAGCCACCCAATGACTTCAGCGACTGATCACGTGCTAGATATGTCGATTACTTAAGCAGTTCACATAGTTGTACGAACAGCAGAGAGTCAGATCTATTTCAGACCAAATTCGCATGGTGAGAGTATCTCATGAATATGATTCATTTCCAATCATGACTACCTCTTCGAGATCACACCTTTACACTGAAGTCCTTGTAAGACCACTTTTCGGTTATCTTTCTCTTTGCCTTCTTAGGCTGTAAGATGGGCTTGCGGCTCTCCAGCTTTCCATTGACGAGGAGGTTTCTGAAGCGATCATTCAAGAGATTGCCTTCTGGCTTGAGTCTCCGCAAAGAGTCTTGGAGCTCGTCGGGCAGGACAACCTCTAGTGACTTTTCAGGGATAGGGGCGGTACCCAGTTTTCTCCTTCTCAAAGCCCGGTCATCAATTCCCACAGCTTCAAGTTGTTCTTCTTCAGTGGACAACTCGTTCTCGCGCTCTTGCTGCAAGATCAAAGAATTTATGATCTGTTCTGCTTGCTTCTGCTTATCGCCCATCCGCTTTTCGTGCTTTGCTAGTCTCTCCGCTTCTCTCCTTCTCTTGATCTTGTTTCGCTGTGCTGGGGTTTTACGCTCAGGACGTTTCTTCTTGAGAAGTTCCGGATCGTCATTATCCGTCTCGAACCCTTCCCAAGCACTCTCTTCGTCTGCCGGGTTGGGGTCAGGAAGCGAAGCAAGTTGCTGGATTCTCTCCTCCTTTTCCGCGGCGATCTGGGCATCCAAGAGCCGTGCCTTCTCAGCCTGTAATTCTCGCTCACCCTCCTTGTTCAACAGTTCGTCCCAATCTTCGAAGGCTGGATTGTAACTTGTGCCTCCCTCTGGTTGTTGCACTGCTCGTACAGGCTTGCCGGTAGCCGTCATGGCGATTGGCGCCCTTCGGATGGTTGCAGGAGCCACCTTGGGCTTGGGCTTCGGTATGTATTCTTTGGACTCGTCCCTGCTTGACAGAGGCTCAGGGCCTATAGCCCAAGGGTCAAAGCTGGCATTCTCAGACTCGATATTCTGGCTATCCAAGAAAGTACTCTTGTCGAGATTATTCCTCAGCCGTTGAACCTCTTTTTTGCTCACCCAGTCCGGCTTTTGGCGCTTGCTTGAGGTGACGATACCGTATCCAACCGCCGAATGTGGTCTCTTGCGGCTGTCCAGTGCGGGCACGGCGGAACGCCTTGACAAAATCTCGTCCACCTTCAGAGGCTTTTGCAGTTTGTATTTTATCTTTATGTCCTCTGACCCCTTGACATCAAGTGCAAACAGCTCCTCCGATGCCTTCTCTGCGATCGGGCCGCCCTGAATGATTTCTTCACGCAGATTCTCGAGTCCTGTTTGTACTTCTGTAATGTCGACATTTTTGCGCCAGGCTTTCTTGCCCTTTCTCGAGGACTGCTTCAGCTGTTGAGGTGCCCCTATATCGGAAGGCATTCTGTAGATTTTTGATATTCTGTTGTCACTCTTCAATTTTGCATGGTGGCTTTCCACGTTATCGTTCAATCTTCAAAAAAAAAAAGTTGCCGCGTTCACAAATGTGATTTCTCCGCAGGCGCTAGCGGGTCCGAAATCTACTTGCTGCTTAATCGGCCTCGGGCCAAACGGGAAAATCCAAACATACCCTTGCCTAACTCAGATGAAACAGCTGGAAGCTGTTGTTAAAAGCAGCGCGAATTGACGCAGTTTTCACGTGATCTCGCAGCGACCTAGCATGTGGGGAGACTTGGTTGTCAGACCGGGAGTTAAGAAGCCACAAGTCACACTTTGAGTGCAATCTTTGTCTGAATATTCTGTCTGACGAACCACTCTTGATGTTTGAAGATTTTAAGATCGGCCTGTGTGCTCTTGATTTGCGACTTTCAAGGATCACATTGTTCTAACCTCCCTCCGACCCCTGTGACGCCTTCAACATGCCTGTAGTCAAGGGGGGTGTCTGGACCAATATAGAGGATGAAATCCTCAAAGCCTCGGTGTCGAAATATGGTCTAAATCAGTGGGCGCGGGTCTCGTCCTTGTTAGCACGAAAGACACCGAAACAATGCAAGGCAAGATGGACAGAATGGCTGGATCCAGGTATTCGCAAGATCGAGTGGTCCAAGGAAGAGGACGAGAAGTTGTTGCACCTGGCGAAAGTGATGCCAACACAATGGCGCACAATCGCACCTATCGTCGGCCGAACTGCCACTCAATGTCTTGAGCGCTACCAGAGACTCTTGGACGAGGCTGAAGCCCGCGAGAATGATGAGCTTGGACTTGGGGGACCAGAGGGTGGCGAAACAGCTGCACCTACTGGGGACCAGGTCCGAAGACTACGGCCAGGGGAGCTGGATCCGGACCCTGAATCCAAGCCTGCGAGGCCCGATACCATCGACCTCGACGAGGACGAAAAGGAGATGCTTAGTGAAGCAAGAGCACGTTTAGCAAACACACAGGGAAAAAAGGCGAAACGAAAGGCTCGGGAAAGACAACTGGAAGAGTCTCGTCGGTTGGCTGTGCTCCAGAAGCGCCGTGAGTTGAAAAATGCAGGCATCAATATCAAGATTACAACTCGCAAGAAGGGTGAGATGGACTACAATGCAGATATACCGTTTGAGAAACAAGCTGCGCCTGGTTTCTACGACACTCAGGAAGAAGAGGTCAAGAATGAGAGGGAACGAGAAATGTTTGATCCTAGGAAACAACAACTTGCGAGAAAGAGACAAGGGGATCCTGAAGACAATCTTGACTCCAAACGACAGAAGCAAGGAAAGGACAATTCATCCTCTGCAGCTATGGCTGCTGCTGCCAAAGCTGGTCAGATGCAACGGATTCGTGAAGCCGAGCAGCGAAGCAAGCGCAGAGCACTGAATCTGCCAGCTCCTCAAGTCAGCGAGGGCGAACTGGAGGAGATTGTCAAAATGGGCATGGCAGGCGATAGAGCGATAAAAGCCGCGGGAGAGGATGGTGATGATGATCGTGGCCTAGTGTCCAGTTACTCGAATATGGTCGGTGCTACCCCCATTCGAACTCCTCGAGCGCCGGCACAAGAAGATCATATCGCAAATGAAATCAGAAATATCCGAGCCATGACTGAAACACAGTCGTCTCTACTTGGTGGCGAGAATACACCCTTGATTGAGGGCACTGGATCAACAGGGTTTGATGGCATCGCTCCACGAAGGAACGAGATGGTGACGCCTAATCCTATGGCGACACCTTTCCGTCAAGGAGGACCAGGCGGTCAAATTCCTGGCGCCACCCCATTACGCACGCCCAGAGATAATTTCACCATCAACGAGAAAGGGGAACGACAACTAGTGAGCCAGACACCACGCGATCTTCGGCTAGCTGAGAATGCAGCAAAGCATTCACTGAGGGCGAAACTTGCTTCGCTGCCCAGACCAAAGGAAACGGACTGGGAGCTCGAAGTATTGCCATCAGAACAAGAAGAGGCAGCAGCTCAGGCCAAGACCGAACGAGAAGACCAAGCCGAGATAGACCGACGTGAGAAGGAAGCTCGGGAGGCTGCTGCAGCGGCCGATTTCAAACGTCAGACCCAAGTCTATCAAAGATCGCTACCTCGACCGAGGATTGTTGACTACAACTCCCTTGCTTCAGAAGCCTTGTCAATAACCGACCCTATTCAAGCGATGATTGCCGAAGAAGCCGCTCTATTGATGGCGCAGGATGCGTTGGAATATCCACTCCCTGGCTCAAAGGTTCTCGGCAAGCCTCCAAAACTGACCACGATATCGGATGATGTCCTTGCTCAGGCCCGACAAGAATTGGAAGAAGCTTGTGACGAGGCCGAACAGGAATTGTACATATCTGCTGTCGAAGCTCTCTACTCTGGCAGCAGTGACCGTGACGCCCTCCCTCTGAGATTCACGGACGATACCACGCCTGAAGAATACCAAGCTGCCTTCAAAGTAGCCAACAAGAATCTGCTGGCGGCGGCTGAAGGTGGCAACAAGCTGGAGAAGAAGCTTGCGCTGCATCTAGGAGGCTACCAAGCTCGACAGAAGACATTGAAACAGAAGATCACCAATGTTTATGCACAGATTGAGGAACAACAAGGCCAACTAGAGGCTTTCAGAGCCTTGCAGATTGGTGAGGATGCGGGACTCGCGGTACAACTCGAGAGATTGAGGGACGATGTGAACCTGGTGAGCCGAAGAGAACGCGAAGCTCAAGAAGACTATCGAGCTATCAGGGACGAGTTACGAGAGCTGGATTCTCAAATCCCGTTGCCTGTAAACGGTGTAAATGGCCATGCTTAAATTGTTTGGAGGGATTACCAAGGTACCTAGTCATAGTCATGTATTCTGAAAAAACCGCAATGCGTACGGAATACAAAAGTCCAGAGGCTTCGTACAATGCTTTTCGACATTGATTACTTGTTCAATTATCATGGTTTGTATTCTACTCGTACTTGACTCGACGCAACAATTAGCATTGTCTACGCTGTACTGTATAGAGTAATCTTTGTACGTAGATGGAAGAAAGTCAGAACATTACGTATGAATTCCTTTGAGCCGATGGGAAATGCTGACACGAACTCCTCTCCATCGTCGACAGAAGTTTACTAATCTTTTTCTCTATTCCTTTGAACGTTGATAAATGTGACAACCTGCTTGAGCTCACTCATGCTCACTCGCTCCATTAATCTTCCTCCATCTCCTCCTCCCTCTTCCTGCAACCTGGAGCACGTGACGAAACCGACGATATAAAATAGTTCTCAAGAAACGACAGTTGACGACCATATACCCACCTGAGCTTCCTTGTCTACCGGTACCAGTAATCGTATTCACACTCGTGCGAACTGTTTTTGACTGTGCCTTGCAAGACGAGATGCACTCCTCACTCTGGCTCATCGCGCCCAGCGACGACCACGCATTCAACAAGTCGCTGAAAGATCTCATCTCAAACACATTGCCCTCCGACTTTCCCCACTCGCCCAAGAACAATTTCATCCCCCATGTGACGATAACATCGGACGTCGACCCGGCCAAGACGTATGGAAACTCATCATCGCCGCAAGAATGGCTTGACAACTTGACCCTTCCCGAATTCAAACGCGAAACGGACGAAGTGACGGTCGAACTCGAACAACTCGAGGCTGGGGAGCCATTTTTCAAAAAAGTCACCATCCGCACCCGCAAGGACGACAACCTCGTCAAATTCGCCGCCGCTTGTCGGCGACAGGGCCTCGCTATCTCGGAGAGCGAAGCTCAAAAGTGGGCAGAAGACGAGTATCTACCTCATTTGAGTTTGTTCTACGGCGACGTACCCAAGGGTGACGTCGAGAAGAAACTCGGCCTGATCGAGTTGCAATTGGGCTTCGAACTGGGTAGTCTGTTCGACTGCTGTGGTGGGACTTTGGCCATGGGGGCAAAGTTGGTGTTGGTCGACACGAGCAAGGCCATCAGCGAGTGGGAGCCGATCGCCGCCAGAGATTGTCCCTGGGTCATGTGGAGGATGGCAAAAGGGTTGGTGTGAATGCCGATGATGATGATGATGATGACTGCAATCTTCTCTCAAAGTGTGTCAGTGAGTGCTGTGTTTGTGGCACTCCCAAGGAACCTGAACCCAAGGGTATTGGGGGGGAAATTTGTACTGTTTACGAGATACCCACTCACGGGGAAGTATTTATAACGGAACAAAGTACAACGGGTATACGGAGACGACGAATAGATCTGAAATATATATGCCCGGAACCGTGATTCACCCATTGTGCGATCCTCACTGTTTCTTCCGCTCACAAGGACCAGAATCTGGCTCTTTCTGGACCTCTGATGTCCACGGCCGTCTCAGAAAGACCGCTCGGTTCAGCTTTCTTATATCTCATATCATAGCATCCCTTTTACTACGCAAGAATTCAGTTAGGGTGGGCAATTCCCTCAGATTGCAGTTTTCCTGGTGACACACTATGAATTCTCGACCGTCAAGACTCTCAGTCGTTGGGAGGTTGGGTTCGCACGCGTCGGGGGCTGTCTTGGATATTCGTGCGTTGTCAGGTCCCTTTTTTCGCCGTGTAGTTGTTTTCTGAACCTTTTGATACTCGGTGCAAAGTTCGCGGGACAGACAGGTCACAACAAGAAATGCGATGCGGCTCATATTTTGCGTCTTCGAAAGTCATCCCAGAACCCAACATGTGTGTCACTAAACCCAGTACCATATTTAAGTCCAGCACCAATCATCCTATCAACTGCCAGCATTAAAAGCAAGCGCTTAGTGACGCCGGACGAATTGTCTTATCCGCGATCAGGGAAGGCTGGTCGGGGGCGAACACTTACAATTGATATGTGCCAGCCAGATGGCTGCGATGCTGACCAGTTTGGGGGTTTGTTGTCCAATACCGGCGCAGAGAAGCAGTACGGGAAGGGTTTCGGTGTGTCCAATTTTGTAAAGAGCTGCTCCTGTGACGGGGTCTGAGAAATAACCGACCATGCTCAGGTCCGGCACAAATATTCCACTCGCAAAAATTCACCATGGTCCCCCTCCACTTCGGTAAGCCCAAATGGACGCTGCGGCGAAGCATGCCCCTTCCAGTCGTAGGAGTTTGCCTGGCCATGTCCTCACACAGCCAGCCATAGAGTGGTTGTTCGCTTTATTTGTTTCTGACATGGTCGTCGGGTTAGATAATTCCGCTGTCGATGCTCTCAGGTTGGCTGGATTCTGATGCACGAAAGACGAAAGTGGAGTGGTGTACAGATCCGACTCGGTTTGAGAACCAACGTCGACTATGTGCGCAACGGCACGTTTATGCAAGAAACCACAATATGGGACTGCCCTATCCTCGTAGGACCTCAAACCGGACTTCGAAAATATGGGGTATTAGTTTGGCCGACTCTTGTGGGCCTCAAAAAGCCGCAGGCCCCACCAAACCCCGGGTTGTCCGTCTGGGTCGTGACGTTTCGGGGGAAACCGAACCACTATCTCGAGAGGGACGGGAAAAGGGTAGGAGAGATATTTGGGTATAGCACGGACGAAAGCAGTGTTAGACATGAAGGTACATTTCCATTTACTGTACTCGGTATGTGGAACATGAATTCCATGGGAGACATGTGTTCAATCTACCAATCATCTACTCGCCTTACCCAAACGTCTTTCACCATCGTCGACTTCCTTTCAATAACGCGACACAATCAAACTGCTGGTAAAATCCCTTTGCAGTCACCAACTGGGTCTTGTCGATTCCGAAGTCCTGCCGCACTGATTTCAGGTAGACCGCTGGTATTTTCAAAAGCCCTCTCTTCCACATCACCAATGTAGGCCATCATCTGTCCTATCTCATTACCCATGACACCCCATCTGTCTTCCATTGATTTCATGGTAACATCCCTCAAACGTGATTGATGTTTTCTCGAGTCCCTGCGACCGTACGGCCTCGTTCAGGTCTGCCACCCATTGTCGACATGATCTGCGTTCCGATTCACATGAGATCCGTTTGGACAGAGACCGTTTTGGCCTTTCAAAAATAGTTCTTACAAAAATGCCGACGTTGTGACTTTCATCTCCTGCCATTGAAAGTGTGACCTCGGGGTGGGCAAGGTAGTCGAATGATATAATCATCACCATCAAACTGTGGAGTCCCAAAGGGTTAGTTTCAGTTACCGACCGGTCAAGGAGATGTAAGTGATGGTCGGTGTGCGTGGTTATCATAACCTCAGGTGGTAAGGCATGTGTGAAACTCACCTTCTTGTTTGATGGGTCTGTATGTATGATTTTGAAGTTTACTTCTTTTTGTGTCGGCGGCCGCGCTCACAAGGATTCATCCCGTGGTCGTATTCAAGCTTCTCAGCTGCCTTTTGACCTCCTTGACTTGAAAGAGCCGCGCCTTGAAACAAGGTGTTGGCGAATATGTGAGTGCAGCCTTTGAAGGCGTCGTGGATGCTTTCTGGGTCGTTCACGTCACAATAAACCACCGAGACGTCGTTTTTGGTGTTGGCAGAAGGGAGGAGAAGACTCCGAGCCGAATCTGAGTCGGGTGAAGATGTCAAGGCACGTATTTTCCACTTTAAAACAATAGTCGTTGGCGGGAGAGCAAAAAGGGGCGAGTGGTGGGTTGGCGAAAAGGTCGTAGGCGACGAGTTTTCAAGTGTTGTCTGTGTATATATGTATCTAAATCCCTTACAAACGAGCTCTAACCTGTCCTTCCACCTCTTTCGCATCACGTTTGGCCCATTCCTTCATCAACTTCCTCACAATCTTACCGCTCGCGAGCTTGGGCACCTCATCGATGAACTTGACACCTCCTTCTAGCCGCTTGTGCTTGGCCACTTTGCCAGCGACGAACTTTTTGATATCGTCCTCTGTGAGTTTCCCCTTTGCGTGGTCCTGAAGAACGACATATGCCCTGGGGAGTTCCTCGTCATGGACGGTGATTCCGACGGCGGCGGCGTCGGCGACGTCGGGGTGCTCCAACAACACAGCCTCCAGTTCGGCTGGGGCGACCTGGAGCCCGTTGACCTTGATAAGTTCCTTCTTCCGGTCGACGATCCACCACTTGTTCCCCTCTCTGCACACTCCGACGTCTCCCGTTTTGAACCATCCGTCGTCCGTCTTGCTCTCCTTTGTGGCTTGATCGTTCTTCCAATACCCCAAGAGCATCTGAGGACCCCTCAGCCACAATTCGCCCGGCTCGCCTTCCTTCGTGACCTCGTTGCCGTCGTCGTCGACCAGCATCGCTTCCGTGTTGGGGATCAGGTAACCTATACTCCCGGTCGAGTCCTGGGTGTTTCCCGGCATCATGATGCCGACGCACGTCGTCTCCGTCATGCCCCATCCCTGTACGATCACCATGCCGAACCGTCTCGTCACTTCGTTCTGCAACTCGGCCTTCAGAGGGGCGGCGCCGCACATGATGTTTCGCAGACTGCTGATGTCGTACTTGGCGGTCTCGGGTCGTTTGCTCAGCATCACGATCACCGGTGGCACCAGTTGGAGCGTCGTGATCCGGTACTTTTGGATACACGCGAGGAAGTCTTCGAACACGAACTTGCCCATGACGTACACGGGCACCTGGAGTCTGCAGGCGATGTTGATCGTCCAGAGCTGCGAGTAGGCGTGGTATAGGGGCAGGAAGGCAAGCCAGCGCTCGGGACCCGGGTTGTCCGCCGAGTAGGGAGTACCTTGAAACTTAGTAGAGATGGATTGTGCGGCGTTGGACACGAGGCTGTGATGCGTGATGCACACGCCTTTCGGCAATCCGGTGGTGCCGCTGGAGAAGTTGATTGCGGCTATCGTCTTGACGGAGGCCTTACCCTCCAGCGTGTCCCATTGCCACGACCGTGATTCTGCTTCCGAGGCCAGCATCGACCGCCAGTCCTGTACACCAAGTCGTGGAGAAGTTTCCGTTTCAGAGAAGATGAACAGTCTGTCTTTGGGGATGTTGGCTTTTTCTGCCGCAGCTACGCCGGTCTCCAGTAACGAAGGGTGGATCAGGACGACGGCAGCCTCGATGGCCTTCATCTGATGGGCGACCTCGCTGACCGTATAGATGGGGTTGGCTCCCGTGAAGTAGCGCTTAGACCCGGCACTCGCGAGGTATATGGCTGGCACGTATAGCGTGTTGGGCGTGAAGACCATGATCGCCTGTTGTTCCTTGACGCCGAGATTGTCGAGGCCGACGGCGAACCGTTTGATCCAAGACAACATTTGCGCCTGCGACAGACTCACGGATGGGTCCCTCGAGTCCATCCATAGTGGCTTTGTGGATAAAGGTTTGTGAAGGGGGAATAAGTATGAAAGGATGTTTTGTTTGGGTATGTCTAGAGGTGGGAAAGGTGAACTGTAAGGCATTGTCGAGGTAGAATGATGTGAGTTGTTTAACGATGCGAATATTCAATATAATGATCCCCCCAGAGAGGCTGCAAGTGAGGGTGCCTTGTGCTTTACAGAAAAAACATCCGTGGGATATGAAAGTCTGAGAGAGATATGTACACTTGTTGAATCGCACTTGGACTAGATGCGGAGGGTGTACAGTACAGAAGCACCCATTTCACGAAAGACGGCCTTGAACCGAACAGCCGAGTTGTTTTGCGGAATTCTAACGAGTTCCCCTGTTTTGTATCTCACCCTATACGAGTAGAGTCGGCAGATTACTAAGGGGGACACGGAGTACTATTGGGGGGAAGAATGTCTCTACCTCGGTTACTCAGTCATATATCAAGCGTTCTCAGCCTCGATAACTAGAACGGTGATGTACCTCCGGGAGCACGTACAGTATGGGCTTGAGGGTCTGGGTCTCGTATGTACTGTAGGTACGGAGTACGTGACAGGCTACCTTGCCTTCACCAGCCCGGGGCAAAGCTGTGGAGAATCTCCACAAGTGCCGATGTTGCCGACAACTACCTAGGTACCTACATAAATTGTCTTCACAAGGGAACAACATAAGAAACTTCTCTTCCCAATACGGAAGACTGGGAAAGAAGATAAGAAAAGACAATTTCGGCTTAGATCACAGTTCTCACACACAGCAAAGTGAATACTACACACCTATCTTACGGAATACATGTTTCTCTCTTTTCATCTCCGAGTCGATCCGCCATCTTCTACAAGCCATCCGCCGGGGTCCAAAATTTCATCCATCTCTCATCAATCCCTCCTGATTCATGGTCCTTCTTGTCATAGAAGCGCAAGTCTGTGCTCAAGCGAATCCTTCCACCTGGGTCAAAATTCCCACCTGCAGAATGGATACTGTAAGGATGATGGAACACTACATCCCCTGCCTCATAATTCGCAACCAGCCAACGGTAGGTTTTTGCCTTTTTCTTCTCTGAGAAATTGGCACTGTCCTCTTCAAAAGCCATTGGGTCCATTCCAATCACCCCGGTTGCGGACATGTTGCTATTGAATGCAGAGATCTTTTCCTCCATGCTGAAACTCCTGGCTCGTTGATTAAAGTCCTCTTCAATGGCCTTTGCCAGTTCGACACCATTTTCGAGGTAGAACAATCCACCACCGATCGGACTTATGTCTCCAATAGGCACCCAGGCGGTGAGGAAGAAGGCGTCGCCGCCTCGAAGAAAGAGTTTATCATAATGGATACCCGTTGACATTCCCCCGGGGATGTTGTGACGAAGCATGGTCCTGGTCAACATGACTTCCTCGTCCCATCCCATCAAGTCTCGCACCATGCCGCGAAGTTTCGGGTGGGCCACGAAGTCCAGGTAGGGTTGCTGAACGTGCGCGTCCACGAGAGCCCGCAGTTCCTCGTCGGCCCCCGGCCCTCCACCGCCGATGCCATTGTGCAGGGAGACGTCCTCGTCGGAGTTGTAAATCCCATCGGTGTGGGACGTTCCGGGTTTCAACAGGTCAAAGTTCTTGAATTGGGAGAAATAATGTCGTCTCGTTTCCAAAACGTCTTCTCGAGGAAGCAGTCCCTTGACGAAGACGTATTCGTCCTCTTCTAGACGACGTCGGATCTCTTCGATTGGAGTGTCGGCAGGGGTCGGTCGAAGCCATCCCAGGCGAGATTGAGGAATCGACCCTTCTATGGCTTTGAAATCAGCAGGAAGCCTTGGGTCCATGCCAATTGGCACCTTAGGCACGCTTGTCACATCAGCAGAAGCCATGGAGTTGTAAGAGTGATGTATGTGTCTGTTTTCTGTATCTGGGAGACCCTCGGCGGCAGATCTTGTGAAATCAGGGTTAAATCAATTTTCACACACTCCAACAAGCTCTCTTGTTCTCAGCACGCCCTCCATATGCAAAGCAATACGAGGGACTGACGACAGGATAATATATATCCACGGATGCGGGGAAATGCTCACTACCTACTCATCTAATGGAGGTTGAGACTCTCGGGCCTGAGTAGGCCCGGCGGGACAAGTCGACCATGTTGAATGATCTTCCGCTAATGAAACCCTAGATGATGGTGATCGATAGTAACCGAGCCATACGGAGTATCAATGTCTCTCATCATACTCCGTACAGAGGACGCACAATGTCAAAATCAGCGTCCTGCATCTTACGTTTTCTCGGTTTGCAAGGCACAATGTGACGCTCCGCGTTTGGTAGCTCCCGATATGAGGCCTCGAGGATCTCGGCCATATTCGTTCCCACTATAGCCAAATATAAACAACCGGGACAGAGGTAAGAACTGCTAGACATGGCAGTCAGCAGTGAACAGGATGAGAAGGAGAGTGTAGTAACAGTCATAGCACGAATTCCATTGTTTGCTCAATAATCAAGTTTACTATCCACCCTGCGATAGGCCCGAAAAAGTAGAAAGTCGTTCTGTCCGTGGGTATCTCAGATATTACTTCTCCTAGCGCCTCTTCGCAGTTTGCGAGTTCGTGAAAAGACCCCAACAAATGTACACCCTGATTTTCCCGATTGAAGTTCTGCTAGCAAATTGCCCGCTCGGCATCGAGCCGAGGTGTGGGTTTGATACGATACTCTTTACTTCAGCAGCAAAAGAGGTTTAAATAGACTCCAACAGTATGAAGCTTGGTAATACCCAAGGCCGGTCGATTCAGCTGCAACTTATACCCTTGTGGTCTTGACCACTCTAGTATCGATGCCATGGCCAAATCCGATGAACCTGCATTTGTCACCGTACCAGCAATCTTGTCGATTTGGATCATTCTGCGGGCACCGGTGTCCATAAATGCACTCTGGGTCGGAGCAATCCATCTTGTAATAGCACGGCGTCATTCGTGCGACCTCACGCAACACATTGCGCTCTCCTTTGGACAACGGATAGGTATGAGAGTGTGAGCAATTGTTCGAGGTGCAATATTCTGGCCCTTGAAGGTAGTAAATATTGCACAGTTTCAATTTTTTGATTCTCTGGATCTCATAATTCGGTATCGTGGAGTCGACCTTGTCGATTCTCTGACCGTTACGATTCCGATCGATGCTTTTCCCAGTGGAAGCGACGGCACTGACTGGTTCTGGGCTTCTCAAGGATGTCGGCGTGGATGTTCGGGTACTGCCTGCTTTTGGCGCAGAAACTGCCGGGACTGGAGCAGGCTGGGCTGTCAGACTGGCCCAGGTCATAGCTGGAGTGCTTGAGCTAGAACCCGTTCCATTCGTGGTATTGGACTCGACACGTGAAAGTGCTGGCAATGTTGCAGTGACCGCTTGCAATGGACCCTTCGGCAAAGCCTGTGAAGGGCAGAGCTTCGTCGTGCGAAATATGTTGTCAAACTTGATGATTTTGAACTGATCTTTCAATGTGGCGAGGTTTTTCTCAAATGGAATGCTCTCCAGAAGAGTGATATGGTCCAGTACCGTGCTATCTTTAAGTGTGTCTTCGAGCAAAGAAGCGTAGTGGCTGTCACTGGAGCAACCTAGTATAACTTGGTGACAGTGACAGTCATACAAGCTTGTCTGAAATTGTTCGCTCAGTTTTTCCTTGGTGGCATCAGGTCTCGCTCCGACGTCAATGAAGTCAAAAAGCAACTGCGTGCTGTTGAGTCCTCGAACGAATTCCTCAAACAGCAGTGGACGTTCAATAACCTTGGACCTCGCAAGTGTCTCAGACATGGATTTAACATCGGCATAGAGTCGTACAACAATCTTGGGCGAGTCGAGATGGTGGAGATTGGTGGTTGCAAACGTGTGAACCGAGTCAAAAATGAAATTTGCAGCCTCTTTACCGCCTCTTTCGCCCTTGGACAATAGCTCTTTCGTGAATATGATGTTATCGCCATCAATAAGAACGGTAATGAAGGGATTTCGATCCTAAAAGAAACCAGGTGAATAAATTGCGGCTTCACTTGTGTATAGATCAAACCCACCATAATGTTCTTCACTTGCAGTATTTGTTCATTTAGGGAGGACTCTCGCATTTGGTTATCTCTGTTATAGGAAACTTCGCGGCTGTGGTCCAGTTGTAGGCGATCGAGCTGGTTTTGGGTCGTTTCGAGTTGATACAGCAGATCCTGCATGGGCAATCAGTGATCCGGCAGCAAAAAAACATCGACAAGCACCAATGGGTTGCAAATATACCTCTATGAGTTGATTCTTTTCATCGTCAAGGTTTCTCAGACGTTTATTTCGCTCTCTGAAGGACATGTGAGAGTCTACCAAGCCTATGTCACCGATAGCACGACTCGTCCGAAAACCATTTCGTGAACCGTAGTCCGGGCTGGAATTGAGAAGAGGATGTTCAAACGAAGGTGAAAACGGGTCATAGCGCGCCATGTCGGGCATTGAAGATATCAAAAAGTGGTCGAAAGGGCAACTGAGATGAGTGAGAGGTGATTTGAAAAGGAGAAGAAGAAAGGATTAAAGTGATGTTGGCGGTGAGGTCAATGCAGGAAATACGGGTGTGCTGCAGATGGCGCATGGCACCAGATACAAAGTACTTTTTTTGCGAGAAAAAAGATGATGGAATTCTGGGGAACGCGTAAAGTTTGGTAGCGCTCTCGCTCTGGCTGCAGATAGCGCGTCGGGGAGCACAACGATTCGCCGTTGGGCCAGCAGATCGATGCTAAGCAGTCTCACTAGGCATGCCTATCGCGGAAGCTCCTGGGCGCCAACAGCGGCAAAGCAGCCTCTAAAAGGGTGGCTAAAAAGTGGTCTACGGGCGTCATAGGCTTAACCGCGATTGGCCCTACAAGCGTGCGAATCTCAGTCGCTTAAGGCTCTGCTGGCTCTAGACTCGCACCAGCCTTAGTGCCTAATTTTAGTGAGCCTAAGGGAGAGTACAGTACGAGACTGATGAGCCCAGCCATGTCGTGCCAGCCCACCACAAACTGCGCTTGGGAAAAGAACAGTTCTCCAATATCGCGTACCTCATTTTCCAGTCCAGTTCGCTGCACACCAGTCTGTCCTTTCCCACCTCACCACACACGCTCCCAGTACCTTCCTTCACCTTCTCTTCGTGGACACATCTCTCCATCATGGTTCGATTCTTGGATCTTGCTCTCCTCCTTTTTGGCTTTCAAGCCGCCGGAGTCTTCTCCCAGGCGCCCGACAGCGTGAGCCAATAACCCCCAAGCCGCGTCCTGGACAGCGCATCGCACGAACAAAAAGAACCATGCAGCTGACGTTTACTGTCGTAGGTCGATGAGGAAGTTGAGGACCCTTCAACCAGCCCATCTCTCGCTGTGACTGTTGAAGCCAGCTTTCCCAATGCCGAGATCTTCGGTATCAAGCTTGTTAATGGCAAGCCCACCGAAGCCGTCCTTTCCTTCATGAACGAGGAACCAGATCCAGTCACCATTCAATTTGTCGGTGGCAGTCTGTGGACTCCGGACCTCGCAAACCCTCGCATCGTCCGAAACCTGACCACCGCCCAATATGCTGTTGAAATCACCCCCGGCGAGAAGCAAAGTCTTCCGTACACCTTCCAAACCAACATGCACCCGCAAGACCTTCGACTGAACTTGGCTGCTGTCGTAAGCTCGCACAATACATTCTACACTTTGCAGGCCTTCAATGGCACTGTCTCTGTGGTTGAACAAGACGCGAGCATTTTCGATCCGCAAATGTGAGTTACTGATAGGCTTTTCTACCCACCGCGCATCAAATAGCTAACGTTTCTCAGTCTGTTCCTGTACTGCTTCCTCCTCGCCTGTGCTGTCGGTGTCGGCTATTTCTTCTACACCATCTGGATCGTTCCATACTTCCCCCAGAAGCGCAAGCAAACTACCAAGAAGGCACCTATCAAGAAGATCGAGGTCGGCTCGGTTCAATCCGACAACGAAGGTCCAGCAATCTCTACCGGTGCTAAGACATATAACGAGGAATGGATCCCGACCCATCACATTCAACGCCCCGAGGCTCGTCGTGTCAAGAGTGGCGGCAGACCAAAGAGCCGTGGAAAGCCCGAGTAGAAAAAGCAATACATTACGCGCAATTTCGTCGACATGATGTTGCTGTATATTTTCATACTTCTCCTTCTGCTTTACATTAGGCAGGAGAGTGACACAGTGGGATGGAAAAAGGGCAGCATTTGGACATTCGAGAGAGCTACGCATGGACGTGGGGTTTGCATTTTGACCGGAAAAAAGGGGTGCGGTGCGACTTTGCAATATCGGAAACATGGACAATTGTACAGACTATGTTGGATGACGTTTGACTGCACATCAAGAACTGAGATACCGACAGAGTTCGGATGATTAAGTGCAGCAAGAGAGAAAACGTAGAGAAAAATCATTGGTGCGCAAGGCAGATGAAAAAATAACATAAAATGAGACAAGAGACAGCTTTAACATTCTTCAAACGTCAAGAAACAAGTTAAAAATCTAGTACTACAGTAAGGTAGGTGAGTCTGGTACGGATACTGACTGGGAAAACGAAAAGGAGGTACTCCGTACTGGCGTCAATATGTGGCCCTGGCCAGACACAAAGAAAAGAGTTCCTCCGACAAGAGACCAAATCAATGCCTGTACAGTAGAGCTCTGTACCCTCGCAGCTTGCCCCGTGCAGAGAACGGGGACCAATCAATCAGTCACCCATTACATCGTCGTCCTCGACCTCGCCGCCTACGTGACCATCATCGTCGTCAAGGTCATCCCCGGCGTTTTCTCGTGCATTGTCGCCATCGACATCGTCCTCGGCAAGATCACGCTTATGCTGCTCCTCTTCTTCGTCCAGGACACTGTCCTCGACATCATCGTCTTCGAGCACCATCTCCGCACTCACAGCCGCCTTCTTCTGCTTCTGTTGCTGCTGCTGCTGCTTCTGCGGCGTCTTCCCACCACCGCTGTCCCTCTTCCCCTTGGCCTTGGGCTGCTTCTTGTCGTCCAAGTACGCGACGAGAGCGGCATAGTTCTTGCCCAGCTTCGTGCGGTTCAACAGAACCCTCCGCTTGACGCTGTCATCCTTGATCGCGCCACCGACGATGGCGAATAAGATCTTGCTCGTCAATTCACAAAGCCCTTGCTCCGCGAGCAAGGCTGCCTGCTTCTTTGCTCTCTTGCCCCCTCGGCCCGTGGTGTCTCCATCCTCGTCGTCGTCGTTGTCGTCGTCATCGTCGTCATCACTCTCCTGCTCCGCTTCCTCGTCCGAATCTTCAGGCGGCTTCTCAATGTCCTCATCATCTTCATCCGCCCTTGCACCAGCTCTGTGCTTCTTCTCGCGGCCCGTCTCGATCTTACGGTTTGTTCGCTTGGCAAAACTTCTCTCCATACGTTCGTAGGTAGACATGACCTCCTTGACAATCTCGGACGGCACGGCCGTGACAAGACTTTTCAAGTTACGGGCGACCGTTTCGTTCAGTTCCCCCTTTTCAGGCCGCATGTTGCGCACCGTCGTGAACAGGGCAAACAGCTCCAGGATGTTGAGGATGGCAGTGCATCTCACGCTGTCCAACGGGGTGCACAGACTGATGACCGCTTCTAGGTTGTCCACGAATGTGGTGCGTGTCATTGCGAGCCCAGTCAGATTGGCGGTAGACAGCAGCGCCGTGTTATTGGTTGAGATGGCATTCTTCAAGGCCACCATCTTCCACCGAAAGTAGCGCGAGAAGAGTTCAATCAGCGCAGTACATAACTGGTCCTCCAGCTGATTGAAGACCCAGGTAGTATCTTCGTCAGGCTCGCCTCTTCTTAGAAGACGCAATAATAAAGAGAGCAGCGAGTCCACGCCCTGGTCCGCTCTGCCTTTCTGCTTACGTCCACCTTCCCCTGGTAGCTTGGATTCCATCAGGGAGGAGCAGTCATATACCCCAGCTAACTCTGTCAGACGAGTCATGCTGTTTACCATGGCAGCAAGTGATTGCTTGTCCAGCGTTCCCCGCTTCTCGACGTCTTTTCCACGGAGAAGATCGACAATCATGGCTATAGACTCGGCCCAGATCTCTTGGACTTTCGAGTCTACCGCCTCTTTAGACTGCTCGAAGCTGCGTGCATTGCGGAGTGCCACACTCGCGGCGGCCAGGACCTTCTTATCCGAGTGCGAGGTAAATTGCTTGGTTATGTCCTCCAAGATTGCAGAGTAGGTGGCCTCGCCGGACTGGAGATCATTTATCAGACCAATGTCAAGTAGTTGTTCGATGCGGAGGATTGATGATGCGGCCTGTGGAGTAGCACCAAACTTGCTCAGGAGTTGAGGAAGGATTTGTGTGAGGTTTTGAGCGGCGGATTCTTGCTTTTCACGAATTTGGTCCTTTGTGGCATTAGCGCGGCGATTTGTCGGAGGCTCAAGGATTGATGATAGATACTGCTTGACTGAAGCGTGCAGGACATCTAGAAGGATGATGTCTTCGCCCGGGCTGAGTTGGTAGGCCTGCTGAACTTGGACATTCATATCCTCCTCCTCACCTGTGGCGGTAATGGAAGAGTGGTCGTAGAGAAGGTAGCCTGCAAGAGATTCCCAGTGTTGAAGTTCTTTCATGTGCGGATATATAGCTTGGGTGGCAAGAGTATATCTTGAGTCGATGGCAAGATCGAGAGGTAGAGACCGACTACCCTTACCGTCTAAAGATTCTTCGTCATTGTCGTAGCCGGCAAGAATCGACCCTAAACACTTGAACTTGATCCATGAACGGGTTGGTACCATGTACTCTTCCACGTCATCTTCATCGGGTAGAGCTGCATGATACTGGGCTTCGTCGAAGTCCTCAATGCTCAGGCCGTAAAGGTCTTCAATGTTTGAGACAAAGAATTTTGCGACAGCTTTTCGTATTCTCGGTTCGCTGTCGAAGATGAGTCGGCCTATCGTGTCAATATTGTCAGGCTCCAACAATTCAGCATCTCGTAGCCTGTCGAGAAGCTCGATGGCCTCCACCCTTACGCTGATGTCGGCATCCCTAGCACCCATCTCTACTAATCTGGGCCGAAACCTGTCTGTGAAGGCTCGCAAGGCGGCAATGTTTTTCTTGTTCTTGAATAGATTTTTCAACTGTTTGACATCCTCCAATCTGGTAGGAGAGCTGGTATCGTTCAAGACCCATCCAAGATACCGAAGGAATTGGCCTTCCAGAAACATTTTCCGGTAAAGCACAATCCAGTTTCCCAGTGCTGCAACACATGGTGCACGGATCTTTTCCTCGATGTCTCGATAACGGTGGACGTAGACCGTATCGAATGCGTCTCGCAGCTGAGCGTCAATTGCTTCTAATTTCTCCTCTGTTTCCTTTTGACTCTCTTCAATGGTCTTGACGCGAGCCTTGTTCACGCTTCTCTTCTTCTTTTCGGCGTCCATTTGCGTTTTCAATGTCGCCATGGTCTCTTGGAGTTCTTTCGCAACCTCGCACAGGGCAGTGCTCATTGATAGCGATATGATCGTTGCTGTGTGCCGAAATGATTTGTAGTTGGCGCCCGACATGGTTGCAATCCAGACATGAATATTGTCATAGACTTCAGGTTGCTCATAGAATACTGAGGAAGCGTGCAATGCTTTGATGATGGCTTTGAAAAAGTCTTCCAGAACAGTCTGAAAGCCAACATACTGTTTCTGCCTCGAAATCAGAGGGTAGTCGGGAGACTTTTGCGCCTCGTATTCTTGCAGGATATCTCCGAGTTTAGTCGGGACAGAATCCAAATCTTCGATATCTTGAGATTCAATCCGAGAATCAGAACCAATGCACTGCAGGACGAAATTGATCAAGTCTCGGATGCCAGTGACACTATCACTTTGCACAGACTGGAACCATACAGACGCAGCGTCCTCTGGCGATCGTCCTTTACCAAAAACCTCGGCGTACAGCCCTTGAAGATGCGCCTGACTCGGTCGAGCGCGGGCCTTCTGGGTTTTTGCAGCTTTTCCTCCGGCTATCCTCCCACCTTTGGCAGGGCGCATTGCCAGTGTTGTGCTAGAATTGTCTGTTGTCTTCGCCCTCTTGGCTGCCGGCTTTGTTGTCGATTTGCTTCTCTGTGCTCGTCGCCGCTCCTTCAACTCTTCCTCGTCTGGCTCATCTTCGCTTTCGTCAGTATCAGACTCCTCCGAATCCTCTTCCTCGTCATCTTCTAGCACATCAATGCCTTCATTATCTGTAGGTCGTTTTCGTTTAACCGCTCCGTTCGTAAAAGGACTGCTCTGCTGGTGTTCTTGGGAGAAGAGTCCAGGTCGTCGAATTACTCGACCAGATTTGCGACGTGATTCATTTGCACCATTAGGTGCGCTAGAGTCAATCTCCATGATGAGACGAATTTTGAATGCGTGCGCCTAATGGGGTTGGTTGACGGCAAAGCGCAGTCGCCCGTGGTTCGTGGGAACGAGGAATGAGGAGGATGACGACAGTCCTTATCCGCAGGCAAAGTGTGTCGTTGAACGATGGTTGTCGTATTGATTCGAAGGAAGTCAACACGCCTCTTGGGCAAAGAACGCGCTCGACGCGAAGGACAGATAGAGTGGAGTGGGAACCCGAAAGTGACAATAATTCGCAGTTAACAGGCGTCGGGGGAGGGTACCCCACCAAGTGGTCTTTACCTTGCTTCAGGAACCTTACTGTACGTAGATAATCTTTGTGCCTGGAGCACACCGCCAGGAACCTACTGTACAACGTCTCCCCCAGCACAATAAAACAGTTGTCGAAGAAAAACGAATCGATACCTCGAGATCCAGAAATACAATTCAAGGATCATCGAGGGTTTCTACCTAGGTAATAGCTAAAGTGCCTCACGGCCCTGTTCAGGAGAATTCCAGGCATGTATTTCCTTGGCCATCACAGTAGATCAGAGCGTAAGTATCGACTCTCATGATATACTGGAATCAGCGCAACGCACAGTAATCAATGGTCGATAGTGATATCTTAGAAGAAGTCATGCTCATCGCCAGTAGCTCGGACTCTATATCCGTAGGGCGTGGCCTTTTAAAGCGGCAGCTGGTGGAGAAATCGAGGCCCGCATGAACTCGCATCGGATTTTCCCAGTCTTGAGGTGTGCCATGACATAAGGAGCGTCTCTATCTACGCACCTGGGGTACTCCCTGACAACGGACACAATCTCCCAGGCTTGAGATTGGTAATAGACAGGATCGCTGTTCGACCACTGACCTCGGAAAACAGCTACGAAATGCAAGATCGACCTTGTTGACAAGTGCTCCCTGCACTCGAGCGCAAGGTATGTCGCTCCCACAATCACCATTCGCGCCATCCACCTCTGTCGCTGGAGCTGGAGAAATTGTGCTTTCGTTATTGCCTCCCGGCAAACAGGCACTACAAGTTTTCAAATATCAATACCCTCTAAAGCTTATCGCTCCTGAACCACATAGCTCGAGCGATGATAAGCACGTGACAATTGCCTTTCTTCTCACCTACGGAGGAGGATTGGTGGGAGGGGATCAGGTCAACCTAAAGATCGAGCTACAAGAAACTACGCGCCTTATACTACTTACTCAGGGCAGTACTAAGCTGTTCAAAGCTCCGAATAAGTCAGTGGTCAGTAAACAGACCTTAGATGTGAAGATAGGGCACGGAGCCGCCCTGTGTTATTTGCCCGACCCAACCCAGCCGTTCGCAGAAAGTGTCTATGAGCAGAAACAGACATTCTATGTTGCGCCTGAAGGGACTAGTAACCTGCTTATGCTTGACTGGGTCAGCGAAGGCCGACGAGCACTTGGGGAGAGCTGGACACTGTGGAGCTGGAAAGGCAGAAATGAAGTGAGAGAGTTTGATCGACAGTCGAAAGGACGACTTTTGCTTCGAGATGCTGTCATGCTTCATGAGGACGGTCTTGGAGGTGTGGGCTTGGTGGACAAGGCAGACAACATGGCCATATTCGGCACTCTCATTGTATATGGAACACTTTTTGGGAAACTTGCTGAATTTCTCATGAATGAGTTCGCTAACCAGCCTCGGATCGGAGCCAAGAACTGGACACAAGAACCTCTGACCCATACTGACCAAGCACACCAAGCAGAAGGTCTTCTTTGGACCGTAGCCAGGGTGCGCGGTTTCGTCCTGGTCAAATTCGGTGCCAAAGATCTCGATGGTGCAAGGCACTGGCTAGGAGACCTGCTCAAACGAGAAGGCACGGTTGAGCAATTATTTGGGCATCAGGCGCTCATGTGTCTGAGATGATAGTTGGTCATACCCAACACTGTTACAATGCCAGCTATTCACGGGGTCCAGCATGAGGGCAACATCATTTCCCTAGCGTCAGGAAGAGGCGGTCTCCGATGTCTCCCAAACCAGGCTTGATCATGCCTTTGTCGGTTAAGCCTTCATCTAGGCCTCCTACCCAGATCTCGGTTCCTTCCGGCCATTCTGCTGCTGCGCTGGTCACACCAGGAATTGCACCTAGCACACTCAACACTATTACTTTTTCGACTCCCCATTCTTTCAGTGACTGAATAGCAGCAATGCAAGTCTGGCCTGTTGCAATGATCGGATCCACGATTATGGCCAGTTTGGCAACTTTCGCTTGGGATTGGGGCAGGTTGTTATAGTACTCGACTGGCTGCAAGGTCAACTTTTCGCGGAAGAGACCGAGATGGTGTACAGACACTGGGGCAGGAAGGATGGTTTGAACGGCTTATCAAGGTCAGTCATGCAGTACGATATCGATATGTGGCTACTTGCCTTCGACCATGCCCAAACCACTCCGAAGAATCGGCACAAGGGTGATCTTGCTACAGTCTATAGTTTCGAAAGTATATTCATATCCAATGGGTGTCTCATCCTATATCACTCAAAGATCAGCCTGCGCCACCAGGGCCTCCGTAAATGGACACACCTTGCCAGCTTCCTCGAGATGCAGGTATGATAAAGCATCGGTGCCCAACAGCAAAGCTATCTCATGGACGAGTGCTTTGGTTTCACGTGCATTGGTCGACTTGGAACGCAGTTGAGACAACTTCGCGCGCAGGCAAGGGTGCTTGGAGATGTGGACGTTTGGCGGCAGACTGGAGGCCATGTGAAAGATCGGCTGTTTCGGGTACAGAGAATGAAGAAATAAGAATACGAAGACCAGACGAGCAATAGTATCTCAGCGCCGAGACTTAGGCGTGTTTTTTTATCATTTACGAACGGCTCGTTGGCAGGGTGTTTGCTTGCATACCTGACCTTTGTTATAATTGCGATAACAACGACCTGCGCAGGGAGGGGCACGGCCATCCCCGATGCACCGGACTCATTATCGACGAGCCCCAGCCAGGTACAGGTATTGTACACCAGTAGCGGGAATAATCGTGGGCCACAATTGTATGGAGTGGCCATCTCGCCCGTGCTCGCGCAATCAAACGTCACTGTTTGCTGCAGTCTGGACATGGATATCCGGCATTTTCACCGTGAGTTTTTCTTTGCACCTTTGTTAAAGAGACACAAACACAACAATCCCGTACATCGCCTTGGGGGCCGATGCGCAGCCGGTGTACAGCAATGTCTTGATCCCAGTGATCTCGGCATCTTTTTTTCTCAATTACTCGGGCAGACTGATCTGCGCATGACATGCGCGTCAATCCGACGGTCCAACAATGTCCGCAAACACAAACATTCCTTCATCCTATTCGAATGCGACTGGGGACATTGTTGAATCAGAAGAGGAAGACGAAGAATACGGCGAGCAAGAATTGACAGAATCAATTGTACCACCGCCTTTGCGCGCAGAAGATCCGCGCCATCCATCATGGGAAGATGCAGTGCATCCGCCTACAAGGCACGAATTACACGACGGCAATGGCCAAAACATGGAGCTTTCAGAGATGACTGTCCCACCACCTGCCCGACCTCGAGAACGACGTGACTCCCTCGAAAGAGCCTTGCAGAGGACGAGCTCATCAAAAAGTCGACGAAGAAAAAGTCGTGGGAGTGCTGTGGGCGCAACCATCGCAGACGGGCGACCATTTGCCGAAGAGATGACGGGCGAGTTACCCACGCGAAGGAAAAGTCTAGAAGAGCAGGAGAAAGGTTCGCAGACACAAGCATACAGGCCGTCGCCGTTCGCCACTGAACTAGTCACGTTGTCGTACTTGGTATTCTTCTCGCTATTAGGCACCTTAGCAAGACTAGGTGTTGAGGCTATAACGTTATATCCAAATACACCGGTATCATCTCGAGTCCTCTGGGCAAATCTTGGGGGCTCATTTATTATGGGCTTTCTGGCTGAGGATCGACGTCTTTTCCGACATGAATGGGGCTCGCCAGATCTCAATGCCCCGGCGGCGACACATGGGAAGGTCAAGAAGACAATACCACTGTACATTGGCCTAGCTACTGGATTCTGTGGAAGCTTTACCTCTTTCTCCTCCTTTATCCGCGATTGCTTCCTGGCCTTGACCAATGACCTGGCGGGCTCCTCCCCTACATCAGCATACCAGTCAGAGGCCAACATTCACTCCAGGAATGGTGGCTTCTCGTTCCTCGCCCTGATGGCAATCCTGATTCTTCACCCTGCCGTGTCTCTTGCGGGATTGAACACAGGAGCACAGTTGGCGCTTGTTCTTCAGCCCGTGACGCCGACTATTCCTGTCGGGCTTACACGATATTTCCTCGACCCTGTGGTCGTCGTTCTTGGATATGGTTGCTGGCTAGGCGCAGTACTGTTGTCGATCTGGCCGCCAGGAAATTCTGTGCACTGGCGATACCGCGCAGTTTTCCCCCTGGTCTTCGCACCTCCAGGTTGTCTGCTTCGCTATTATGTATCGAAGCATTTGAACGCCGTCATCCCGTCGTTTCCACTGGGGACGTTCGCCGTCAACCTCTTCGGCACGGGCATTCTGGGCATGGCTTTTGATCTACAGCATGCGAGCAGCGCCGGAGCGTCCAGTGCGACTGCCTGCGCGGTGTTACAGGGGATCATGGAGGGGTTTTGTGGCTGTTTAACCACGGTTAGTACGTGGGTAGCTGAGATCAATGGTCTACGACGAAGGCATGGGTGGATATATGGCTTGACCAGCGTCGGCGTTGGGTTGGGATTGATGGTTATTATCATGGGCAGTATGGGTTGGACGGTTGGCTTCAAACCACCTGTCTGTAGTTGAAGCCCTTACGAGTTTTTGTACTCGTCGCCCAGTCTCAAGCACAAAGGTAACTCGTGATTTCTGGAAATTTGTCAGAGCACCAAAGAGGCTAATGAGTGGCCCTTGGGGAGATAAGCTTCTTTTAGACAGGTTTCAACAATTCCGCAAAAGGAGCTTGGCTGAAACTGGCGGTACAGAAATGACAGCGGATGTCAACGCACATGCACCCGTAATCATGGTATTTTTAGCTGCCTGACACATGTTGATACCGCGGCGATACATAATTCGGCAACCGTAGCTGACGATCAGGTCCGGCATTAGCGCCCGCCACGCAATCATTGGCCTGTGCCCCTGCCAACCCAAGAATTAGCGAGCTTGAGAGCTCCTTCCCCATGTGCCATGAACAAGTTGCTACGCTGCTGTACTCCGTACTGCGTATTATTTTCCTGTTCTCACGCGTCAGCATCGCTTCTTCTCTTCATACTCTTACCCCGTACTCACTGCACCGAAATTCCGTCGCCCTCTGTTGAGGGTTTCCCATCACCAGACCAGCCATTCATTCCGTTGCATTTCGCTCGTTACCGTATCGCTCTGCATAGCATATTAGCCATCTTCAAAGGCCGACACGACGCATCCGACGACGGCACACCTGTCAATCTCCACATCCAAATTGAGGCTGTGAGACGAACATCCGTCAAAGCCTCCGTCACCCTCCTCCGTCTCACCGCTTTCATCCTCAGGCTGGTCAGGGTGACTTTCTTTGTCAAAGCTGCACACTACCATTAGCACCTCCCAGAAAGCCTCGTATCTGCAACTGCTCAACTTGCATCGAACCTCCCGAGCCAAAGAAATCATACAAGACGAGCAAGACATTTCTGTTGACAGGAGTTACTGCAACAAAGCATACTTCTCATTCATATTCCGCAACATGTCCGTCTCAGTCGTCAAAACCATCCTCTTTTCTTCTCTTGTTGTGGGTATCGCTCATGCGTTTGTGCCTATGCCCGTCAACGCCCTGCCTCCAAATCTCGAAGCCGATGGCTGGTCTGCTCTTACCACATTGGATCCTGTCGCCTTGACGGCATCACCTTCAGAACCAAGCGCTGCTGTCGCAGTCACCCCATCACCAGACGTCCAAGTCGTCCCGGCTCTTGATCCAAATATGATTCCGGATCTCAAGCGTCAAGTCACTGGTCAGGGACCGGCTGTGGCAGCCACAGCACTCAGCCAAATCTCTCCGATCACCACATACTATGCCAACTCAATGGTAGATGGCTCCGCCGTCCAAGTTCCTGTGTAAGCATTGCCAGCCCCCAGTCATAACACACTTCTAACAATTGACAGTGTATACACCCAAACCTTCGCTCCTGTTCCTGATCAATGGCCTTCGCCCACTGCTGGCGAGATTGGATTAGGAACGATTCAGGGAACTATCGGCGTCGTTCATTCCAAGAGAGATCTCCCCTCCCCACGGCCTTAGGCAGGCAACACACAGGCTACACTCGGTGCCAAACAGGGATGCGACAAGTTGACTTTCAATTCACTCTCCAGTTTCTTGAATTGTCCACATGGGTACATATCTTGGGTGCTTGATGAATCGGACCCCGAAAATACAAAGGGCCAATTCGAGTGCAGCGCAAATCAATGTTCTTCCGAAATCGACACTCGGAATGTTGCAATGCGGCAAGAGACCAGCTTCTCTGATGAGCTTATTGGGCTAGAAGAAATGGCACAAACGGTCCAGAATAACATCCGAGCTCTAGCGGCCAAGGTCAAAGACGATTACCCAAGAATTAAAGAGGGTGATCTCCAGAAGGCCAAGGACTGTGAACCTGGTCATCTCAGCCTTGAGATTCCGTCTGGCGACGAGCCTTGGATCAAGATCAAGTGCAGCGTTGCTGGACGAGCTTTCAGTTTTAGACAACTCGGCTTATTGATGGTGATGATTGCAACGTCCGGCTTTCATCTATTGTGAACAATGACCTATATTTTGGAGAATGGCTGATGGGATTAGGGACGACGGGATCAGCCTGGGTCCTGACAGGTTCGAGTTCTTGGGGATGATGGTCGTACATGATATGATCTCGGACATGGAGTCTGGGTCAGGCGTCTAATCGGGCTGGCCGGGCGCTGAAAGCGATGATTGAGCGTTTTTGTATCATTAAGAAGTAGTCTTTGAATGTATAAAGTAGCCCAACAGGTATTCTTCTCACAAGAATAGAGTAGCATCCCAAAGTCTACATGACTAGAAAGGATTAAGTGGCGAAGTAGCTCATTGTAAATCACCACAGCTACGGAGTAGTCACTTTGGGTACCTCCTAGTTGGGTCAAGGCTGAGGTGTACAGTAGTGTGTTTCGTAACCTCTTGGTCACCTAGGGACAAGTTGCCTGCCTACGTGTTCTCGCATGATGTTGGGTGAGGTTGGTCTCGGATCAAGCATGTCTTGTACATGTAAGAATGTTACTACGAAACGGTGGACATTGGGTGAAGAAAGTATGGTTGTTCGAGGGTGTACAAGAACGAATCGTGATGATGGTAACTCTGTACAGATAGAGGAGTCGGTGGTGATGGTGGTGTTGGTGAGTTGACCAGGCTGTGTATACGCATGTACATGAATGTGTCTTCTTGTATGCCTTGTGGATGTACAGTATATACTTTTTGGGGGGGTTTCAACATCAAGAGAGGTGCCTACCTAGTTCAACTATGGTACCCAATAACGGAGTGGAACTGTACAGGAAGGGAAAAAAAAAAGTGAACATCACTCATACCCAGGATTCTGTACACACCTGGGGGGGCAGGCCCGTACTTTTTGGTGTTTGGTATCTAGTATCAAAGTATAGAAAGTGGGAAGGAAAACCAAGGTCTTTATCATTCCAGGCAGGTAACGGAGTGAAGGGAACGTGAACATTTTGGCGCCGTCGCCACCTCAGAATATGCCACTGTCACATTGGAAAAAAAGTTCTTGATGCAGTAGTTGTACTTGTACAAAGGACGCAAAATCACTCCGATGAGATGTGCTTTTGTCTTGATTGCATCCTTTCTCGTCTCCTTTTTCCGAGGCATTCATTAGGCCTTGAAGAATCTCATTTCTCCCCTGGACAAGGACAATCACCGGCGCCGTTGCTTTCAATCATACAGTCTCGTCCAATCCGGAATACACACCATCTTCTGTCTCACATGACCCAACGTGTAGGCCGTGCCGTCGAGACCACCGTCGGTCTCTTGCTTCTCCCCAAGACCATCGACACCACCATCGCCAACACCGCTGCCGTCGGTTTCGCCGACCTCGGGTTTGTTCTTGTGCCGTCTCTCCACCATGACAACATCCTGTAGAAAATCCACCTTGGTGCCATACCTCACTTCCATGTCCGCGCCGCCCCAGTCGAGGCTCACTTTGCCGGACTTGTGGAGACGCAACTTGCCCACCAACCCGGCCGGTAGTCGTGTCGGTTCCGTGGCAGTCAAGGTCCCTGGTATTTGCAGCTTCGGTCGCGGCGATGGGACAACATCGTCGTCGTTGGCTTCTTTCTTGGCTTGGTCGCCGTCGTCTGGAGGAGGGTTGTTCGACGTCGTCGCTGGTCCGTCCGTCGCTCCAGGCTCCTTCTTGACCTCTGGCTCGGTCTCGATACCGGCTGAATCGACCAGGAATGGCGTGAGCGGAGGGAGTTGGAACAAGAACAATTCTCCTTTCGGGTCGCTCTTATCCTCGTTGCCGGTGTCGTCACTTTGATCTGTTTGCTTGCTGTCTTCGCGCCCGGCAACACCGACTGCTGGAGATTCACTCTTGACTCCGACCTGCTTAAAAACCCTTCGAAGTCTCTGCACGTCGCCCATCATGCGGAGACGCTCTGCTCGCTCTTCGATCGTCTCGTTTGCGAACTTGGCCTCCCTCGCTCGGCCACCGGGTTTTTTGAGCCCGCGCCGTCTCATCTCAGGACTTGAAGGCTGCTCTTTGACAAGAACCGGCTCATCAATGTCCATTGCATCTCCAGCAGTGTCGTCTGCGTCTGCTTCTTGAATATCCGATTCCAACTTTTTCCTCGCGCTACCACGGGACTTCTTTTCTGCCTCACGTTTCTTCTTCGCATCGGGATCAGGATCCTTCCGTGGTAGAATCGGTCGTAGCTCAAAGTTTGATCTTTCTGGTTTGCTTTCTGCTTTCTGCTTTCCTTTGCGTCTCGAATCGAGAGGTTCCTCATCATCGGCGTCGCTCCCGTCCTCGTCACTAGACAAGGTTATTGTGGCAATGTCTTCAATCGGGCGACGGTTTTCTGGGGGCTCATCATCACTGATTGTCTCGTAATATTGCTGCTCCTTGGTCGCTCCTCTTCCCCCTCCCAAGCCGCCTCCCCCTCCGCCACCGCCGCCTCGTGATGAGGTTCCTTCTTCCGTCCCCTGCACACCAGATTCATCAGGTTTTATGGTTGACTGACCTTCTAGTCTCTCGGAATATCCCTCTGGCTCATTATGACGGTTGGTCTGAGGCCTCAGACCGGTACTTGCACCGAAGACGCTGTTTCCACCAACAGGATGATCGCGTCCGTGGTCAGCTGTACTCGCACCTCCACGTCCGCCCCGTCCGGCGCGACCACCACGGCCACCGCGCGCAGCGGCAGCAGCGTTCCTCTCTGCTTCAGCGAGGCGTGCCTTTTGCCGCTCTGCTTCTTCTCTGGCGAATGCCTCGCGTTCAGCTTTGGATTTTCGCTGAATACCTGCGCGAGGCTTGGGTCTGGGGCCCGATGTGGAGGCGGAAGGTTTAGATGTTGAGGCTTTAGGATCTGACATGTTGATTAAGTCGTAGGGAAGGTTGTCGGAATCCGATCAAGTGGTTTGAGAGAGCAAAAGGTGGGAAAGTGGCAGTCATGAGATAGAGAACATGATCAGAGGAGAGAGGATCGTGTAGCTGGAAGTGGTTGTTTCAGAGGAGGTGTAAGGTCGAAAGGGAAAGGTAGCCGGTGGGAATTGTTCAATGGAAGGGCAGATGAGAGATTGTGGAAGCTGCGTTAATCGTCAAGTTTGCATGAGTTCATTGACAACAGCAGAATATGGACTCGAACGTGTAACCAGTTTCGCCTTGCGCTGCGACGACATTTTTTTGTTGGAGACAAAATTTCCCCTCATCTCGGCTTTAACCCGGATGAATCCATTCCCTTCACCGTAGAAATACGAATACGAATACGAATAGCCCCAGACTCTTCATCATGAATACTCCGTACGTGTGCTCCATATGACTAGGTGGCAAAGACACAGCAAGTCATTTCCAGCATGCCACTGGTTTCAGTCAAGCTTCAATATATAAATAATTTTCTCACTTCGTACACTCATGAATGCTATCGACTCCAGGCAGCCCTCTTTGCTTCGGAGAAAAAGAAAATTTCACAAATTTCGCCGACTCGCAATCATACCAAAATATCAAATTGGAAGAGAGAGACAGCAAGGAACGTCCCACCACTGATCACCTTGTCAACGATGACTTGACCTGTACCTTCAACCCTCAAACAGTCGCAAATTTAAAGCAGACAGAATGTAAACCGTTTTCAATCTTTTCCCCGTACCAACCGCAGACCCCTGAGACCTCAATGATCCAAACCCTGACAATCCCCTTCTATACCTGTTCGGATTGTTTTTCTTTTGTTTGATTGACAGAATCCGTGTACGGAATTCTCAATGTACAACAATGGCTTTATCGCTTCCTCTTCTTGCTCTTATCGGGGCTGCTGGTAACAAGAGCATTATCATTGTGGTGCGCACCGAGGTGAACCACGGATGACTCGTCGAGTGTCACACCGTCGTCGGCGGATTTCTTGACAGGGACACCCATGTGGCGTCCATAGCGGCCTTTGCGACCATTGCCTTCATCTTCACTGATACATCCTTCGATGCCAATGCCTGCGTCCTTGCATCTCCCGCAAGGACGTTGTCGATCACACCCCTTTTTGCTCTTTCGGCATCGCTGGCAACGAGGCTTGGAAGAGAGGTCTTCTTCATCTGCAGCCAGCGAGGATTGGAAGGTAGCACTCGATGTAGAGAGTTTCCGAGCTTGGCTGGCAGGAGCAAGAGCAGGAGCAGAAGGCACCTTGTTGATACTTGGTTGACTCGAGTGTTTGACCATCTTTGGCATGGTGTTTGAATGTATCCTGGTGAATTTTCCGTTCTTTGACGACGAACCCTGCTTAGTTCGGTAGCCATTGCTTGGCCCATCATGCATTTTGGTCTTGATTTTCTTTGTTTTTGGCTGACCCTCAAAGTCTTCTTGCTCACGAGCAGGACTGCTCTGGTCGTAATCTTCGTCCTCATCATCCAAGTATTTTCTATATTTGGGCAGTCCCCCTTCTGCGTCGCTGTACTCATCGCTGTCACTCGTTGCCCCGGTCGACGAAGCTGCATCAGCAGCACCACTGAAAGTCTCGTCTATGGTCGAGTTCGACGTACGTCCGTGAGAATAATTCGAAGCGTCGCCCAACGCAATCAAAGTGCGAGCGACGTCTTCATCCGAGATACAGCTGGCAACAGTCGGATCTGGGGTTGGCAAAACTCCATTAGAAGGGCGCCCATTGTGTCCTTGATACAGGCTGGTTCTGTCTCGCAGACGATGACCATGTTGTGGTACGGGGGTTCCGATCTCAGCACCTGCGCCAAAGCCATATGTACCTTGACCTGTTCCATAACTTTGTGGAGACAGCACGGGGACTTGTTGTAGGCTATATAGCTTTTGCGCAGGAGGATGAAAGGGCGAGGGACCTTCTTGTGGGACTGATCGTCGCTGAGGTGATATGGACGATTGTGAGGCAGTCACAGGCACCTGGGGAGGTACGAAGAGTGGGAGTGTCTGGCAAGTGTCAGCAAGGGGCCAAAGTGAGAAACTGTGGTATAACTCACCGAACTATCGAAAATGGGCTGTCCACGTCTACCATCCTGAAGCACGTTGGCAGTGGAAATTTCCGAGCTGACAAACTGCTCGCTTCTTGCTTTCCTGGAGCCAGTGACTGAACCGCGCCCTGCCTCACTGTCACTGTAGCCATCTTCTTCATGGAAACTCCCATTGGCACTTGAGCCACGACTGGCCGTGGGAACATGGCCTCCCTTTTGCTGCGATACACTACGGCGTCCTCGACCTTGTGTTGGAGAGACACTTCTCTTTCGAGCTAGCCGTGATGCAGGCCTTGAAGGAGAATGCGACTGTTCCCGCATATGAGGCGGTAGCATCTGAAATGGCTCACCCAGGCTCGGGCGACGCTTGGGTTCATACCCATTCTCATCGCCATAGTTGGGAAGAGGGTATGCTCCCAGCGGCTGTTGTGGTGCTGGCACAATCCTCATATAAACAGTGGAGTCAGGAGGCAGATTTTCATAGGAGGGAATCAGTGTGATCCCCAGTGCATCTTCAAAGCTCACTCCCCGGCCATCATATATGCCATAGAAGTTTTTCACTGTAGTGATGATGGACTCTGTACTGTCATGGTTGTTCAGCACCACCCGAAGGGGAATGCGGGCTCGGGTCTTTAAGCCTTCATCAAGGAGCAGCTCAAAAGAGACCGACTTTGCTGGCGCCATCTTTTTGGGTGTATTGTGCTCTCCATTCGAGAGCAAGTTGGATACTTGCATTACTGCGAATGGGAGAATATAATCTTTTCTTCTCTTGGTAATCCTCCTTTTAGGTACAAATAGTCGGAAGAGTGAGGGCCGGCAGATAGGGTGGTAAATGTATGATCCGTTTTGGTTCGAAGGAGATGGATGTCCTGTATATTCGAATTAGCTTCTATAAGCGAAAGAAATACAGTTGGAAAGGGCTGTGTTCCCCCATGACCCGAAGCGTTGGGTAAGGATTGGAGGCGGTAGGCAGCGGTATGAGGGCAGTCAGTGGGCAAAAGTCGGTTGGCTTACAAAGAGCAAATGTGTGTGACAGTGATCGCGACTTCTTGCAGAACGTCCAGGATACTCTTGATCTGGAACAGAGGCTGCGCAAAGGCAATGATAATGGCATCCGGCACTACCGCACAGGTATCGTAGAGGAGCGGAGCATTGGGTGTGCGACGATATGTGTGGAGGGTTGCAGAGGGGGCAAACGAACCTTAAGGTTCACTGCAGGACAGATAAATATACAGACTCTGTAGACAAGACAAAGAAAGGTCCTGAGGAATTGATGGACAAGTTGAAGAGTGACAGGAAGAGGTCAGGTCGAAGGAAGCAACGTCGAAACTGGCTGTGCTGAGAGACCCACCCTCGACACAAATGCGCCCGTACCTCGTACCACTGGAACGTGGTTTCGAAGGGTGTAGAAAACAGAAATTTAGAGCCCGGACAACTCAGAAATCACACCTAGCGGTTTCGAGGAGGATTTATTGAATAAGAATGAATGATCCTAAGGAGGCCTCTCAAGAGGTCGACTACGGTGCGACTGGATATTATGGCATTGGTTCCTATCTACCACCTCAAGCGAGGACCAACGTACTACAAGCCCGGTATTGCCCTGGTAGCGCTATCTTGTGACGGGATGTACATCCACCTGTAGACCAATTGAGTTCGCCGTGCGTCCAAAGCCAGTGTGTCTTGGTTAGCCATGTTGGGGTGGAAGTACTCTTGTACAGTGCTTGCTAGGATCCTTATAGCCGGTCCTCAGGCCAGTTGTACGCAGGGACGAAAATGATGCATGTCGGTCAGCACACCATCTGCGGTGCCGGGGGAAGAAATCCTTGAGTAAGCGGATCGGGAAAGTGAGGACAGCAGCAGGTTTGAGCCAGGCCAGGCGAGCCGTAGTACTTACTAAAAGGATCAAAAGCAAACCCCTCACTGACGCTGAAGAAATGCTGGCTGTAGTGCAGCGGCTTTGCGACGTCTGTTTGGTGAAGATTAGCAGTGAGCCGTAAAGGTGGAGTTATGGGTTCCGTCCAGAGGCCGTGGTCAAGACACGCAAGCATGCCATCCAACCCGTTTGGCCAATCCAGGATGGACTTGAGCGTGGGCTGGCGCACTGGCTGCCACAAACCACACGACTAAAAAGGCCAATCCATGCAACTCCAGCCCACTGACCAAAGTCTCCTGAACACAGGCAACGGAGCTCTGCTAGTTGGCATGGTTGATGCGACACTCACGGGGCGGTAAGGTAGCTAACGAGGTTCGCTGGCTGATTCCTGACGAGAGCCATCATGCACCAAACCACTCCCATGCGCTGATTCTCATCCAGACACTCGCCCAAAAATGACGCTTGGCGCAGTGGCGGCGACGCTCGACCCCGGAGCAATTTCGCTGGTTTTATAACCCTTTGGTGCCCGTGCATTCATCGCACACGAAGAATCTGCCCCGAGCGCTATTGTCGTCGCTATTAGTAGAGTCTTAGACACCTCGACATTGTACCAGTAGTAGATCTTATCCAAGATTGAGGTGTGTCAAGAATCCGCTATTGACCGTCCAACCACGAAACCCCCACATTCCAAGTGTGTTGCGAAAGGACGTCACGTATCGCCTCATTCCGGCTTGTTAACAAAGGAGTCAATATTACAGAGATGCTCATTCAGGCCAGTTTGCCATATCACGCGCGCCGCCTGATCCAGCTCTTGTGGTGGGTGGTGCCCAGGCAAGCCGAGGCCGACAGGGTGGTTGAGCACAAGTCGGCGCAAACGCGGCAGCCGAAAAAGCCAACTCTCTCGCGCCTAGAGAAGTGCGCAAATAATAATGACAAGGGCCGGAAGGCATAAATTATATAAATTGAGTTTGCCACTGCCACAAAGTCCGCTGGCTCTATGTTATATTTCCAGCACCAAAATTCCGAATGAAGTCTTCCTGATACCTAAAGAATGGTTTGAGATGTGAGACGCAGGTTGGTTTCGAAGGGACCGGCCAAATTACATCTGCACTATGCCAGCGATGCTCTGCGAGCGATGTAATGATGAGATGTGACGCCTTCCAGACCTGCACCGACCTCCGCATCGAAGGCTATAGTAAATCAGGAGATGCACGGTTGAAACTTCTCACCGTATCATGTAGACTTGTGATTCTCCAGGCATCGGTGGATTCTCGATGATTGGACGTGCGATCATGACATCGTTGAGGTGACTGAGTAAGCGCCGAGTGAGGGTGGTTCTAGGGCGAGCCAGTAATCGCAGAATTCTTCCCACGAGGCCACCTGAGAGAATGCTCAGTCGCATACATACCGGCTTCTATTTTGTCTGTTATCGGCCTCAATATCGTCCACCAGCACAATCGCAAGAAAAAGGCGACAGCAAATCTAGCAGATCGAGAGCTGAAAATTCCGTCCACGGTCATGTGACTGCGTGTCCGGTCGTGTCGCGTCGACGTCATTACAGCGTTGTTGCTATTCTATTCAGCCCGGGGAAATCGTGGATGGCCCAGATCGAAGCAGGGAGTGCGAACATACTGCTTGAATGTTCCAACAAAATTATGCGCATCTTTTTGCTGCTTTTTATGGAGTTGGACTGCAAAAATAATGTTCTGGGGGTTGGCTAGACTCGCGTTCTCCAGAAGCTTGTTGTCGATGGCCGAAATTGGAATAGTGGGATCTGGCCGAGTTAGCGTGTAGATCGCTCAAGAGCGGCAGCAAGTTGTTTTTGTTTACTCCGTTCCTGCAGGGCCATCATAATACTGCAATTCAATAAATCCAAGCCCAGATGTTTTGCTGTACACAATCCGTGCACTTTGCTGCAGCCATAGCTTCTTGCATCAGTACTCTTCCTCGCAATTGACTTTCCTCCTGTTTTTTCTTCCTCTCTGACAGCACTTCGACTCATGCTGCCATTTGCTTCGCGTTCTGAAAAGCATAGGGGCGCTGAGTCTCGATCAGCCTAGTCTTGGGACAACCTCGTTCAATTAAGTACTCGGCAGCTGCATAGGCTCCGATACGACTTTCGAGGACAAAATCGTCAAGATGGATGTCAAGGTAAGCTCTTCTGCCTCTTGCACTCGACTTCGATCCCCTTAACGAACACGCGAACGGCTCTCAACGCCCACGCTGCCCGACCTCTGTAAGGCATCACCGCTAACTTGAAGAATAGCCTCATCGACCGATACGCATACGCGTAAACAATGATGAGAACCTCCCTCCTGTCGGCCACAATACCAAAACAATTCACCAGCGAAATAAATCAAGTCCTGCACTGACCGGTTTGCCCCCGACTCAGGGACTCGCAGCTGGAGCTAAACGGAAGGTTTTTGGGGACGTGAGCAACACTGCTACAAGTGTAAAACCAAGCAAAGATGACCTCGCTTTGCAGAACAAAGCCGTTTCGCAGCCAACTATCAAGCCTCTGTATGAGAGGAAATCGACCAGTCTGCTGAGACCAGCTCAGAGACCACTATCCGTCTCTGGTTTGCGGACATTCTTCTCTGGTGGAAGCAACAATGCAGCCTCTGACAATGCAGTTACTGTGCCAGGGGAGGGCATTGGGCTTCATTCACAGGCTCCAGGTGGCAAGAAGACATTGACCAAGCGACACACTGCGATCTTCAAAGATAATCGTCTAGTCACGGTGCAAGAAACGGAATCCACGAGCGTGCAGTCAAACACCATCAATGAGCTACCCAAAGGAAAAGACGTGGTGGAACTTACGCATCTCGACTCTCAGCCGCTGCCTTGTCTCCTCCCGTCAACATCGCAGACTCTCGTTGAGCCTAGTAAAGAAGTCTCAGAACCTCGATCAGAGATCAGCTTACCAGGAATTGATGAAGTCAGCTTGGAGCCTGCGGTTGCTCGCGAAGTGAACAATGACCGCTACGTTAGAGAAGCCGTCACAACCATCTCAGAGCTCCCTGGCCCTCCTGTCAATTCACATTACGATCTTCACAAAACCTCAACCGCCCTCCCACCTCTTTCCATCAACACCAGTGCTCCAGCTCCAGCAGCGACATCACAACAGATGGCTGTCGCGAAACTTGTCAACCCAGTTGACACCATTCCTCCTCTTCTCTCGCACAATAATTACGTTATCGCACCGGTTGAACAAGAGGAGCATTGGGAAGAAGAAGAAGAAGAAGAAGAAGAAGAAGAAGAAGACGAGGACAACTACGAAGAAGAAGGCTATGTGACGGCTAGGTCATTTCGATCTAGAGGCGACAATACAACTGGCGGTGCTACGGCTGTGTTGTTTCCTCAGATGAACCAGCGCATTCGTAAGGAGCTTTCCCAGGCAAAACAACTGGTCGAGGCAACTCGGTCTCCTGAAGAACTCGAAGACGAGAGCTTTGACACAAGTATGGTGGCCGAATATGGAGATGAGATCTTCGATTACATGAAGTCTCGAGAACTGAAGTTGCTACCCAACGCTCACTACATGGACAACCAACATGAAATCCAATGGTCGATGCGTTCGGTCTTGATGGACTGGCTCGTGCAAGTGCATCTGCGCTTCAACTTGCTGCCGGAAACTCTGTTCCTGACTGTCAACTACATCGATCGCTTCTTGTCCTGCAAAGCCGTTTCCCTCGGCAAACTGCAACTCGTTGGTGCAACAGCCATCTTCATTGCTGCCAAGTATGAAGAAATCAATTGCCCGTCTGTTCAAGAGATTGTGTACATGGTTGATGGCGGTTACACCATTGATGAAATCCTCAAGGCCGAACGCTTCATGCTCACGATGCTTCATTTCGAGCTAGGATGGCCGGGTCCGATGAGCTTTCTGCGGAGGATCAGCAAGGCTGACGACTACGATCTCGAGACCAGGACATTGGCCAAGTATTTCTTGGAGGTTACACTCATGGACGAGCGCTTTATTGGTAGCCCACCAAGCTTCACAGCGGCAGCGTCTCACTGTCTCGCACGCCTCATGCTCCGCAAAGGAACCTGGGTAAGTGTTGAATTCACGTCGTGATTCAACATCTACTGACCTTTTTCAGACTGCTCATCACGTTTACTATTCTGGATACACATATTCACAGGTCGAGCCTCTTGTGAGTCTCTTATTGGAGTGCTGTGACGATCCTCGCAAGCACCACAGTGCAGTATTCAACAAATATTGCGATAAGCGCTACAAACGAGCATCTGCCTTTGTGGAGACAGAGATTCAGAGAGGATTCCAGCTACCCGACTACGGTGCTGCGGTATTTTTACCTCAACCACCTGCACTTCCATACTATGACAGCATTTCTTACTACCGCACCTGAGAATATGCCTCGAAGCATTTCTACTCGCATGATGATGACCACCATCGGGCACGCCATAATGAATGACGCATGGCCTCAAAATGCACGAGAGATAGATTTCACTTCCTCTTCCTCATGAAGTCATCTGCACCCACCATTTGCATGAGATGGAACCAGTTGCTTAGGCAACTGACATTCGAAACTCATCTTACGACGACACGAACTTATGACCCACTAATCAATATCAATGCCATTGGCCGGCGACAGAAACGGGCATGGACCATTTTCACTTTTCGGTACCATTGTCAGTGACACAATTTTCAGGGCGAATTGTCAAACTCGAGGGGAGAGGATTGGAGATGGCAACGGCGCTGGAGTAAATGTACTGCAACCTTCGAGGCGAGGAAATGGTTGACTGCAAGCTCTTGACGTGATTTCGATTTTCAGCGAGGCAACAAAAATCGTGCTGTAGCGGAACTAATGCAACTAATACTCTTGGAGAGAATGAAATAGCTGCCCTTCTACTTTTTGCGTGCTTGGTCTTTAGTGTCCGTATGCCAGTACAATGTATCTCTTGAAAAGGGGTAAACCAGGCTGAGTTGCAGCCTCGCGGCTGTTCTCAGCCTGATACGGAGGAGCATTCCCCTACTTACCTACTTTTGCCGCAGCCCTCTTTGATTTCTTCTATCCTAATTAGTGAAAAGTCAGTAATCAGTGTATCCTGCTAATCTTTGTACAAGTCCCAAGATTTTTGAGATCTCAATGGTCTAGCAAACTACCAATTGGACCTAGGGTAATTGTTTACTCAGCACCGATTTTCAGGATGACGACGTCGTCGCAGTGACATATCATACTCTTGGCGCCGCTTTTGGATATTTTTCTTTCAATCGACCCCCATTGAAGTTGTCGAGGAGCTGATCGCCACATGATCACTCTGACTGTCGAGTTCAACACCGAAAACCCAAGTCGTACACATGGCTCCTAAGAAAGGTTCTGCGTCAGCAAAGGGTAATGCCTCAAAAAAGTCATCTGCCCCGCCAGTACCAGACAGTGAACACATTGTCTTCACAAATTCGCAACAGGATAAGAAGAAAAAAGATGCAAATCAGCCCGAGGGCCCGCCACGCCCAGACGCTCGCAAGGTGATCGGAGGTCAGTCATGGACAGGCAAGCTACCTGTCAACCTTCTCTCCGAACATTGTCAAAGGCAAAAATGGAATAAGCCCGATTACCAGGGTCGACAGGTCTCCGGAAGTAATGGAGAAAAGATGCATCGATCTTGGGTCGTTCTATCGAAGACAGATCCGAAAACTGGCGATGTCACGAGATTGCCTTCCTTTCAGCTTCCTACCTCCTCAGCACATCTAGCAGATCAACCCACAGCTCTCGAGGCTCGACATTTTGCTGCGGCCTATGCTCTTTTCCGTATATCGAGCATGAAAAATCTCTCCATGGCCTTACCTCCGTTTTATCGGGATCTTTGGAAGGGCGATTTTCAACGTCTGAAGGAGGAAGATGTGAAAGAAGATAGGGCCTGGAAGTATGATGCCGATCCTTTTGCAGCGGAGGTAAAACGACAGGAGATCAAAGCCAAAGTCGAGAAGAGGAAGCAAGAACAATTAGCGGCACCGCCCAAAATTGAGCCTCTGAGTTTGGTCAACTCAAGTGCTAGCGGAATCACTCTGAAAGGATGGGATCGTGCGCCCCGAATTGAATTAGGGCAGAGCTCCCGTATGCGCTTAGAATCCATCATTCGGACCAAAAGTACCTGGAACACCGCTGGCACCAAGATGACGAAAGCGGAACGGGTATCGATCGTCTCAGACCTAGCAAAATCCGGATTTCTTCCGAGTCACATTCAAGAAGCCTTGGACTATTGTGGTAGCCGAGAAGAAGTTCTAGAATGGCTGCTTATATATCTACCCGAAGATTCACTACCGAGTTGGAGCTTTCCTCCTGGTTACCATGCTGGTGTATCTCTTGTCACCAGTGACCTTTCCACTGATGCTAAGGTCAAGAGACTAAGTGAGGGTGGCTATTCCAGCCAGTTGTGTCTTCAGGCACTCCGAGACAATGATGGGAGCGAGGCTTTGGCTATGGAAGCGCTCCAGTTCAGCCTTGCGCCTCCAAAGTCGGATATACGCACTGATCTCCCATCAGATGCCGATCTGTGGGCGGAAGAGATGACAGCACTGGAAGCTATTTTCGCTGAGAGAGTCACAGTTGCTGACAAGAGTCAGTTTTCAATCAAAGTAACACCATCTAGCTCGCTTCAGTCTACACTCATGTTCCGCCTTCCAAAACATGGATATCCGATATGCACCCCACCCATTCTTGTGATTCACGATACAAAGATGCCAAGCTATGTTCGCTTGAGCATCATCAAACGGGCAGTGGAGTTCGCACAAGAAAATTTACTTGGGGATCAAATGGTATTCAGCCTGATCGAATGGCTAGAAGAGTCGATTCCCAAGATTGTTGAGCAGCCGGGGAAGCTCGTTGATCTGGAGATTTCTAGAACCTCGTTCACAGTACAACGACTCTCTGACGGCCATCTAGACGCCACCTACAAACGCAAGAAGAGACTCGATAGAACGCATCAACGGGATATGCGATCTAATAGCTTGATCTATGAGGCGTGGAAGGTCAGACAGGACTCGGAGGCCCAGAAGAAGATGTTGGCTTCAAGAGAAAAACTGCCTGCGTGGGCGAAAAGACATACGATCATTGAGGAGATTGACCGTCACCAAGTCACATTAATCACTGGTGAGACAGGTTCCGGCAAGTCTACGCAAGCTATTCAATTTGTCCTTGACGATGCTATACAGAAAATGAAGGGCTCATCAGCCAATCTCATTTGTACACAGCCAAGACGTGTCGCAGCATTGTCACTTTGTGATCGAGTAGGTGCAGAGAGATGCATCATCGAGGGTGATGAGGTAGGCTACATCATCAGAGGAGATTCAAAGGCCTCTGCGAATACAAAAATCACCTTCCAAACGACCGGTGTACTTCTCCGGCGCTTACAAGGAGCGGAAAATGTCAAGGCAGCATTGGCCAACGTCAGCCATATCTTCGTCGACGAGGTTCACGAACGCTCACTGGATACAGATTTCCTGCTTGCTCTTCTGCGTGATGCATTGCCTGTATTGCCGCATCTCAAAATTGTCCTCATGAGCGCAACATTGAATGCTGACACGTTCGCGAACTACTTTGGTGGTAGCCGAAGTGTAGGTAGGGTTCATGTAGAGGGACGAACTTACCCTGTACAAGACTTTTATCTTGACGATGTCATTCATCTCACCCAAAACGAAAGCAATCATGCTGTCTCTGCTGCTTCGGAAGGCCTCCCATCGTTTGACGTTGGCAGAGCAATTCAAAATCTAGGCATGGGCATCAACTATCGGCTCATTGCCGATCTTGTCCAGCACATTGACAAAGATCTTGGAAACAATTCAGGCGGTGTCCTGGTCTTTGTGCCCGGTACCATGGAAATTGATCGTTGCCAACGTGCCCTCAGTGATTTACCTGGTGTCCATAGCCTCCCACTGCACGCATCTCTCACCCCTGCAGAGCAACGGATGGTGTTCAAACGACCACCTCCCGGTAAGCGGAAAGTCGTGGTGGCCACAAACGTCGCCGAAACGTCCATCACCATCGAGGACATCGTCGCGGTCATCGATACCGGCAAAGTCAAGGAGACAAACTACGATCCGACTTCGAACGTTGTCCGCCTCGAAGAAGTCTGGGCGTCACAGGCCGCATGCAAACAGCGGCGGGGCCGTGCTGGTAGAGTGCAGGCAGGAAAATGCTACAAACTATTCACACGGAATGTCGAGCAGAACATGCTCGCAGCCACCACGCCCGAAATGCACCGCACGCCACTCGAGCAACTTTGTCTTTCGGTCAAGGCGACGGGGTCAGAGAGGAACGTAGAGGAGTTTCTGGCCCGGACGATCTCTCCGCCCGACAGTCGCGCGGTGGCCACGGCGATGCGAACATTGAAACGGATGGGCGCCTTGGAGAACGAACGGCTCACCGGTCTCGGCACATACTTGGCCATGATCCCAGCCGATCTACGCTGCGCTAAACTCCTCATCTACGGCGTCTTGTTCGAGTGCCTCGACCCATGTTTGACCATCGCCGCCATTCTCACGACGAAATCGCCCTTTGTCAGTCCCCGGGACAAACGCGACGAGGCCAAGGAGGCGAGATTATCGTTCTCGTCGTCGTCCGACGGTGATCTCATTCTCGACTGTGCCGCGTTTGAACAGTGGAAGGAACACTCGAGCACGACGACATCGCGGTACCGGGCCCTGCAAGACTGGTGTGGCAGTAGATTCTTGTCCCTCCAGACGTTGAGGGACATTGATTCTACGAGACGACAGCTACGAGACTCGCTCGTCGAGAGCGGTCTGCTTCCTGTGGATTACTCTAGGGTTGTCACGACGAGGTTCAACAAGCGCAGGGGAAATACCATGTTGTTGCGCGCCTTGATCGCGGGGGCGCTGAATCCTCAGATCGCTCGGATCCAGATGCCCGACAAAAAGTACATCGCGTCAGTGTCCGGAGCAAAAGAGCTCGACGCGGAAGCCAAGGCGATCAAGTACTTCAACGAGGAAAACGGGAGGGTGTTTGTGCATCCCAGCTCGGTGCTGTTCGACGCGCAAGGCTTCTCTGGCGCCGCGGCCTTTGTGAGTTACTTCACCAAGATGGAGACGAGCAAGACGTTCATCAGGGATCTGACGCCGTTGAACGCCTACGCGCTATTATTGTTCGGTGGACCCATCGAGATCGACACGTCGGGCCAAGGGCTGGTGGTCGACGGGTGGTTGAAGTTGAAAGGGTGGGCGAGGATCGGGGTCCTCGCGTCCAGACTGCGCCTCTTGCTCGACGACGAATTGACGAGGAGAATCGATTCGGTCGATCCTTCGAGTCAAGACGATGAAGGTCTATTCGACATTGTCAGGCAGCTGGTGGAGTTGAACGGTCAGGATAAGTAAGTAGAGGCTATCACGCCATTCTCGAAGTCAGCCCGGTACTACTGAGGGCCGGATATGTCATATACTATATACTCATACGGGCCATGATTGATGCACAACTGTATGCATGTATATTTTCTCACTCGAAGACGTCACAAAGTGCTGCAGCCTTGGTCCTAATGACTTGCGGGCCGAGGTAAAAATACAATGCTTCTAGGTAGCCGAGCTCGCGCTTCGTGTGCTACTCAGAAGGGGGAAATGCGGAGGTGACAACTACTAATAAACCGGGACCTTGGGGGTTCGTCGGTAGTATTATTATTCCGTAGTCATCACTTTATTCAACTCGTTGATACATACGAAGTATCCGTTGAAGAAATCGTCAGGCTCTGTGCGTACAAAGTCACCGCAACGATGCCGCGAGCGATTTCAGTCAAACATACTCCGGGCAAGCCTGGGCAGGTATATTATCCCCTGAGCATCGACACTGTACCGAAACCAAACCCGGGACCAGGCCAACTAATTGTTAAATTTCACGCGTAAGCCACGCCATCGAGACATTTATTGTCATTTTGCACACGTTCTGTGTTCTTCCCCCGGTTGATCTTCCACTGTTGCTGATAATCAGGATCAAAAGTGCTGCCCTCAATCATCGAGATTTATTTATTCGTCAGGCTCTTTACCCGGCCATTGGTTTTGGAGTACCTCTCCTGGCCGACGGATGCGGTACGGTGACCGATGTGGGTTCCGGGGCTGATGCTTCGTGGATCGGCAAACGAGTGGTGCTCAACCCAGGTACGGGGTGGGAAGAAGCCCTCGAAGGACCAGAAGACCCTCGAGGGTATCGGATCTTGGGCGGCACGAAGTCCAACGACATCGGCACATTACAGGAATATTGTGCCATTGATCAGAACGAAGTCGAGGAAGCACCTGCGCACTTGAGCGACGTGGAATGTGCGGCGATCCCTCTGACTGGACTCACGGCGTGGAGGGCGGTCATGGTCAAGTGTGGTTCTCACAATCTTCAACCTGGAAAGTCAGTCTCACACACCTTATCCTCACCGGTCCTTCGTCTCGAAACACTAGCTAACATGTGTCGATCGCTAGGAACATTCTCATCACCGGTATTGGCGGTGGTGTGGCTTTGATGGCACTTATGTTCGTCACGGCGACAGGAGCCAATGCCTGGGTGACGAGTGGTGACCAGGCCAAGATTGACCAGGCCGTCGCACTGGGCGCAAAAGGTGGTGTGATTTACAAGGAGAAGGACTGGCACTCCAAACTCCTCAAGATGTTGCCAAAAGACAATAAAAAGTTTGATGCCATTGTGGACGGTGCCGGTGCTGATATAGTTGAAAAAGGGGCCAAACTATTGAAGGTAACGAGATCGACGAATTTTCCAGTCTTGCATTTCAGTTCCTCTTGGATTAACCTCATATGCTGACAAGATTGAAAATTGCTAGGATGGTGGTATAGTTTCAATCTATGGTATGACGGTGAGTCCGAAGATGCCATTCTTGATGCAAGCCGTCTTGCGCAACATTGAAGTCAAGGGTTCAACTATGGGGAGTCGGAAGGAGTTCAAGGACATGGTTGATTTCGTCAAACGGTCCAAATCGAAGCCCGTGGTGAGTCGAGTTGTCAGTGGTATCGAGAATCTCGATGGTATCAACGGTCTGTTCGACGAAATGAAGAAGGGATCACAGTTTGGGAAATTGGTCGTCGAGATAGGTGACCAGAGACAGGCCAAATTGTGAAATGGTGATATACATATCTACTGGGGACATGTGGCAATTGAGTTCTTCCCAGTCAGTGATTGTGGAATGAAGCTTTATACAATGAGGAAATTTTGAGGAGATCTAAGTCATGGATGAGGAAGAGCGTTGAATATTCAGTGGTAGTACCGATGGATAAAGTAGCTGGGTGGACAAGGTACCTTTGTACCTACCTAGGTAGTAATGGGTATAAAATTCACAGAACTCAGGCTCACAGCTTAATTAGGTGCAGGTGAGGTGGTTGTTGGCCCCCAACGCTCCCCCCAAGTTGCCTAGCATTTAGGGGTACCTGAGGAACACCGTAGTGACAGCCTACAGCGCCTAACAATCTATCGCGTCAAATCTCAATCAATGACTTTCCGTCTAATCATTCTCCCTTCCCTGGGTATTTACAAGGGTCTACCCACAACAAATCCATCCGTCTGTGTAAGTACAGTATGTCATCGGATCGAATCAACTGTGTCGGCCCGCGTAAGATAAAGTTGTACGAGCCACGATGATGACTTTGCACCGGTACTCCGGCCTCTGGTATAACCAAAGACCAGAACGACTCTGAGCGAACAACAGCCTTTACCAGATGTCCCACATCAATTAAAGCCGACGGGGAATGCCCTGATACTCCGAAAACAGGTCGAGGATCATCATCGTCATCCCCATCATGACCTGTATCAGCCTATATCAAAGACACATGTCCGTCGACATTGCACGGTTGCCGGTAGGTTGTTTGATGATCCATACATGACCGCCTATAGGTTTGAGGCCCCCTTTCCAACATGTCACACTGCTCTTTCCCCTCGTTCAGCGTCTCTATCTCAACAAGTCACGATCCAGTCAGCATTGGATGACAAATTCAAAATCGGCGACCTCTCAACTTGCGCTTTGGAGTGTTGTACGAAAACTTGGAATCAGATCTTTGGAAGCTTTTCGGAATACCGACGCTAATTCCGAAAATCGGGTGGCCCCCTCCAGCTACTTATTACAGCCGTGGCCGACTTCGATTCCTCCCGCTAGTGAGATTCACAACACCAAAAACATCCCAGAAACCATTCGAAACCTCAAGAGCGGGGCACTGTCGGTCGGGTCTGTTCGAGCACCTGTTGGTCCTCTCTCTTCTCTTTATCTCTTGCTAAGCTCAGTACAGTAAATATCATTCCGTTCCCCGCCTCCACCAAAGCTCAAAATACTTTATCAAACCTCTTTCCTTTTTCTTCAACGAAGATTTCTCTCAACAAAGTATAGCTGTACCGTCCGGTGTTGAAAGCAACTCCTTATTCTGCTCGACATCTACTGCGGAAAATGGGCGACTGCTGCAAGACCGGTTTCCGCTGGACGGGCAATCCTGAAGGCAAAGAGACCAAGATCGCAGGTCTCGACACCTATGTGTCTGGTTCGAACAAGGATGCCGCCATCCTCATTGTCCACGACATCTTTGGCTGGACATTGACCAACCTTCGCGTGTTGGCGGACCACTATGCCAAAGAGGCCGATGCCACGGTGTATCTGGTCGATTTGTGAGTGCATTATCCGAAAAATCAGTCCGTGTCCAAAAACGATCAATAACTGACTCTTTTCCTTTTTACCTCACTCTTGCAGCTTCGGCGGTGAGATCGTACCTCCAGAGAATTTGGAAGATCCTGAAAAGGCAAAGCACTTTGACGTCGGAGCCTTCCTCGGTCGCCACGGCAAGGACAAGAGAGGACCAGAGATCTTTGCGGCGGCAAAGGCACTCAAGAACGAACTTGGTTATAAGAAGGTTGGGGCTATTGGGTTTTGCTATGGAGGTTGGGCTGTCTTCCAACTCGGCGCCAAGGGTGAGTTTTCCTCTTCTTTTTCTTCATAACGTCTCCTCCTTCCCTTTTGCCAGGCGTACAAATACTAACCTGCTCGTTCTTCGTTTTTGTTTTTCTATAGGCAACAACCTGGTAGACTGCATCTCCACCGCTCACCCGTCGTTTCTCTTGACCTCCGAGATCGACGCCGTGTCCGTGCCGGTCCAGATCTTGTCCCCAGAGAATGATCCTCTGTACACCGAGGATCTCAAGGCGTACTCGAACAAGGTCATCCCGACGCTGGGCATCGAGTACGACTACCAGTACTTTCCCGGCTTGGCCCACGGTTTCGCCACGAGGGGAGACCCTAACAACGACGTCCAGAAGAAGGGACTGGAGCGTGCCAAGAACGCCGTGGTTTACTGGTTCGCCCAACACTTGCATTGAAGTGGACACTTGGATGCGTGTGAGAATGAAGGCATCATGTCTCGCGATGCGGGCAGGGAAAAAGTAGATTAGAAATGGTATATAGTTCTGCACAGGAGGTACATGGTACATGATCACAATCCTCATGAGTACCCTATTTTACTGTTTCCCTACTCGGATCGTCAACACTCCGAAACAGTGGCAAAGTTTTCGGCAGCTATTGAGTTCTGCACATCTTTACCATCTCTCCGGCGTGTCCATAAAGTTGTACGCCTGCATGAAGGGAGGATACCGACTCCCGCTGACCTCGGCACTCTCGATGGCCTTTCTGATCTCTCGGTTTTCCTCGGGCGTCAACTTGACGTTCAACGCCCCCATGTTGTCGTCGAGGTATTTGATCTTTTTCGTCCCCGGGATCGGAATCACGTCTTCGCCCTGGGCCATGAGCCAGGCCAGGGTCAACTGTCCCGCCGTGCAGCCCTTTTTGTCGGCGAGCGACACGATCCGGTCGACGAGTTCGAGGTTCTTGTGGAAGTTGTCGGGGGAGAACCGAGGGAGGGTGCGTCGGATGTCGTCGTCGTCAAAGTCGTCCAGGGACCTGTACTGACCCGTGAGGAACCCCCGGCCGAGCGGGCTGTACGCGACGACCGCCACGCCCAGTTCCCGACAAGCGTCCAACAGTCCGATCTGGGGGGATTCCAACTCCGTCGTGAAGGGACTGTATTCGACCTGAACGGCCGAGATGGGGTGGATTTTGTGCGCCCTTCGAAGAGACTCGGCTGAACATTCGCTCAACCCTAGGTATCTGACCTTGCCTTGTCTTTTTAAATTTGAAAGGACTTGTTAGCATTTCCATCTCGCCAAATTGCGTCTAGTCAGGTATTCAACGCTAGGGGGAGGTGGTAACGAAAAGAACGAGGAACAGTGGCAGGAAGTGGTGGCAAGTGATTGGGATTGACGTGGATGGGGAGGAAGGAAGGAAGAAGTATGAGGAGGTGTTTCATACTTGACCAAATCAGCCATTGCCTCAACCATGTCTTCGATGGGAGTCTTTCCGCTCAATCTGTGACAATAGTAAAGATCGATGGTTTCGATACCTAACCTTTTGAGACTCTTTTGGCATGCTTCCTTGACGTATCCAGGTTCATTGTTGAAAGTTCTAGTCCCGTCCGGATGCCAAACTGTCGCGAATTTGGTAGCTAGGAAGATCTACGAACCGGCATGCATCAGTTGTTTGGAGTCTCGCGGCTGTACCGGTGAAGGTATGACGGTACGTGGAGTGTGATGACGGTCGGCTTACATCGTCGCGTTTCCCACTTCGTCTGAACCACTCTCCGATCAAATCTTCATTGTCCCCGTACACATCAGCCGTGTCCCAATTCCTCGCACCGACCTTGTGGGCATGGTCCAGAAACGCAAAGCGTTCCTCGTCCGGTTGTGGCTTGCCGTAAAACGTCGACAGTCCAAGGGCTCCGAAACCCAAAGCGGTGACCTGTGGGCCATTGCGACCTAGTTGGCGAGTTGGGATGTGTGACATTTTTGGACGTTGTTTTCCAGAATATAACTTTGATGATCTGATTGTCCGACAGTTTTTTTAGGTAATTCGAGAGAGGTCTCACTTCAAGGACAGGTACGTTACGACCACTTGAATTCAATATGGCATCGGTAAAGTGAGAAGAATCGACTCGTAGTGGCAGAGGTTCTAAATAGGACTTGACATACCAACTTGTACCCGACCGTAATCGTACTCGTATTCGTCTACTGACCTTTGCAAATCATAACTTCAAGATCTCTACTTCGTACAAGGTACTCATTAAAGCCCCCAAAAGATCGATTGCTGAATAATAATGATAACAACGTACAACAAATACTCCGTATTTAACACCCCAAAAAATGGAAAAGGATTTGTTGGGGTAAATAATATATTTTATGTATACTCCGTAAAAACTCCGCCTCATATGCATTGGATTGTCGTACTACGGAGTATTCGTACATACCTAGGTATATACTCCGTACACTGGATAGGTACTCGCATGGACGAAACGGTCCAAGTTCACCCGTTATGGAGTCGTGATTGAGGACTCGTACAAAATGACCTTCAGAGAACATTGGGAATCAATGTACAGTACGCTGGCTACTATCATGATGGGGATTTCCTTGAACGCTGAGTAATTGAGAGGATGACTTGGTGAAGCGGTCCGTAAACCCCGTCACGATATACAATTTCACTCCTTCATTCGTATCCGAAACTCATGGGCGTCGGACAGCGCTGCGACTTTGTAATTGCTCTACCCGTACGGATTACGTACGTACATGGAATGCCAGACGGCAGTCCAGAGTACAGGCACACGTGACAAGGCTTCTCACCCCTTTCCAATCCTCAACCATCTCTACTCACTGCTAGGGATCAACGCAGCGATACCCATTTGTTGAACAGAAACTCCTCAACTCCGTGCCTGCCATTATTACTCCCCCAGCCACTACCCTTGTATCCCGTCGCAGGTGCGTGGACTGTTTGAGTTTCTTGGGTCAGTAAAGGTGTCCAACCGACAAGCATTATCTTGGTGCGAGCATCACTTACCATCAGCATACATGGTCATTCCATTGACTTGAACTTGACCGAAGTCCAACTCACGGGCAAATTCGATCGCCTTCTTGTAGTTCTGGGTCCAAACCGAAGCCGAAAGCCCAAACTCCGTCTCGTTGGCCCTCGCCAACGCCTCATCGGCGTCCTTGACCACGTACAGTGAGGCTGTAGGCGCAAATGACTCTACGTGATTGATGCGTGACTTGGGATTCAAATTCGTCAGGATCGATGGCGTAAGAGACGATTTGCCAGTAAGGTCGGCGTTCCCTGCCAGAAATTCTGCTCCATCCTTTACCGCCTCGAGGATCAGCTCCTGAGCCTTCTTGGCTGCCTCAGCCGAGCTTGCGTCGCCGGCTTCTGGGATCGTCTTCATCGCTGCAACGAGTTCCTTCGAAAATGCATCCTTGACCTTCTCGACCACAATGATTCGCTCGGTGCCAAAACATAATTGGCCGTGATGTGCTAGGGCTGAGCCTTTTGTCAGTACACGAGCACTCTAGCTGGGTTTCAAGGTTCCTTCGACTTACCTCCTGCTACCACCATACCTGCTGCTGCTTTCAAATCCGCGTCTTCGAGAATGATGGCGGGGCTCTGGTCACCAAGCTCCATCAGCACCGGCTTCAGGTACTTCGCTGCCACACTACCGATGATCTTGCCGACAGCCGCACTGCCGATAAATTCGACCTTTCGGATCGCTTGATGTGCAATCAGAGCTTCCGTCACCGCCGCTGCGTCCTTCCGAGCACATTGAACTTGATTGACCACACCCGCGGGAAGACCGGCCTCCTTCAAGCACTCCAGCATGATCTGATGGGTGAAGGGACAGATTTCCGACGCTTTCAAAACCACCGAGCATCCAGCCGCTAGAATGTGAGCAATCCCACGGAAAGCCAGGATTAGTGGAGCGTTCCACCTGTTGCAGGTATCAGCAGGAGCGAACCACAGCTTCAACATACGTACGGTGGGATGATCAATACCGGCCCAATAGGCTCTTTGAATACTAATGACGTGACTTCGGGATCGGAACTGCTTGGAATGGTGCCATGGACCGCGGTGGTCACACAAGAGGCTGCCTCTCGAACTTGTTTCGCGGCATACATGACATCGAAGGGTGTCCACCTGTTGGAAGCGCTGGTCTCGGTGGTGTTTCGTTTTGCGGCTTCGTCACCTCTCCTTTCAAGTATGTCGGCTGCTCGTAGGAGCACGTCTCGACGCTCATCCACTGTTGTTTTCTTCCAAGATTTGAAGGCTTTCCATGAGGCGTCCGCGGCAGCGATGGCGACCTCCACCGTAGCACTCTGTGCATAATGCACCGTTTCTCCTGTTGACCCTTGTATGACTGGGAAGTTCTGTGAGTCGGGCAGGTTGAGGGCTTCTCCATTGATCACGCAAGGAACGACGCCCTTCCCGTCAGAGGCCTTTTTCAAATACATGTTTCCGCTTTATACTTTCGTGAACAATACTTTTTGTGGTATGTTGTCAAGATGGGTATGATTCCCAGTGAGGAGCAGACCGACACTTTAAAGACAGGTCGCAAGTGCTTGCTTTCGAAAGCACCCGAGCGGTCCTGCGAGTTATGAATAGCATCCTCGGAACGACCTCGGAAAGAGGCAAGGCTCCATGTTGGAAAGGTAACGGGAGGAGGAATTTGTCTCCCATTGGTGCGTTCTAGAGACGAACTCCTAATTCAGATGAAGATTGCGGTGCAGAACGTACTGGTGGCTGCATAATCTGGGGAAACTGAAGCGCTCAGCCGGAGATCTGGAGGTTTTATTTCCCCGGCTGGGTTCATTCCAGTGAACAATGTCCATTTTGTCGGCACATGACAAGTTTTATCAGTCTGGAGCCAAGGGCAATATCATGTACATCAATTTCAATACTTTCATCGTATAAGGGTGCACTTAGGGATGTTAAATGCATTCTTGGTGAGTCTCTGAAATCGGGCAGCTTCAAGATCTCGGAATGAGGAAGCCGCCGCACGTGGTTTATAATCATGGCGGGCCCAGTTGTCTGAGGAACTGGAAATCCGACAAGTCACTGAGAAACCGAGGGCCACTAAATAGATCTTACGCATAGCAAATACCCAAGCCACAAAGAGATGAAAGAAGTCGAAGGTCTTGCTGAGGTTGGATGTTGTTGAAGATCACGTGGGTGGAAGAACTATCGCTCCGAAATCCGAAGTCGAAACTGAAGACTCAATCATGGTTACTCTCATATCTGCTCACAGAGTTCAACATGAACGTCGTTTCTCTTCATCATACGTATGTCACCTTGTGAGATTCACCGCAGCATGAAACCCCCATCTCAGCTGCATTGAAGCTCACGTACTCACATGTTTCCCCCACCCAAGCAACACCCATTTGGCCCGCACAAACCCGCGGAGGGCCCGCATAACGAGAAATCAGGTAGGGAACCAGGCATAGCACAACACCATCACGCTAGAGAGAACCAACAAGGTCTTACCGTGGTGGAAGTATAGATTTCTTGATATGCAAAGTGATATTGAAGCCAAATGTCGAGGTCTGATGGGAAAGCTCAAAGATGCTTGTGTGAAAACGCCCGTCTCGCCGTCGAGCGCGGCATATTGCCGGTTCACATCCGATTGTCTCTCACGGCAAAAACCAATTGGGCAGATTCAGTGTAGCCTGTCGACTGTTCCACAATATTTTCGCTGGGTTCTGTTGCCCGTGGGCGCCGTAAGATGGCGGCCCCCATTGTACGTACCCCCACGGACTTCTCAAAATTCGACTTTGAAATCGCTCCGTGAGCTATTGTTGTGTGAAGCGCCAACTTCTGACAAGCCGCCCCGGTCGAGACAGAAGCTTGGGTCGGCGTTTGATGCCGAGCTCTGCGTTGGGTACAGCCACATTCTCGGACTTCCCAAAACAGCCAGCCGAGGGGTAGAGAACAATTTTCATCTGCTACTGTCACCTTCGTGTTGGGAGCTAAGCAGAGGGGTGTGCGAGGAAAACAAAGATACAGTGTACAGCACAGGTGCTTCATCGTTGGGTTGAGAGTCTGTAATAGAGAACTGTAGTTGAACTTCGGTCTCTCAACACCGAACAGCAGCAAACCCATTCTTAAGTGGGATAATGGCCCTGTACAGGCCTGACCAGCCAAACTCGTGGTTTTTTTCTAGGCGTGGTGTGGGGCGGCACTAAGCCTCCATTGCCTCCCCCTCGCCGGTCGTCGCTGCGGGGAACTTGCGGTAGTTTGTGAACTGCGACTGTGTGTAGGCTATATTTCCTGCTGCCCCAGTGCAAGCATACCCACCCTTCTGCTCCTGTTCGATCATTCTTCTCACTCTCCCACTGCAAACAAGATACCAGCAAGAAGTCGAGGAGTCGCCAAAATGCAGACTAAACAGTAAGATTCCCTGACGCAATCAAAGGAAGCTCAACAGGCTCTTTCCGGAGCATACTGCTTAGATTTGTATGCTGACAAGGTGACCTGCAGTTTCATCAATGATCCCACGCACTTGGTGCAGACTTCTCTCGCCAGTCTAACCCTTACCAACCCCTCCCTTGCCTTCGACTCTCTGAATAAGGTCATATATCGAAGACCCACCAAGGAATCACAGGAGAATCCCAAGGTCTCGATCATAACAGGAGGTGGTAGCGGCCATGAACCGGCATTCGCAGCGTTCTGTGGCAAGGGCTTTGTCACCGCTGGAGTCGCCGGGACAATTTTCGCTTCACCAAACACCCTTCAAGTACAGAGAGCGATCATGTCGAGAGTGGAGACCAGGAAGGGCGTTCTGGTCATCACCTTTAACTATACCGGAGTAGGTGAACCGATACCCTATAAATTCCCATTATACTGACATTCAACGCGAATAGGATGTTCTGAACTTTGGTCTGGCGGCCGAAAAAGCCAAAGCTGCTGGAATCGACACCGAGTTCTATGCCATTGGCGATGATGTCGGGGTTGGCCGGGAAAAGGGAGGAAAGGTCGGCAGGCGTGGTATTGGAGGTTCCATTCTTGTGCTGAAGATCATCTGTGCGCTTGCAGAAGCCGGTGGCAGCCTGAAAGAAGTGTACAACCTTGCCAAACAGGTGGCTGACAACCTGGTATCTGTTGGTTCTTCTATGGAACATGTCCATGTCCCTGGAAGAGAGATTCCTGCGGCAGATTCAGAGGAAATGGTCCCGAACGATGAGATTGAAGTCGGCATGGGTATTCACAACGTAAGATGACATGGTGGGAGCGCAGTTGAAGATTCGACTAACGTGGTATAGGAACCCGGTTCTCGTCGTGTTACTGCCACCCTCCCCGAACTCGTCAAGATTATGCTTGCTCAAATGCTCGATCCAAACGACAAAGACAGACACTTCGCCCATATCACCAAAGATGACAAGGTCGTCCTTCTGATCAACAACCTTGGCGGCGTTAGCAACCTAGAAATGGGAGGCATTGTCGCTGAGGTGTATAAACAATTGAAGGAAGATTGGGGCATCACACCCGTCCGAGCCATCTCCGGCACCTTCATCACCTCTCTCAACGGTATGGGTTTCTCGGCCTCAATACTCAAGTTGGAAGATACTGGACTTGGGCCTGGAAAATCGATGCTCGAATTGCTCGATGCACCAGCAGAGGCTCTGGGCTGGTCCGCACCCATCAACACCGAGACATGGAATGCGAAGAACGATTCCACGATGGAACACGAAGCGGACAGCTCCAGAGATCTCAAAGCCAGTAATTTGTCGATTGACCCTAAGCGCACCTTGTCCGTACTGAAAGCAGGCCTTGACAAAATGATCGCTGCTGAGCCAGAAGTCACCCGGTTCGATACTGTGAGTACTTCCTCCTTGAGATAACCTGACTTCGTTCCTTCGTCGAACTGAGTGAAATGACTCTGACGCTTTGCAGATCGTGGGTGATGGAGACTGCGGCACTGGTCTGAAACGAGGAGCCGAAGAAGTCTTGACGGCGCTCTCATCAGGGGAACTGCCTAGCGATGCAGTCTCGTTTGTCAATAAGATTGTGCCCGTGGTCGAACACCACATGGACGGCACGAGTGGAGCGCTATTTTCGATTTACCTGAATGCCTTGGTTCATGGCCTTCGGGAGCAAGATTCAGGCTCAACAAAACAAATGGATGCGAAGACATGGGCCGCGGCCCTCAAGTCTGCACTGACAGCACTCGGCAAATACACACCTGCCGTGCCTGGGGATAGGACTGTTATGGATGCCCTGGTGCCTTTCGTGGATACGTTAGCGAGCACCGGTGATGTCAAGAAGGCAGCCCAGGTAGCAAGGGAAGGCGCCGAGAAGACCAAGACCATGAAGGCAAGCTTAGGGCGAGCCGTATATGTTGGCGGAGAAAGCGAGTGGATGGGCAAGATCCCCGACCCTGGCGCCTGGGGATTGTCAGAGATGTTGGTGGGATTGGCAGATGCTTCATGAATAATCAGCTCAGATTAGGCAACAGTCAGCCTTTTGTGCACTTAATCAGATTTTGTAGGGTATCACTCCTTGTCTTCTTTTGCCCACTTGTTTTTGTCTACGGCGCTTCCCCCAAGCAAATGCTCCCAATCATCTCGTCCCGGCTTATGCCCGTATGGAAGCCCAAAACCCTCACCGCTGCCGAGTTTGAAATCGCCGCACCCATGCATGCGCCTGGATCCCATTGTAAAAATTGCATGTTTTATTTTTTCTGGTGGTCATGAAATACTTCAACTCAACAAAACCAGGATGACACTATCACCCCGAAGGAACATTTTACTGATGAACCTGTCCTTGTTGACTCCCTTGGATCCGGCCTTGCCTTTCTCCGTCCACATTTCCTTGACGTTCTCTAAAACCATGTTGCAGTGTCGGTCAAACGCTTTGACGCGCGCGAGGAGTTTTCGATTGTTCCGGCATGATATTAGGACTTGTGTATGTGTTCGGGTAGCGGTCATGAGAATTGACAGAGGGCCAGTGGAGAGCTCGTGAGCCTCGAGAAGGGAAACTTCGTACTCCCTGCGGGTAGATTAGTATCTTTCAAAGATTTTCCGGAGTACATAGAATCAATGCGTATAAGGAAACAGCATCATTCTGCTCGACCCATGCCATCTTGATGATTTGCGATACCCAAGTGATGGATTGAGAGCGCAGCCTCGTCAGCAGGACATGTGTGGTGATAAAATGCGAAGCGGACGTTGGGGGCGGAGCGGAACCCAAAGTCACTTCCAGAGGGGCGGGCGGAAAGATTTGTGGTGGTAGCGGACGTATGGGAGGACAGAAACACCAAAAAAACAAAGGGAGCAGGGTATCCACATACGTCAACTCATTTCGCGGTTTATTGAGCAGATCCCTATCGAGACCATGTCAGCAGATGGTAGACAAGTCTAGCGCAACCTCGAACAATTGCGGAGATAAGCAGAAACAGGGTGTTGAGTCATAGCGCCGGGGGCACAGGAAGGACATACTGAATCTTGGAGGCGTCTGCCATGGTTGCTGAAGGAATACTTAAAGGCGACTGAATTCCCAGGCCGAAGGATGAAATGTTCAAAATGCCCTCTTCTTCAATTCAATTTGGAGATCGGAATTCGCCAAGACATATACTCGGATAAGTTTCCAAGGTAACCTCGAGGAGATTTTAACCAAGCTATTCGCCCCTAACGCCACTTAAAAGCCGCTGACCGGGTCTCGAATCAGTTTCCTTGGCTCGGGCCCTCGTCATAGTTTCCCCACCGACCGTGGCGCGCCTCTAAACTAAACTCCAAGAGACACGCTCCGCATTGCAACGCGTATCTGAAGAGGTCTAAGCTGGATGCTTGCTACCTGCCTCTCACCTTTTGTTCTTCACCTTTATTCTGTACCCGGACCTTGATAAAAAGCCTTCGTTTGTTGTTTGACCTCCGCACCATAAGCATTATACCGGACATATTTTCTTCGTTGCATTCGACGTCAACCTTGCCTACCTATCTACCTCTCCAACACTTATCACCACCTCCATCGAAGAAAAGCAGATCGACTGACACGCTCTACGAGCTTGACCAAACTCTTCCGCCTCCTTCGGTTCTCACACGCGATGATTGTTGCCTTATAACAATTCGACGATCCGCGTGTTGACAGGCGTTCAGCTTTCTGAACAGCACGCGTCTTCAACAATCCGAAAAAAATGGCGACGTCTCCCAACGAGGGCGTTTCGGTTAGGACAGTCAGACTCAAGGTGCTGTACACGTTCGATGTTGAACAGAAAGATAACCACCTTGCAAGATGGCCCCATCCATTGGATGTTCAGACTGCGTTCGTGGACGAGGCCAACCAAATCGGCGTCATAGACTTACGAACTTGCCTCGAAGCTATCACGACAGCCAGCCCAGAAATGACAGCTAACCCCGATAATGATTACACCGTCTATGCCTACGACTACTCAGAACCGGACACACCTCTGGTAGGCCAGGGTATGCTCTCAAAAACAATGTCAGATCAGGAACAGGGCGCAGGAAGCGAAGGCGAAGCTATGGTGACAGGGAGAATCACAAAGAATGTTATGGGCTTGTTCTCGAGAAATGCCCAAGAGACTCTCGAAGTCAAATTGAGACTCAGGCCGGTCAACACTTATTTCCAGCGAAACCGATCAGGCAGTATCAGCTCTCAAGACGGTATTCGTCCCTGGGGGGCAGGGGCTGGCGGACAGTATACTCGCTCAGGTTCACCGGTCGATACGACTGGCCTCGAAAATATGCAGCGGATGCTCAACGGAGAGAACTTACCGATTCCAGGTCAGCTTAGTAGGCCAGGCACACCAACTGGAACCCAAGCATTCAGTGCCTCGTCACGTCAGGCCCCAACCCAATCCAGACCTAGTTCGAGAGCTGGCATGCGGCAGGTGTCGCATTCAAGACGCGATTCTTTTAACTCGGGCTACTACAGTGGTGAAGAGAATATGGAGGAAGGTCCGGCTCGAAAGAGAGCCAAGATAACAAAGGTAGATTGGCCTTCCAAGTCTAACCTCAACATCGAACGTCAACCAGATTCTCTACGTGTTGCAGCTAGCACCGCCTCTAGCGTACGACTGCATCGACCTGTTCCAATAAATCCTGGTGTATCTCAGGTTGCTGCGGCTGCAGAAGATCCTGTCAGACCGCCCACTCCCATTCCAGTCAACAAGTCGGGCAAGCCGCGTGGTCGGGTTGGACGACCACGAAAGAACGCTCCAAGCAATCTTGCGCAAGGTACACAGGTCCGAGAATCATCTCCAGCCCTTGAATCTACCTCGCACTCGGAGCTTCTAAATATCCCTATGACCTCACCCGAAGAAACGCGAGGTCGAAGCGTTTCGAGTACGCCTGCGAATATCCCCTCTTCCCCTCCTGTGATGCCGGAACAGCCAGCGATTACGAGTCCTGCTCTTCCGCCTTTGGCCGGCCATGACTCCGGCTTCATGAGTGGCAACCTTGATGATTTGTTTGGCGATGACCAACTCCTTCACTTTGAAGACTTTATCATGGAAAAACCCGAAGAGACAGATGGTGGTGAAAGTGCTGTACAATTGCAACCTGCTGATGGCTCCGAGTATCCAACTGTCTTCGACGATGATTATGATTTTGGCGAGATGGCTACCGAAGCTCCAAAAACTGAAATGGTGCCTCCTCCCCTACCTCAACAAGCGGCTCCGCGGTCTTTGGCCAGAGCACAGTCCTATACCGCTGCCTCTCGAGCGAGCATGTCTTCTCCAAGATTAGCGCCAGCACCGGTCCCCAGGGCACGCCAGATTATGGAAGAAAGACGGGAGCAACAACGACTCAAGCCGATCGCCCCTGCGTTGGTCCCTAAAAGTGATCCTGCACCGAGAAATATTCAACGAGCACAAACATGGGCTCCAGATAGCGACGCCATCATGTCAGACGCATTTGGTATGGACGAATCCAAGACAAAGGCTGCAACCAAGAAGAAAGTAGGATTGGAACAGACCAAGGCTAGGCTCGAAAATGCTATTGCGAAAGGAGAGATGCCGCCATTTTGTGACAATTGTGGCTCCATCGAGACCCCGGCATGGCGTCGAGCATACGTGAAAGTCTTTGACAGTGGTTGGGACCAGATCGAGACATCCTTGGCAACAGGAGAATGTTGTTACAAGGAAATTCTGGAAACGAATGCAGATGGCTCAGTCAAAACTTTCAGAGGATACAAGGTTGAGAAGAGAGCTGGAGACGAGGAAGATAAATGGACAGCTATCATACTTTGCAACCGTGAGTAGTGTCTCAGTGTGATCTCGACTTGACTAATATTTGACTAGCTTGTGGCTTGTGGTTTCATAAACAGAGATGCCCACGGCCTCGTGAGAAGTGGCAAAAGAAGGATCCGAAGGAAAAGGGCAAGCGAAAGAGGAACAATACTGCAAAAGATCCGAAGAAGGGCAATGCAAACGCAAACCTTAAAAGTGATGCCCAGACACCTGCTAGCGACGATTCTTCACCCGACACCGCCACCGAAGCACCTGACGCCGAGGAAAATGACAACGAAATGTCCAACAATGACCTACCAATTGACGACGAGAATGAACCTCAGTTGCCTTCGATGCCACGCACATTCAGGGCTAGTAGTGCCGGCCCTGGACCCAGAGGACTGCAGGCTCGTCAACACCGTCGATCAACCGGACGTCAGGTACAATCAAGCCCTGGCCATCGCAACGGCTCTGAGGGACTTCCCATTGAGATCGACCTGACGCCGAAACCTATCCGACGACAACTCTTTCCGTCCCCAGACAAACCACAAGTGCGATCAGATCCAAGTCAATTCACCGCTGCAGCGAAGCATGTGACGCACCTTCCCGCCTTTGTTCGACGTAGCCCTCGACTTAACAAGACGAGAGATGTGTTTGCCACGCATTCAGGTTCTGTAGCAATTACTGTCGATGGCAAGGAGAATGCAGAACCGGCAGCTGCTGTCGTTGACGATGGCCTCGCAGATTTGTTTGATGAAGGATCGACGGAGGTAGAGTTGCCCCCTCCAATGACACCACAAAGACGATCGGAAAGACTGCTCCTCAAGACACCTTCCAAAACTCCACAACGACAATTCGGCGCTGAAATGTCTCCCAATGCCGACCTGTTACCGAACTTCCGCACGCCGAGATCAAAGCAAAGACATCATCCCGCTACAGCCACTCTCACCATCTCAAAAAGTGTGCTTGAGATGACCCCGTTTACACGTTCGATTCATGATGCGATACTCAGCGATGCTCCCTTCATCACAAACGTGCCTGGCGAAGGGAAGATATCCGACATTGCTGAGACGAAGAAGAGCCCGCCAAAGAAGGCCATTTCTTTCGATTTTCCTGACTTGCCTTCTCTGAAGAATTCATCCCCGATGTCAGCCGAGCAACTGCTCAACTTCAACTTCTCAGAGCTGACGACTGATCGTTTGGACAGCGATTTCGCAGATCCATTTGCAACGACGGGAATGATGCCTAGTTCGCCACCCGCAGGTCTCTTTGACTTTCCCAATGCTGATCATTGCTTGGATGATATGTGGTACAGCATGGTTGATTCTAATGCAGGACAGTCCTATCCTGATTCTTCTGCGCTAGCCCTGGCTACACCAGGTCAGAGTTTGAGGAGGAGCCCTCGAAGCCAGAAGGTGAAATAAGTGCTCCCACGAATGAAACTTATCAAGATTTATGAACCCACGTTTTTTGGGTGGGCTTTGTGTCATAGAGGATGGCATTGTTTTGCAGCTTCATTCTTTTGAGCGATACAGGTTTTATGTATAGTACCAGACGGCTAATGACGTGTATGAAATCAAAAGCGAAAGAGTCTGCTGGACATGATTATGCAGAGCGAGGCCATTATCAAAGAAGCAGATATCATCTGAGCTCTTTCCTTGATGTCAGTTCTTAAACCATTGATTTTAGTTACATTTCAGCATGAATCGTGCCTTTTGTCTCTACCCGCGGCATCGTAATATCTTTTGACATATACTCCGTACACTGCTCAGGATTTCAATTTCATTCTTTGAGGGTCCGAGATCGGCTCTCACAGCATTGGAACTATGCAGCGCCGGCACGCCCGTAGTAATCATCCACACCGTGATCTTTTTGTGCGAGACTTTCCGGTAGAGACGTGTTGAGTGGTCACACTAGGTCTCCCATCAGACTCTGTGTTCCTATTTAGGTTGCACATCAGTCGAGCTCGCAGTCGTTTCTCATTATGCTGATTTCATGCGTCATCTCAATATCCCCCGTCCATGCCATTCTCGTTCTCTCCGTAGAAGATGCTCTTATAACGATGAGTCACATCGACCACGGCCTCAAACAACTTGATATCAGGCAATTGTCCATTTTCGTTTCTCGGCCATTCCGTCGCATTCAGGACTCGCAATCCTAGACCTTGTCCGCCATCTAGGTTGATTACTTTGCCGACAACTTCGAACATGGACCCGACCGACACGTGGGACTCTCTGTGAGATAGATGATTAGCTACGTCCATCTCCTAGGTTCAGTGCGTCATGCAGGGCTTACCTCGACAGGAGGATCGTTACACCATCAGATCCGCAGGTCAGAGTCGCTTGTTCCCCGCTCACCGTGGTGATTTGCCCCAGCACCCGCACGGTATTGCCGTTGGCAGAACCCGGGGCGAATGCGTGAAGGTGGGACGGTAATATTCTGGGTGATGACATGGTGTTCATGTTTGCTGGTGTCAGGTAAATTTCCTATCTCGTCTTGTCCCTCGTAGATGGGCAGAATGCGTAGAGTGTTCAAACAAAGTCTCTAGTCCATCAGCAAACTCTGGGACGCGTTTGGACGCGTAGAGTGGCTACGGTGAATCAAAAGAGATTGAGATAGAGAGTCGTACATATGCTCCAACCTAGGTATACTCGCTATCTCCGCCAATCGCCGAATGGCTTGTGTGTGGTGATGGATTGACGCCCGCAATGGAAGCGTCAGGCTGCGTACCGTCGTTTCCACCTCCCCCAAAATCGACTTCGTCAGTTGTCGTGGGCTCCCTTCGTTATGTGCCAATCCCAGCCCTAATCTGAGACCATATAGATGACTACATCACGCAAGAGCAAGGCGCCGGATCGAGGTAACACTTCCAAGTCTGCGACCAAGAGAAAGGTGCCGGACGAAGACCACCCTACAGCGCCGTCGGGATCGAAGAAGAAGCCTCGAGTCTCCATCGCCGAACTTTTATCCTCCCGGCAGAGCAACGATTCGAATGAAGGTGACGGTGTTGTTGACTGGGACGACGACAGCAATAGAAACAAGAAAGGAGCGGTCAGGATGAACACCAGAGCTTCCCCGCCACCCAAGCAGCTGTCCAACAAGGACATGTACACCTTCACCTCCTCCAAGTCGGCCACGAGCAACGTCGTCGACTTGACTGACTCCCCGGAGTCTCAGAAGAGAAAAGTGTCCTTCTCGTCAAACCCAAAGACGCCCTTCAATCCACACCAAGGGCCTAAGAAGCTGGTGGTGAAGAACCTACGGACGGTCCCGAGGATAGACCCTCAGCAGTACTTTGAACGCACCTGGGCGCAGGAGGACAAGGCATTGGATGCCATCTTCAGGAACGAGAAACAACCATACTCTCTGGAAGAGCTCTACAAAGGAGCCGAAAACGTCTGCCGGCAAGGCAAGGCCGCCGAACTCTATGCCAGATTATGCCTAAAGTGCGAAACGCATCTTGCGGACACGGTCAAAGACGGTATTCGCCGTGATCAAGCCAATTCCTCCGATATCGATGTTCTGCAGACTTTCGTCCATGCTTGGGCGACATGGCAGAAGCAGCTGCTCACGATCCGTCAAGTCTTTTACTATCTGGATCAAACATTCTTGCTGCGTTCGGCAGAGAACCCTAGCATTACTGAGATGGGGCTCCTCAAATTCAGATCTTGTGTTTTCCAAGATGAAATCATCAAGCCCAAGGTCCTCAAGGGCGTCGTGACTCTGATCGATATGGACAGAAGGGGTGGACTGAACGAAAAGGACACCAGTTTGCTGCGACAAGCCGTCGATTCGTTACACGAGCTGAGCATATACTCTAGCGATTTTGAACCTCTTTTCCAGTCAACGACAGAATCATACTTCCAGTCGTGGAAGGAAACGGACTCAAACAAGTCCGATCTTGCAGCATACGTGACCAACTGTTCCAATCTTCTGGACAAGGAAATGGCTCGATGTGATTTTCTCACCTTGGACCGAAGTACACGGGCTCAGATTGGTATACTCTTTGACGAAATATTGGTCGCAGAGGAAGTTAATCTTCTCACAAGCGAGGACAGTATTTTGGATCTGCTAGAAGACGACAAATTTGAAGAGGTTGGACGGCTCTACATGCTTCTGCAGAGGAAGGAACGAGGTGAGACAATATCACCGACTTTCAGTAAATACGTCGAGACCGAAGGTTCGGCGATTGTGTTTGACGAAAAGCGAGAGGCAGAAATGGTGGTCAGATTGCTCGACTTCAAGCGACAATTGGATCGATATCTGAAGGATTGCTTCCGAAACAATGAGACGCTTGGAAACGTACTACACAAGGCATTCGAGTCGTTCATCAACAAGACCAAGAAAACTCAGTCGAATTGGGACACGGATAACAACAAGCCCGGTGAAATGATCGCCAAGCACGTCGATCTCCTCCTCAAGGGGGGTGTCAAGGCGATCCCCCGTCTCCAAACGCAGAAGTTAGACGCCTCGAAGGCGGAAGAAGAGCATGACTTTGACGAAGGTGCCGCCGATGAAGACGCCGAGATCAACCAACACCTCTCCAACGCGCTGGACCTGTTCCGCTTCGTCCATGGCAAGGCCGTCTTCGAAGCGTTCTACAAGAAAGATTTGGCTCGACGTCTCCTCATGGGCCGCAGCGCGTCCTTCGATGCCGAACGGAACATGCTTACACGTCTCAAGAACGAATGCGGCGCCGCGTTCACCCACAATCTCGAGTCCATGTTCAAAGACATGGACCTTGCGCGTGAAGAAATGATGTCGTACAACCAACTTCTCGACGACCGTGGAGCCAAGTCGAGCGGCCCAGACCTGCACGTCAATGTCCTCTCGTCTGCGGCGTGGCCCACGTACCCGGACGTCAGCGTCAACGTCCCTCCCAACGTGGCCAAGGTCATGGCGGATTTCGAGACGCACTACAAGGCCAAACACTCTGGCCGCAAACTCACGTGGAAACACTCGCTCGCGCACTGCCAGCTCCGGGCCAACTTCCCGCGGGGCCGGAAGGAGCTGGTCGTGTCTGGATTCCAAGCCGTGGTGCTGCTCTTGTTCAACGACGTCCCCGCCGACAAGCATCTGACGTACACCGAGATCCGGGCCAGTTCGGGCCTCGTCGACGCCGAGCTCAAACGCACGCTGCAGTCTCTGGCGTGCGCCAAGTACCAGGTCCTCAAGAAGCACCCGCGCGGCCGGGACGTCAACGAGACCGATACCTTCACCTTCAATGCGGCGTTTGTCGACCCGAAACTGCGCGTCAAGATCAACCAGATCCAACTCAAGGAGACCAAGGAGGAGAACAAGGAGACTCACGAGCGAGTCGCCGCCGACCGCCACTACGAGACCCAGGCCGCCATCGTCCGCATCATGAAGAGTCGCAAGAAGATTGGCCACAACGAACTGATCGTCGAGGTCATCAAGGCCACCATGAGTAGGGGGGTCCTGGACCAGGCCGACATCAAGAGGAATATCGAAAAGTAAGTTTCGCCCCTAGCACGAATTCCAGAAAAAAAAAAGAAAAGGAAAAAGAGGGCTTTGATACTAATTTGTGTGTTTTGCCGACAGATTGATCGAAAAGGAATACATGGAGAGAGACGAGGGTAATACCTATTCGTACGTGGCTTGAGTCGTTTTGTTGGGAGCGTTGGGACGAGTCCAACGGCGGCGGCGGCAGCAGCAGCAGCAGAGTCATAGTCTTGTGGGAATCGTAGAAACGGAACAGGCATTTGGACGTTATCGGAGGATGATTACCCAGTACACAGTAGAATGACAATGGATGACAACAACGAACGCGATTTGGGGCGGTAAAATACTGGTTACTAGACAGCAGAACGCATAGCAGGCCTGGCACCTCTTGATTTCGATTCGATGGTGTCCTCGTAGTGGTTGGAAATGGCGGCGATTGTTATAGTCAATTCAGGGCTATTTCAATACGAAATAAAATGCGTACGCAGACAACCAAACATTTCCGCATCAGTAGCCGACTTTCCAAACATTTCCAACTAGCCACACACTGATAAATGAAAGTGCCATCCAGCAAGTATCGAAGAGAGAAGACAAGTCAACAGCAAGCCATTATGGAGAACCTGCCTGAACCACATTCTGCCTTCCAGCTCGATCAATCATCCGACCCTCATTCTCAAACTGTTCCGTTCCACCTCCCTTCTGCCTCCGCACACGCTTCGACTCAACAAAAGAGATATACATCTCTCTAGTATCGTTCTCCAGCAGAGCTCCGTCCGTCACCGTAGTGCTGATGATCTAATTAGCCTCGTACTTAGGGTGTTGAAAGGCCTCAGACACCTACCTTCTTTCTCAACGCTTCGATCCTCTTCTTCTTGGTGTGAGTGTTGATATATGTACCGATGCAAAATGCAACGATGTTGAAGAATGGAACCCAAGTATGTTCTGGAAGGAACTTCTGGGCGAATGCCAGAGCCAGCGGGGAGGTGATCCAGCTAACTTTCATGACAGGCATGAAGCCAGCACGGACCGTGGCACGGACTTGGTGCCAGGTGCGAGCACCAGCGATGACGGCCATGGAGGCTAGATAAACGGTGTTCTGGATAGGAGCGACCTAAAGAAAGGTGAGATGGGCTAGCTACATTATGAGGGGAGAAGAGATCGCATACCACCAAGTTGCTGGCAAGGATCTGAAGAATCTTCGCTTTCAAGCTGGTTCGGCCAGAGAAGACCCATTGTAGAAATCCGATCAGGAAATGACCCATAGGGGCACTGATGAAGGCGCCATAGGCAGCCATCTTGGGGATTCTGGAGCTGAAGTAGTGGCCATGTCTGCTGCGGTCATGGGCAAGCCACGATGCAAGTAGCTCTTGCAGGGCGGATAATGTGCCTGATGTCAACATCTTCGTCCGCAGAGGGTTCGACTGGAGCTGTTTAAGGTATGCCTGGGCAGGTATGAGCATTGCGCAATGCGGTTCTTCCAAGTCCATATTCATACAGCAAGATAACCCGTCGTCTGATGTCCTCCCGTCAAGCGCTCGCCAATTCTGTGTCCGAGTCCCTCATGCTTTCCACCGCGCAGACCTCCCGTCGTGGAGATCTGCTCTTGTTCGAACTTGACAGACATCTTGGAAGATGCGCGAGGAGCGTTCGTAGATGATCGCTCGGTTTATCTGATGGAAGCAATAGCTTCTGATCGATTGCGATTAGTACGGCGTAACGATAGGTAAAGAATGAAGCAAAGATGAAGAACGCAGGGACGTGGTCAGCGCGCTGATGGGGTATTGTTGACAAAGTCGAAGTGCCGAGGCCGGTCGCGATAAAGCAGCACGGGATCTATTGACACACGTACCGATAAGATTCGCCGACAAGAGTCGTTTAAAAGGGGCTGAGGCGAGGATGGAAACGAGGCAACGCCAGTAGGAACAATTGAGGCAGAAATGGAGGTAGTAGTAGGTGTGAGATCGGAAAAGAAAAACAAGACGCGTCCTTGGATAGATTGCTGAAATGCGACGGGCGAGGAGGAAGTCTCGGAGTTTGGGAGGCGGGCGATGACGGGGTCGTCGATTGGAGGGAGAAGCGAGTGAGACGAGTCGATGAGTTGGCCGGGTGTCAAGACGGGCTTTCTCTAGTTCAGGTAGGTCGCTACTCGTATTTCCCGTAATAGTTGGTGGGAGTCTCCGACCGCGGCCGGCGCCACCCAAAGCCCTGCAAGCTCCTTGTAGCCATTCATCGTCGTTGCTGACGCCAAGAAATAAACAGAACCTCATTGTCGTCAGAAGTGCTTTGTATTGTGTTTATTTGTGTAGGCATAATGTGCCAAAGCCTCAGACCCTTTTCTTTCGGTTCTGATATTGTTGGGACTGTCCATGCCAATGAGGACATCGCGGGCCACTCAAACAGCCCAGTGGGATGTGGGAGGGTGACGCAGACTTAGTCCAGGAGTTCAGATGTTGACAACGTAACCGCAAGAACGGTGACTAGGAACGGGAAAGGATGGTCTTGATTGACGCAGACATGCTGAGATGCAAGGTTGTAGGAGCAGGCGCAATCTGTGTGAGGCAATGGCATACGGCAGAACCAGTTGACAAAATCCAAGGAGACGGTGTCTGAAGAAGAGCACGAGAAGATACTAAAGAGTGAGTTGAGGTGATTATGTGGCCGGCAAGAAGAGGAAAGAACTGTGACATGCTCAATCTCTCCCTCTGTGTGTGTATGTGGTGGGTGTCTGCTTCATCGATGAAGGCATCTATCCATCTTCTTCCCTTCCTCCCTAACAAGGTTTTCTCTCTCTGCTCCATGTGCACGTCTTTCTCAAGGCAGCCTTTCACACCCTCTTAGCTCAACCCAACATACCTTGTTTTCTCTTGACAAGAATTTTCTTGTGTCGTGACGACGTTGTTTCGTAAGGTGCACCACACCCTTCCTCCGGCATGCCGTCGCGCAAATCCATCTGCGTCGACAGACGCAACCCTTGCACTCATATCAAAATGACCCGCCTTTTTGACCCTTACGGTTCCTTCAGGTGCTCCATGTGCCACAAACATCCCAGCATCGGTTGGCTCTACCGTTGCACTCAAGATTCGCAAGGCTTCCTTCCAGAATCTGACTTTACAGGCACTCCGGCACATATGAGAAGAGAGAACTCGATGAATGTGGCTGCAACGTCACTCAGCAACCCCGTCATCAAAGCTATCGGTCAAGGCCAGTACACTGATGACCAAGTTGCGTCGTTGCTCAAACAAAAAGAAAGGGTCAAGGATCTCGTCCACGAGCAAGACCATAGACCTACAACTTCATACAGTGCCACTACAGATGCATCTACTGCCGACTCATTAGTCACAGACAGAACCTTTTCGACTCTGCCCCAGAGTACCACCTTTTCCACCACCTCCTCTTCCTCCCTTGAAGAAGAGATACGAGCAGCGTATGATTGGAATGAGTTGCAAAAGGTTTGGATGTCAGAACCAACACTCGCTCCCCCATCGTCACCCCGACCGAGACCAGCCGTACTCGCAGAACACCAAACTCTGAACGAGAATGCGAGGGAGAAGGAGAGCGAGAAAAGCAATGAGACCAGAAAGGGGAAACAGAAAGAAGACGTCACACCAACATGTAACTTCATGGTCTGCCCAACTTGCCGACCAACTTACCGTGACCGTGCCTATTGGTCTCTTGACATGGTTCTCGCTAGCCCAGTCCAATTTCCTCCGATCTGGGAGATGGAAAACCGGCGTATTTCTGATGCCCGAACACTGATGGGAATCAGGACGCCTCCGGCCGAAAGGAGCTCTTCTCAATTGACACGTTCTATTACCACCGAGTCTATGCAGAGTGTACCAATTTTCAGAATCGAGGCTGTGGATGACGCCGACAATGTTCAAGCTGAGCCTGACAGTGCCGAGAGCAGCTCGGGACAAGAAACAGATGCTCATTCCGTCCGCAAACGCAGTGGCTTTCGACAAACAGTCAGAAGGGCTCTAGCCAGAGCTCGACTCGAAGATGCGGCCTCGAGCAGCAACAGTACGGACGCATCTGACTCACTTGATCAAGAGCCCTTGGACCGGCCTGGTTCTTTGATTTTCAGACGTCGCCATTCCCGCAGTAGCACATCGTCATTTGTGCAGAGATACGGTCGTATCGTCGACACCAGTGTCCTCCAAGAATCCGTCACCCTCATGCTGGCGAGGAACACCCCGGTGCCGCAGACACCGCGCGTCGAAACACCGCAGAGCAGCCAGATCCCCAGACGCAGCCGGGCGGAGCGACGCGGCGACATGAACACTGCCGACGTCATTAGCCAAGCATGAATCCGATGACCCTCGACCATGAAGCAAAAAGGAGAGAATGGAGATTTCAGGAGGCTAGTCAAATCTCATCGATGCCGCCGTAGTGAGCGACCACGAGCCATGTACGGAGTAAGAATTTTTCACGGGCAGGGCAAAGTTTAGACAAAAGAAAGGAGGAAGATTACAGGGCTGAGAACTGGACCAGAAGAGTGACACCAAGGTAATGAGAAACAGATGGAGTTGACGGTCACACAGGAATCAATGATTAGAAAGAACGAAAGTGTAGAGTACAACAGATGGTTTAATGGTTTAATGACTTAGGTTCATCATTCAACTGAAGACCAGCTTCATCAATACAGAGTACTTCGAATTTCCATCCAATTCGCAGACAATACTGCGCCCCAAATTCGTTAAAATCTCATGCATGTTCAAGATGTAGTAGAGTTCATGATCGTATCGTATCGTGTCGTTGAGATTACCATAAGATCTCGTACTGCTTGGGCTAAGTATAGTGCGTCAAAAAGGTTGTAGGTTTTGGTCATTGACATTGCATCATGCGTTGCCGTAACCTTCTGCAGAGCGTCCGGAGTATCATCTCATAATTATCTATTCCCGATATGCAGGAGGCGGGTCCCTCATGTCATCCTCGTCGTAATATCTCGTGGTCGCCGATGATCCTGAATGTGCTCTGGGCCTCCTCTCGCTCCGCTGAGGACTGTAAGAGTACGAGGACTTTTCACCTCCGTAATTGTTGTTGTTGTTGTTATTGTAGGGTCTGTATCGCCCGGGGGTTTCGGAATCCAGCTCGGAAAAGCCCACTGGGAGGGAAGAGGTCGAGTGATGCGGGCCCGGTGGACTGATGTTGATACGTGGAGTCCCGGCCGCCGAAGACGAAGGCGGCATCGTGTTCTCTCGCCTCAGACGTTCGTGACTGTGGATTCTGTCCAAGTCCGCGTCTCTGTCTCGATCCCGGTCTCGGTTTCTACCTTCCAACATCTCGGGTGGGAGCATGTTGTTCTGCCATTTGCCCGTCTTCATGTCGTAGTGCATGTTGGGAGGGGGGAGCATGACCGTCGCCGGCCGCTGGAGGGGTGGAGGGACAAAGTTGGAATTGTTTTGTTGTGGGCGTGGTTGCTGATGCTGTTGCTGCTGCTGCGGTGGTTTCGCGGGCCAAGGAGGGTATTGAGGTGGCGGCGGCTGGTGCTGCTGCTGTTGGGGCTGTGGCATGGGCCAGGTTCCGTGGTTGGGAGGCGGGCCTTGAGGGTGCGGATATGGCTGTTGTTGTTGATGTTGCTGCTGCCACATCATACCTGGTGGCGGCGGACCAGGGTAGGGAGGTCTCCCAATCTGTGCCGGGGGTGCACTGTAAGGACGTGGTGGGGCATTGGGAGGGTGGAGTGAGTTCTGAGAGAGACGTCCTGGACGACCTGGAGGAGGAGAGTTGTCGTGGCGACCTCCGCTATGGCTGTGGCTGTGGTGATGGTCATCCCGAGAATGTCGTCTCCGTCTGCGGCGGTGACGGTCGCGATCCCGTTCTTCTTCCTCTTTACTATCTTTGGCAACCTCTTTCAGGAGGTAGCCGGCCGCCACGAGTTCGAGACCGCCCAGTATGACCATGGTTGATGTTTAGGGCTGGTTCGAAAGGCTGACGAACGAGTTAGTGGCGGTGTAAGTACTGGTAGTGTTCGAGGAATTTCGCCTTGGGTCGATCGATCGAAGGACAAAAAAGTAAGCGCCTGCGCGTTCGTTCTGGAGAGACGTGTTGAGCAGCAGTGGGAATTCGATAAACAATGGAAGAGGAAGAATGGGAACAGAGATCGCTACAAGGGGTGACTTTGGGCTTCAGTCGCCTTCCAGAAGGCGTTCCGAGGAGGTTGGGCTTTTGGCTTTGGGTTGACTCAGCCGTAGCTGAAGCATTCGTGTAATGTAATTGCCCTTCACGTGCAAGGCATACGTACATGATCGCGCCTGTGGCTGCCATAAGAGGACTAGGCTTTCTAAATTTACAGTTCGAGTGTCGTTGTGCGCCGATGGTATGAGTGATCCACACAACACTTCTTCTAGGTACCTCCCTCCGCGAGCATGCCTACTTACCCATGCAGTCTTTCCCTCGTGGCCTTGAAAACTCGAGGTATCCCACTGTCTTCGAAATTGTCTGTTCCCGAAATCATTCGTGCGACGCCTCTGGCTGTGAGAAAGATGTACACCATTCCGGCGCCATTGAATCCGGCGCAGACATACTGGTCTTGACGGCCCGGCACGTGTCCTACGTGAGCTGCACCGTCCGTCGTGTATCCCATAACTTGGAACAGTGTCAGAGAGAAGAGACGGGGGTTTGATTGGGACCAAAGGTAAGAGATGACAATGGGGACTACTTACTCCCCGTCCACAGCCTATCAACCTTGGCCCCTGACTTCTCCCACTCGTGAAAATGTTCCGTCATGACGCCCTCAAAATAAGGGGTCACTTTCTCTGGTAGGATCAGAGATCCATCATCGACCACGCCACTCCACTGTTCAGAGTCGTTGATGAAAAGAGTCTTCGCACCACCTATAACGACGCCTCCGTCCGGCCTGTGGACGAGGTGGTCTACCTGTCCGTGTCGATGGAAGATGTTATACGTGCACGTGTTGACGCGACGTCTCAGCGTAGGCGTCGGATCTTTACTCGTACGCAGCGGCACTATATGAGCTCCAGTGCCGCGCACGGGGACTATGGTCCGGTGGTACATGGGTAATATACCTGCTGTGTATGCGTTTGTTGCAAAGACAACTTTGCGCGCCAGGGTTGTTCCTCGAGTGGACGTTTCGACGTGGAAAAAGCCGTCGGGGTCGTGGCGGTCGGAGACGGACGTGACTTGTGTCCTGGTCTGGAGATTTACGTTTGGGCGGTCGATGAAGGTGTTCAAAAGGCCTGTAACGAATTTATATGGCCAGAGTTGGGCGCCGGGGACAGAGAATGAGCCTTTGGAATGGGCAAAGCCGGTGATCTATAATCGAACATGGTACGAAGTGTCAGCAAACATGTCAACGATGTGTCTGTGTTTGTTGTTGAGTCGCTTCAGAGGAGTAGAGGAGGATTGGAGGCGTCTGGAAGGGGAGATGGACGTCTTCGCACCGCTTCAAGATATTTTGTCGCCAACACGTCAACGTGCTCGAGCTCGTCCAACCCCATGTCCTTGTACGTGCGTAAATCAAGTTCACGTTGTCGAGCCTCATCCGAATCCATGAATACGTCAAAAGAACGAGTCACAAGGAAATCGCAGTCGATCTTTTCCTTCTCAATCACATTCTTCAACGCCATGATGTGCGCAATGTGAGACTTGATGAGGTCTCTCGCGGCGTCGACGCCCCATTTCTCCAGGGTATCTTTGATGATCCACGAGGCCAGTTTGAGATGTCCTCCGTTCCGACCGGTGGCGCCGGAACAGACTTGTCGAGCTTCGAGGATGGTGATTGAAGGTGCTGCCTCCGGTGGGATGTCTAGAAGCAGATGATATGCGATTGAGATACCGGCCATGCCGGCTCCGATGATGACAATATCCGAGGTCTCTGGTAATTCATCTGTCGAGCGATATGTGTCGAGTGGATGGAGCTCGGTTCGCCAATAGGGTGTTGTCGACGTCGGGCTGGGAAAGATTCCATGAGCGAGAGGGCTGTTCAAGGTGTGTTTCCTCCTCATGTTGATGTGTGTGCTACTGCTACGTAGATGGATGGGGTGTTGCAGCTGAAGTGATGGACCTACCTACTTTGTGCTTTACCTACTTTTTCAATAGATCCCGACTCGCGATGTCGAGGGTCTTTATGGACTACGGCACATTGTGGGAGATTGTATTCTGTAGAAAATCATTCATTGATGATAAACATGATCACCTGGGGATGTTTTCAAGATTGATAACGCAGGTACCTGATAGCGATGGCATCAGGGCGTACCGTACCTGAGATTGTGATGTTTAGGTAGTAGTCGAACGCGTACATTACACTTCTTGTATGTTCCTGGATACGCCCACGACGCAACGAGTACGCCCTGACCAATCATTTCTAGGTTGTGCCTCAGGTCTTTTACCATTACGGAGCCTTGATGAGCCTGACTTTCTATTGTCAACAGAATTCCAAAGTCATTTTTGTGAATATGCCGGTTAGTAAGTCCTTTGCCTTATGTTTCCGCGACTCACAATCGCGCCATGCGAATGCTTTACTTTTTCTCATCACACATGAGTGATCATGCTTGGACAAGTCAATGACAGCCTTCAATGATAAACCACCTTGAGTGGCATTTTCCGGATTGAACTCAACTATCACTTTAGGTCTGTTGAGTACGAGTAGTACTTGTTGAGGGCTTGGTAGATTCAATCACGACTTACGAATGATGTACATCATCATCATCATCTTCTTCTTCTTCTTCTTCTTCTTCTTCATGAACACGCCTTTCGTATTCGTCTACAATTACGAGAACATGCACTCGTACTCCGTACTCCGTACATGTCTTGGTACAGTACATTTCCGAAAAGTCAGTCAGTCAGTCAGTCAATCGCCCAAAGTTACTGTCCCTACTAGTGAGAGTCCGGAATTTACACTTATGAATCCTTCGAGGAGGGTTCGGTCAAAAGCCAATGACATGATGACATGGTAATCAAGGGATACCAAGAACAACAACCCACATGGTATGTGGCTTTACTACGAGTACACTTTTTTTCTGTCTTGCTGTCAACCTGTCAGTTTCACAGTTTCACATCCTTTTTTTTTAACATCTTTTTCTCCGCACGTAAAGTCTGTACCTTGTGCCTGAACATATGAAGGAAAAAAATCTCCACGAGGGGTGTGTTGGAGATCCGAAGGGGGAAAAAAGAGAGTTACAAGTACAAGGACTCGTAACTCGTAACTCGGCCTTCCGTACATACGCAGCTAAAGAGAGGGGGGCGGTGAGGAGGGGAGGAGGAGGAGGAGGAGGAGGAGGAGGAGGAGGAG